CGCAAGCTCGCTCATCCCACCTCGGACCTCGACACGCTCATACATCTGCTCAAGGGTAGCCTGGGGACGGGCATTCTTGCGATGCCGATGGCCTTCCGTAATGCCGGCCTCGCCTTCGGACTCTTCGCCACTTTTTTCATCGGCGCGGTCTGCACCTACTGCGTCCACATACTCGTCAAGTCCGCCCACCGTCTGTGCAGGCGGACGCAGACGCCCAGTCTGGGCTTCGCCGAGGTGGCCGAGGCGGCCTTCCTGGACGGGCCTGAACCCGTTCAGAAATATGCCAGACTCGCCAAGTAAGTGTGATGATGATCGCGCGACGGACGTTCGTTAGGTTGTTTCATAGCCGACGAGCCGAGGAAATGAATAACACATGTCACCTCACCTGTCGTCAAAACCCAAGAATCGTCGATGAGGTCCTCTGCCGTCCGTCGCGTCGTTGCGTCATATTCGACTGACTTGCAGGGCGACGATTAACACGTTCCTGGTGATCGACCTGGTGGGTTGCTGCTGCGTATACATCGTCTTCATCTCGACCAACCTCAAGGAGGTCGTGGACTATTACACGGCGACGGACAAGGATCTGCGAATCTACATGGCTGCGTTGCTACCGTTCCTCATCATCTTCTCCCTCGTGAGAAATCTCAAGTACCTCGCGCCCTTCTCGATGGTGGCGAACGTGCTAATCGCCACCGGCATGGGGATCACTTTCTACTACATCTTCAGCGATCTGCCCACCATCGACGACGTGCCGAATTTCTCCAGCTTTTCGCAGCTACCTCTCTTCTTCGGCACTGCCATCTTCGCGCTCGAGGGCATCGGCGTGGTAAGTTTGCGTCTTGCGATCTGGAGCCTCGTGGTCACATCCGCTCCAATTGTTTCGACTTCGACTGTCGTCGAAGAAGCGACGACAGTTTTGCGCTAAATGTCGATGCCGATGCGAGATTCCACAAGGTGAATCAGGGTCGCGTAGATGGATGTCGCGATGTTACCGCGCAACAGAAGCAATTTCGTATTCAGCTGCTAGACACGTTCGGGCACGGTTTAACGGTCACGTTCGATGGTTCGGGATACCAGTGCTCGTGTAAATCTATGCGGCGCGCCTTCGTCTGCGCTTCGTGGAATGTGTGAATGCGCAAACATCTCGAGCATCCGCGCGGCGTTGACTCGGTCGATCCGACACGTGATTGCGATGGTTGCGATATTCCATCCGCTGGCCTTCGTGCTTTTAATTTCGGCGCGTCCGCGATTGGTTGCCCAGGTAATGCCATTGGAGAACAACATGAAGACGCCGTCGCACTTCGTCGGCTGCCCGGGTGTCCTCAATACCGGCATGTTCTTCGTCGTGTTGCTGTACAGCACCGTCGGTTTCTTCGGCTACTGGAAGTACGGCGAGAGCACGAAGGCCTCCATCACGCTCAACCCGCCGCAGGACCAAGTGCTCGCCCAGTCCGCTAAAGTGATGATCGCCGTCGCGATATTCCTCACCTACGGCCTGCAGTTCTACGTACCCATGGAGATCATCTGGAAGAACGCTAAGCAGTACTTCGGGTCGCGGCGATTGCTCGGCGAGTACCTGCTGCGCATCTCGTTGGTGATCTTCACCGTCTGCGTGGCCATCGCCATCCCTAATCTCGGCCCGTTCATCTCCCTCGTCGGCGCAGTCTGCTTGTCCACGCTCGGTCTTATGTTCCCGTCGGTGATCGAACTGGTGACCGTGTGGGAGCTGGAGGACGGCCTCGGCAAGTGGAACTGGCGCTTGTGGAAGAATCTCGCCATCATCTCCTTCGGCGTGTTGGGCTTCGTCACTGGCACGTACGTGAGCATTCAGGAGATCCTGGAGGGCAAATGAGGCGTTCGGCCCGGCGCGAGAGGAACGGCGGCCCGCGGCGGCCGTTCGCGAATACCGCACGTCATCCAACGCGAGTACCACCATCAGCCTCGGATACTCGCCATCGCGCGGGTACCAGTACGGATGACGAGGCGCGTTCGACGCTCGACAGGGCGAAATCGGTCGTCGCGACGACGACGACGACGACGACGACGACGGCGGCGGCGGCGGCGGCGGGGACGATACGCGCGACGCGAGATGTCGACCAACGCTCCCCTTGGCTCCGGGAAATAGGTCGCCCTCCTGCGTGAGACTCCTGGTTCCCGTATCCTTCCTATCGGTAGCGCGATGACTACATAACGACGACGACGATGACGACGACGACAATAATGACGACGGAGACGACGAAGGCAGAGCTTTCGCGTCCATCCAGCTTTCATCTACGCTTCATTTTTTTTTAACGATAGACAGATTATCGTTCGTTAGTAACGCGCGCATTATGTACGACTGACGAGACGTTAAATTAATTATTCTCTTCGGCCGTTTTGTCAATTTCTTTGGTTTATTTTGTCGAGAAAAAAAAATGTCGTTCATCTATCGAGAGTCAGAAGAAATATCAAACTTGAAAATCCAGAATCGCGACTTGATAGATATATGAAATGTTGTCGTACACGTGTTGTCAAACACGTTCTCGCACGGACTTACTAGTTCTCCTTTGGAGATTTTATATTTATTTGAGATTTAATTTCCCCCAGCGCAGGATCTCTCGACTGTCGCAGGACTTTTTGATTTAATTGACAAGATAATTCAGACTCCACGTGCATATTTCGTAACGCAAGGTGACGAGATTAAAATTCGCATTCTGCGAGTCTCCGTCAAGATGTTGATCTATGAGTTAAAGTTTCGCGTTGAATATTAACGACAACTTACATAATTTCTTTCCCTTTTTTCTTTGCGTTTTACGGATTCGCGTCGCGTCGGCCGTACGCGCGCAGCTTCTTTGCAGACTCCACAACTGCGGGACGGTTTCTTTTTTTTCTTCTAGAATAGCGTACGCGACGCTTCCTGGTCGTACGTGAACTTCGCGTACCTACATATACATATGTATACTGTGTGTACATGAGATACACGAAACATCGCGTTTCGTTGACGAGAGACGAGAACCGTACGCTTCGGCTGTTGCGCTCACTCGTTCGAATTATCACGATGAGAGGACGATCTGTAAGATACTGTATTTCGTCGGGAGAATGCCGATCGTGACATCGTGACATCGTCCCTTCCCTTTGCAACCACATAATCTCTGTTACTAACATCTCTTTCGACAGCTTCCGAAATAGATTCGTCTGTTTTTGCGAGAGACGGCATATCACTGAATATTACGCAATAAAAATAAAATGGAAAGGATCTATCCTAATCATCGTACCAATTCTTCAGATCGATTCTCACCGACAATCTGTTTCTCTCACAGAAACAGAAAGGACCGCCGATTTGTGTTGAAATTGACAGATAATTAATTTGTCGGCTAAGGTGAACGCGATAGAATTGAAATTTCGATTTTTTTGAGATGTGACGACCGATCGGCGCGCTTCCAGCGAAAACCGTTGATCTGTTCCTAGTGCATGACGCACGAAATCGTACAAAGATGATTAATTCAGTAAGAGTAGTAGGCAGGAGGGTGCGTAGGTGTAGTAATGTCGTGATGCACGCTTGCTAGTCTGTAAGTCTGTAAGATCGCGATACACCGTTGTCTCGCCGGCGCGCGAGATAAACGACGTCAATTGGTCCCGTTGTCCCGAAAACGGAGCATGTCCGTTTAGCCCTTAGCGTTAACCAAAGGGGAAGTAGAGTCGGAAGTAGAAGACGAATATTCGAACGTCCGCTGCCACATGTATCGTCAGCTAAGGGTAAGAATAGCAACAGGGTTTGCCAAAATTTCTATCTTCTCGAGTAACTGCCACACACGAATAGGGAATCGCGGGCGCGAAAATCAGACTGTCTTGAAAAAACGACGAAAACGAGGAGCTCAGCGCGCAGCTGACTCCTTCGACACTATTCTACTAATCGATGACTTGTGCCTCTCTCGCGTGTTCGATAATTAGCAATAATCTCGATTTATACGTCTTCAGAGAACAATGAATCTTCGTAGGATACGCAAACGAGAAGACTGTAACAAACAACTTTTCTACGAGAGAAATTTAACTACACATATATATTATTTTTTCTGTGTGTATATCGGTCCCGGTAACGTCAAGGTATATTCGTTTTGAAGGCAGTATTATAAGATAAATAGGCTCGCACACGCAGAGCCTGTTTAGAGAGAAGGAGAGAGAAAGAGAGAGATCTGTTGCTCGCGTCGTTGCAGCTTTTAACTTTTTGTGGAATTTATGGAAGCGATATATTCGTGCGTGTGACATCAACGTGCGAAAACTTTCGTAAAACTAATTGTAACTGGCAATTAATCGGACGATCAAATAGCCGTGACAAATTTATTCAACGTAAATGTGCAAAGCTGTCGAATGTAGATGACGATATCACACTTTTGTGTCTATAAAGAGTTAACGCGGCGACGACGAGCTATTGCGATATTCTCTTTGGGAGCCAATCTGTATTGTCTGAGCCAGTTTCACTTTTGGAATAATATGTTTTGTATAAAGATATACATATTCAACGAGAATTTCTACAAAATACCGTGTGATTTATACCGTTTTGATAAGATGTCATCAATTTACACAGCAGGCTCATGGCATTTTCATGATCTTTAGAGAAAAAAAGAATTCGTTGTTTTCGCTTAAGAAAAATTGCCAGGCTCTGCTTTTTTAGGGCCTGTATCTAGTAGGATAAAAAGAATGGACATGCAGTACGTAAGCCGCATGTATTGCTGTATGATTTTTGTAGTACGCTCGTTTGATAATTTAGGGTTTTATATGAGAGAACGTAGAAACGAAAACGTTTATGCTTTCGTCGAGACGCCGACGAGAGTTGTCGACCGTTGCACGGCGATTATTGCCGTTCTTCCGTTTTTATAGAAAAAAAGAAGGAATAATATAAATATGTATATCAGTCGGTTAGAGCGTGTGCACTCGTGCCTTTTATAATCATACACACACACACATACACATACACACAAATATATATATATATATACATATATATATATATATATATATATGTATGTATACATACGAAAACCTTCTCTATCTAATGATATAAGTTCACAACGTGTAGAATTGTTTGTTAAATAAATAAATCGACGAAGTAGGATATTCCAAGAGGATGACTGTACTAGCCAATGTATTCTTTCTTTTGCTTTCACATGAACAATCGATCGGCATGTTCATATTTCAGATATTTGTAACAACAACAACAATGATAATAATAATAATAATAATAATAATAATAATAATAATAATAATAAACGCGACCACGCGTGTTTCTCCGAAGTAATAATTGCCGTGCAAGTGCCATCATTCGAAATGCACAGATTGTTGCTGAATCGATCGATCATCCTATTTAACTTTACGAAATTTAATATGCGATTTGTGAGAAATATTGTTTTTCATATTACTTATATCCTTTCTAAATCCTCTAAGAAAAGATGAATAAAATTTAATTCGACGGAACACTATGGACTTTCCCTTTCTCCCTTTCATTTGAGAATTGTAACACTCTGTACACGATGATAAAAAGAATCGCAAGTTTAATAAGCGAAATGTGTACGTCTTCCGCAATTACACAACGTTAAACGCAATACGCGAATTCCGTATCTTGTCTGCTTATTTCATCGTCAACGTTTAAGACGGTCGCGGTCTAATTGTCGTGCAGCGCAATATTGTGAAATTTAGTATGTAACACCGAAGATTAATTGCGCAATATAGCGCTAATAAAAAATTGGAACGCGCGTTGTTAGACGGATGAGTAATAATGCAAACATTATACATCTTCTCCTCCCCCTCTCTCTCCCACAAGGAAATGAATTGCAGTTTCCTTAATCAGACGAGTTAATGAAAGTTCCCGGCGTATAGACTCGTACATACAATTGCGCGCTTAAATTCACGCGTGTGTATTCGTCACGCTTGACTTAAGCTCAGCAAATATTCGATCGAATCCATTAACGCTCATTATGATGGGAGCTGGAGGAATTGGCAATGTAAAAGTATAATGTAAATAAATTCCACAAAATGACGAGTTTCCTCTTTAAGTTGAGTCGCAATTAAATTTTTTAGCAAGTGAGGGAGGAGGGGGGAGGAATGCAGAAGAATCTCAGGTTAAAATATCATAATGGTTAAACGGTTCTTACTGAATTCGTACTGAATAATCGTATGCGATAATATCGCAACAGCGATTGAATCTATCGAGAAATCTTGAAAAATTAACAATAAGTATTGAATTCCTGTTATATATATATACATATATAAAAAGATTCTCTTACCTCTCCAGTAAACCGCGTCTATCGTATGCTACCCAACACCGGATGCCATAGATCGTACATTTCAACTTGTCGCACTTGCGCAATAGGTAGATTGGTTATTCAATAGGGAACTTTCAGAGATCCCAACACTCTGTTTTTTTAAAACTGCAAAGTAACAGTCCCCTAGCCTTATTTCATTATATACTAACTAGACATAACTAAACGATAATATTTAAGCTCTAATAACTATAATTATCAAGTTTTTTTATAAAATACAAAACACTTTCTTACCACTTGTACTGGAAATATTAAACAATTACTTGATAACTCATCTATCGGATCACTTCTCAGAGTGCGCTTTAGTTCAGTGAAATCACCAACGAAGTAATACAAAGACTGTCAGCCCTGGGTAAATTTTTGTATTGGTTTCATATTTCGATCACGATATTCCTAAAAGGATGCTAATGCACACAGCGAGATATCTTTACGCTAAATCGCGTAAGGCTAAGGCCCCTTGCACAATGCCAGGCAACAAGCAATAAGAATAAAAATAGACCAATCACAATCGACTATTACAAGAATAATCTATTGTGGTCGGTCTATTTTTATTCTTATTGCCTGTTGCCTGGCATTGTGCAAGTGGCTTAACAGTTTTTACAGTATCTCATCGGTGACTATGACTCTTCCAGTTTAAAAAGATCTTTGAAAAAGGACAGATTAGATTTCATTATCATCAAGGTGCATTCACCAATTGTACCATTATCGGTAACTACTGTATGTAGCTCAGAAATATAACAACCTAATTGTTGGCTGTTTTCATATGTAGTGTGGTATGGTACATCTCATACAAATGGCAGTGCATATTGTATTTTGGACTTATCTCTAGCTGATATAATTAGACCAGATGAAAATATGAAACTAATCGCGTTGAGAAATTTAAAGGAGAATATATAAACACATAATAAGTGACTTGAGAATTCAGTTTTCGAACAATATCGAAAAATTCATGCTTTTGTTTTGACAATAATATTAATATTTTAATTATATCAGAACCATCCCAAGTATTTTGTGCACATCTCGAACTTGAAAATGGTGCCAATTGAATAAGGAAACAAATCACCGTGATTGGTTGACTCAAGTTCTCGCATCTCCCATCGTAGCGCTGCTCATAATCATGACAGTATGCATAGGCTGCGTTTCGAAGATGGATGGAAATGCACCAATCAGAACGCAGTATTTTTATCCAGCACGAAAACAAGCCATGGCCAGTGTGCCACTGGCTTTGTAGTATAATTTCAGTGTGTCAATGAATATCGGAACGCAGCCACAGTATAAACTCTTGCGATTATTCTTGATCCGTGACGCAAAATGGCTGAATTTTCGGTAATATCTCTCAAATAATAACGACAATTCCATCAATCGCGATAAATTGATATCCTATTGAATATTGATTCTAAACTAGTATTTGCTAGTGTGATAAGAAGAAAAAATTGTAACATGTTAAACGATGTGCCCAAAAGGTTGCCAAAATGTTCCGAAAGTACGGTGGTAAGTAAAAACTCTTATATATGTACTCCTGTATGCCACAAATTTATTTGTTATTCTTTATATCATCGATATTGAAATTAGTGTATCAGTCATGTACAAATGCGACTGGATATATGTATATATTTTAAACAAACACTTGCGTGTGTGTATATGTTTGCTACGTGTGTATATTGCAGCTTCCTCTGATCGATAGAATCTGTTTGATGGGGATTTAAATGAAGTAATTTAAATTTAAATTAAAGTTAATGTCTAATGAAGAGATGAAAATGTGAATATCTGATAATGTTTTTCTAGGCCGACGTGCGTGAAGATGAGGAACAAACCACCAAGTTTCAAGAAATCATTGATTTACTTGTTGCAGCAGGTTATTTTAGAGCACGGATAAAAGGTTTATCAAATTTTGATAAGGTTTGTGAATTATATATTGATTTTAATTTTCAACATATGCGCGACTTCTGAAATAATGTTTGATTAGGTGGTCGGTGGCATGACTTGGTGCATAGAATCATGTAATTTTGATGTAGATGTGGATTTACTTTTTCAAGAGAATCTCACAATCGGTCAGAAAATGTAAGTTATTCTGTAGATTAAAATATTTTAGTAAACAGTTTCTTATTGTATTAACAGAATTTTTTATTCAAGGATTTCTCTGGGAAGATATACTTTTTACATATTACATAAAGAATATATGTTGCAGTTCCTTGACAGAGAAAATTGTAGTCATGCTTCCTAAAATGAACTGTCCATATCGGATAGAACCACACCAAATACAAGGTTTAGATTGTATCCATATATTTCCGGTTGTTCAGTGGCTGGTGAAACGTTCTATGGAAATGCGACAGGAAATGGCAGGCTTTGTGAGATCTTTTGCTCTAAATCAATTTCACAAAAAACATTCATTTAGTGAGGATGCAGAGGTTGGAAGAGTGGCTAGGGAAAACATGATTAAAAATTTACATTCAGTCAAGGTACAATTTATTTCTATCATAGGCATTCATCATACTGCAAGTATACAGTAGACACGCGTGATATTAAATTATTTATTTTAGAAAGCCTATGAGCCACGACGTTTATTCAAGCAAAAAGAAGGTTTTCTGAAAGATGAAACCAACAGGTTTATTAGTACAGTATTGGAATATGAAGCACCTTTTGATGCTGTTAAAACAACTGTGACTACGATATCGACATCAGTAGAACCTAAAAGTAGCGGCCAAAGACCCGAGTCGACTAATGAAAAAAATGAAAAAGTACCGTGAAAATATTTTAAAATTTACATTTGTTCAGTAGTATTTATACTATAGAAATGTTGGTGTACTCATTAATGTTTTATAGAGTACCACTGAAGAAATTACAGCCGCTTTAGCTGTCATAGAAGAAAATTCGGTATGTAGAATTTAACATGTTTTCATTTTATCGTAAAATTAGATAATAATTAGTGATTCTAATATAATGATTAATAATTATGATCATTATATAGGCACGTTTAAGCGTAAGCACAGTGGGAAATATTGTTGGTATACAAGCACAGGAAATTGCCAAAGTGGCGGAAAAATACGCGGCTATGTCCACTTCTGAAGTAGAGGTAAGTTTTCGTATGAAACATGCATGTTGTATAAACGAGAGAGAAATGTTTTATATTATATGTAACGTATTTTTATACGAATATAGGATGGCGCAACCGATTCGTCGTCGCGTGCTTTGATAGCATTACAGAAACAAAAGGCAACTTTGCAATCTAGAGTTCGCAGATTAACAAAGGAGAAAGACAGTTTGTCGGATAAACTTGCCGAAATAGTTGAAAAAGCGAAAGAATGTCGTACGAAGAAAGAAGCTATCGAACGTTCGTTCAAGAAGATTCAAGAAATCGGAATCAATGATAACGATAGGTATTTGAAAATAATAGGGGAAAAATCAAGGACTAATTTATTTGTTATATACTAATAGTAGAATCTACTTTAATAATTATATCAACTTCATTCTCAGCGTCTTCAACCGACTGGAGGAACTTTTGTCTGTACACGACGGATTAGTGGAGCAGGAGTACAATTTCCGAGAGCAATGCAAATCGGATTTGAATCTTCTTCGAGATATGTTACAAGAGATCGAGGATGGCGCTCCAGCGGAGGAAGAAGATCGCGTTAAAGAATACGAAGATCAGAAGGAAGCCGTAACGCGAGTGCGACTGTTGCTAGCGAAAAAGAACAGAACTATCGCATCTTTAACGAGACAATTGGACGATGTTCCAGGACGCTCTGAACTAACGCAGTATCAACGACGTTTTATGGAGCTCTACAATCAAGGTAATGAAATTTATCTTTATTCGCGAATATAAAATTTACGATCAATATTTCGACTAAATATTATTGCAGTTTCGGCCAAGCATAAGGAAACTAAACAATATTACACGTTATATAACACTCTTGATGATACGAAGCTGTATCTAAGTAAGGAATTGTCGCTGCTGAATTCCATTCAGGATAATTATAACGAGTATGTACTACATACACACACACACACACACACACACATTAATGATATTAAAGTAGTCGTGACGTTAACGATATATGTATAATTTTGTTTCATGATAGAGCTATGGCTTCAACGAGCGGCAAGGAACAATTCTTGAAGCAGTTCGAAACAATTGTTGCCGGAGTGAAGCGCAATAAAGCAATGGTAAACGGAATATGTAAAATACATTATGACAATCTAGAAGCTTGATCGATAAAATGAGTGTTTATTCAGGTGGAGAAAAGATGCGCCGACGAGAAGAATCGCCGTGACGCGCTCAGTCGACAACTCGTTACTCTTATAGAGCAACAACGCAAATACGTCGCGGCGGTCAGACAACTCACCATAGAGTGTCGTAAAAATGAGGCTCTGCTGGCTCAACTTCGAGGTCCGTAGGTTTCCATTCGTATTTCCACCACGGGAAGTGACGAAGAAAGGGCGGTCTTCGCGTTAGGAAAGCGCATTTACATTTATTTACAGCACATTAAAAAGTGACGTTTCCAGCAATTTAGAAATCTCTAAGTTATACATAATATATTATATAATTTATAAGATATAGCGAAAGTGTAAATACATAGCTCGTAATATGCAATTTTACATATTCGTGCGCGTCGACGCGCATATATTCGCGGGTTAAAGGCGAAAATAAAATTATTTCGTTTGAAATATTTTGCGTGCTTTGTGTACAATCTTCCAGGCGCAACGTATATTCACAAAGCATACGTATATTTTCTAGCAGCTGTAGGGATGTTTATAAAACATGACGCAATTGCTCCGAGAGCGCGCAGTATTGCGTATAAGCGTGAATTAAAATAGTAGTTACCGCTCGAGTCACATGACATCGAGTTTTATTGAAGTGCATATTGATCCATATGTCGTACTTGTATATATGTGTGTGTGTGTGTGTGTATACACATCAGAACTGAGCGGCTTGGTCTCGATAATATACTACTACCGCTCGCTCGTTTATTTTTCCTTTTCGCGTTCCTCGCGAGGTCTCCTCGGCCGAGGTTCCTCGGCTTGCTGGCTGAATGCGATGCATTCGAAAGCTGCGTTTACGCGTAAAGCAGTTAGACACAATGCAACGTACGTGCTACGTGGATGACGTAATCGCTCATATTACGAACGCAAAGCTCAAGCTTCTTCTCTTGTACTCATTGAGATTTATTCCTAAGGAATAAAAACGAACGAGAGAGGAAGGATAACCATTTTTACGTGTAATTTCGAATTTCAAGATCAAAGATACACTTCCGCGTTACACACCTGTTGCACTCGTATGGGAACGAATCAAGCGAGTGAACGATCTTTAGCCGTTACTCATCTGATCTTGCGTTATCACGTTCGTTGCGTCAAACGTTTCATCTTCATCGTAAAACTTCCTAGCTAAATAGGTTACATCTGACGGATTGACGGCTGTATAAACGCCGACATGTGTGAACAATCAGATGTAAGATTAAAAGTGAAGTAATACGGGTGTCATGGTGTGTGTCTGCTAGCTCGCTCCGCTGCGCATGCGTCGGTCTGTCCTTCCGTTAAACTGCACCTGCATATCACTGGGTTAGCGCCAATCCGAGTAGTTTTGTTTCCGGCGGTGCTGTGTGGTGGTCACATGTGTGTTTTCTCTCTCTCTCTCTCTCTCTCTGTCTCTCACCTTTATACTTACCGCGAGGTGCTATTGATAGTCGTCGATGCTAGTCGATGCTATGTACAGAGTCGCGATTGCGAGACGCACGGACGATCGAACGACGAAGGTGCAACCAAGTGCGTGAACATGAAAGTGTGGTCGGACGACAAAGATTTGGATAGCGTGCTCGGACTCGTTGTCGACCCTTCTCTACCGTTGGAGGCACGTTGTTTTTGGCGCGTTTACTAAATTCCATGCGAGAAGAGAAGCGTCTACGTTCCGGTGTGTATATTTTATGACTTGCCAAGCCGTATCAGATAAGTCGCGGTGCGAAGCATGGCGAAAGAAGAAGGGGACGACGTGCTGCCGGACAAGGACGCGGCGAAGGGATTCTACGCCAAGTACGAGCCCAAGGAGATCCTAGGAAGGTGCGTGTCGTTGGGTCTTACATCGCGTTTCCTGCTACTATTGCTATTAAATCGAGTCAGGCATTTTTGACAGCGTATTTACGTATTATTTCCGTATTATTGTGTGTGGCGCTAGCGATCTTGGCAAATGAATGCGAAATCGCGATGGATCCTTGTTGTAGCGCGTTAACGGTGACATTACATAATTAAAGTGAATTTCGAGAGGTTGTTTGTATAGACCGCTTCGCAAACATCGTGTTATTCCTTCAACGAAGACTAAGTTTAAGTTTTTGGTTATATTTATTATATTTCAGGGGAATATCCTCCACTGTGAGAAGATGCATAGAAAAAGAAACAGGTATAGAGTATGCGGCTAAAATTATAGATATCAGTAATGAAACTCATGAGGATGGAATGAAGGATGCCACTCTACAAGAAGTACAGATACTTCGCAGGGTAGCTGGACATCCATATATTAGTAGGTTCTCTTTTTCTGACAGATTGATTGAGAATGCACAATGTATATATGTTACAAAGCTAACGTAACTTTAAGATTCTCAGTTATCATGCTTTAAGTAAGATAATTATTTCTCTTTTCAGTTGAATTGCACGATGTCTTTGAGTCTAATACATTTATATTTTTAATTTTTGAACTATGCAAAAATGGAGAACTATTTGATTATCTCACATCTGTCGTGACGCTTTCTGAAAAAAAGACACGGTATATCATGAGGCAAGTATTTGAGGGACTCCAACATATACACAATCAAGGGATAGTGCATAGAGATTTAAAACCTGAGAATATATTGCTCGATGATAACTTGAATGTAAAAATAACAGATTTTGGTTTTGCCAAAGTGTTGAAGCCTGGAGAGAAATTGTACGGTATGTTCTATTTTTATGAATGAGCAAACAGTTGTATGATAATAGAAAACTTTCCTCATCAATTTGTATACTTTTCTTACAGATCTTTGTGGTACACCTGGTTACTTGGCACCAGAAGTATTAAAATGTAATATGTTTGAGACTGCAGAAAGTTATGGATTTGAAGTTGACATGTAAGTTTAGTTTTTACTATAACAGATATTATATTACTGATCTCATTATATATATAGACAAAATTTTGTATAAATCTTAATGTTAATTGTATTAAATATGTCATATTTTTATCGTTAATTTTTATGTTTACTATATTATAGATGGGCCTGTGGTGTAATTATATTTACACTATTAGTAGGCAGTCCTCCATTCTGGCATCGAAAGCAAATGGTTATGCTTAGAAATATAATGGAAGGAAAATATTCATTCACATCTCCTGAATGGGCTGATATAACAGGTAAAGATTATACAGTATCGATAAAAGTTTTATTTTAAGGAATAATATACTGAGAAATTGTGAAATATTAATGTTATATATTTTGTTTGTTTCAGAGGCTCCAAAGGATTTAATAAGGAAATTGTTGGTTGTTGATCCTAGGAAAAGAATTTCTATAAAAGATGCACTAGAACATTCTTTCTTCCATACTGTTGTAAGTACCCTAAAGTTATAGATATTAGCAGGTCCGTCGACATTTATAACTCATTTTAAAAGAGTAAATTTAATATAGTAAAAGATCCCCTTTCTTTAAATAACTAATGCATACTTTATACACCTTGTTTCAGTACAAAATTAAAATATCTTGCCATTAATTTGTTTGCTTTTTTTGTTTTTGTTCATTATGTCTCTGTACCAAAATATGCCTGCAGCCATCTCGATACAAGCACTTTTAAATAATTATTGATATAACTTACACCTCATAGATTATCCTCAACTTGAGATATATTGTAGTAATGATGATCCATTATCCATCAATATATTTCAGGATTTAAAGTCTATCAGATATAAGTTAATGTCAATAATGTGGCACTTACTTTAATATCTAAAAATTGTAACATGCATAAAATATATAGGTGAAGGAAATTTCATTAGAAATACTTGTATTTTTCTATCATTGTACATTGATATAAAACTGTAGGATTTTTGAAGAAATTATGAATATGTATGTATACATATATATTTATGTATGTATGTATATATGTATATATGTATATATTAATGAGTATATATAAATTTTTCAATTTTGATTTTTCTCAGTTGATAAAAATACATTCCAAATTGTGCTAAATGTCGTTTGATAAGTTATGGTACCATTGTAAAATAAGTAGAGTAAGTAAAGCAAGTTATTGGCCTTACAGCTATGGGATCAAGACATCGCTCCTCTAAAACGTTCTCTATCGTCTAACTCGCGACGTCTGAGTAGGATATCTCAGTTAGCTTTGGTAAATTATTTTCCTTTTTATTTTGTTCGGCGGCAAACAAAAAATACGCCGATTATATTTGTTAGTTTTATGTAACAGTTAACATTTATATCGCTTTTGAAAAGCATTCACCGAATGTAGCAGAGTTAGGTGAATGTATAGAAAGATTTATCATGCTAATCTAGGATGATGTGGTTTCTACTTGTGGTAGCAGAAACACTTTTAAATTTGATTCATTATGCTTGTTTCTTTTTCAAATAGTTATTTATATTTTATATGTTCTTATACGGCACTTTATACTAACAAGTGTTATTTCTATAAAGTATTTGCATGCAAATATTAATATTTCAATGTTTTGTCACCTAATTTCGTCATCGATACTTAAAATATTATAGCATTGTAACAAAATATTTTGGATTTTATTGTATCTAATGAATACATGATATGATAATAGCCTTTTTAATATATCTATATGAATACTAATTTTCAGCAGTATATAGATGATTTATATTAGTAAATTGTGTGATAATAATGATTTCTAATAACATATACTGACGATTTTATCATGTATTCTTTGTTGCACAGGAATTGAAGGCCAAGTCGTTTAATGCACGGAAAAGATTCCAGCTAGCAATTATTTGTGTACGAGCTGTTATTCGCATCAAACGACTCCATAGTACACCAGAACCACTTTCGACACAGATAGTTTGTACCGATCCGTATAGAATAAAAGTTTTGCGAAAGGTAACTGCATATATCGTACTTTTATATGGATTATATACGTGTACTATTTGAGGACATTTATATTTCGTTGTAGGTAATCGACGGCTGTGCGTTCCGGGTCTATGGACATTGGGTAAAGAAGGGCGAAGGTCAGAACCGCGCGGCTCTCTTTGAAAATACACCAAAGACAGAATTGAAGCATCTATACGTTAGTAACTTAAGTAGATAACTATTACTTTGCTAAATCGTTCTAGTTAAATTTTACCGCAAATCGGAATCTCCATGGTCGAATGTTCTAATGAAATATGTTAGACAAATTTTTATCGTTACGACATTACGATTAGGTAACTATTGATCAAATTGTTCAGCATTGTTCAGCAAATTTATACTCATAAATTAGTGTTGATATTAGTACAAACAATCGGTATATATGTCAACACAAACTAAAATTATGAAGAATTAATTTCTACACGAAATATTTGAACACAAAAGAGCAAAATGTAACATTTCTCTTGTACTATATTTTTAAATATATTTAAGGAATCACATTGTCACTATACATTTGCAATCACATTTTTTCATTGGAATAGGATCAGCGTATTTATATATATATATAGTTATCGGAATTTTGCTCTGACAATATAATTATTTATCTAAACTTAGGAGAAAGAAACAATAGAACATAATTTTATTCTCTCTGTGCTATGTATTTTAATCACTCAACAAAATGGTACTAATAATATTTATAAAAGTTGTACTTCTTTTCATAAAAGTACTGTGGTACTTTGGTAACATACTTAATATGTTAAATTCTTGCAAAACGTGAAGTCCTCACGGACATTGACACTATATGTAAATATTGATTTTTACATTAGACAGTATATAATATTTCAAAATCTAGTCATACTTTGTACAAATGAAACTATTTTAAATCATATATATTACAGGTAAATTCTCACGACGAATTAGAATATGAATCAAGCAAGACTCGTTACTAGCATGATTACAAAGATCTGTACTTTTACAAGATTTCAATATTGCAGTATATATCTGGTACAAAAGACATTTTCACAGTGACATGACAATTTGCAGGTGACACGAGCATTACATGAGATGAGATTATCATTATTTCCAAAGAAAAAGCGGCTCCTTATATTCTATTGTACATTAATATTTTAGTCTTACAGATACGGTATAAATATGTAAGTTTGTAGTGACTCGACTGCACTTAATAGTGTTCAAGAAATGTATTATTATATATCATCGTTTTTGAACAGTGTGCTTGTATTATGTAATAACCTGACCTAAGACCATAGTTTTGTATATGAATAAATATACAAATTATCAATTGTTACGAACGATTGTTTTGCAAGAATTTATTCTACAGATACTTCTTTGTATCGCGAAGCGTGCGCATATCCTCGTGAGTGAATTCAATGGCCATTAATCGAGCCGGTGCAACTGTCACGGTCAATTAACAGGCGAGTTTTCGCAAAAAGGAAAATTAAAAATAAAGCATCTCTCGCGTGGACGTATTTTTGGCGGCCGCGGTGGCCTCACGCCGTCTCACGGGCATGCGCATTCGCGAAGGTAAACAATGGAGCATAGCTCTGTCCATGTCCGACCGAGAGGCGGGGGCAAGTAAAAGCGGCAACAGCGTATGCACACGCGAGCGCGCGCGCGCGCGCTCGGCTCGTGCGGCAGCGGCGATCCATGTGACAGAGAAGGAACGTGACAAAAGCTGGCAGAGGGTGACGGCGCCGCCGCCGCGATCGGAGCGCGAGTGTTTGCCCGGGCGAGCCGGGTGTCGGGTGTGCTCCGCGCGTCGATCCCTCTCGCCGCGTACGTGTCCCGTGTGTGCCAGCGCGCGTCTCTTGTGTCCGTCGCGCGATGTGAAGTGAGCGAAGGCTCGCACGACGGATCGTTTGTCGTTGCGCGACGCGTTGCTTCCGCGGTGGAGAATCTGCGACGGAGAAAACGGCAACATCGAGGCAAAGTGCGTGGGCCCAACTGGTGACTGCTGCGACACACGCGCGACGACGACGACGACAACGACGACGACGACGACGACGACGACGACGACAAGGACAACGAAGAGGAAGAAGAAGAGAAAGAGGAGAAGGAGGAAGAAGAAGACGATGACGACGGGGCGACGATGTTCAACGGATTGATCAGCTTATCGATGGACTAATCAAGCAACCGACCGACCGACCGACCGACCGACCGACCGACCAACCAACCAACCAACCAACAAAGCAACCAACCAACCAACCATCGACCAACCGACCCACCGACCGACGGCAGCAGCGGCGGCGGCAACGGCAGCGGCAGCAGCAGCAGCTCCGATACTTCACTCACGCCCAGCGGGATTGTGCGTCACATGGGCCGCGCTCATTGGTCGATAGAGCCGTGTGACGTCACAAACTGCACGGTGATTGGCTCGCGACGCGGTGCCCGGACACGTGAATCGTGGCCGTGCAGGCATGGCAGTTTGATGCGCAGTGGTTTTCAGCACTTGTAAAATGCCACTGCCACGCGCCAGATCGATCAGGTTATAACCCGCGTTTCGTCGCGCGCTCCGAAACGGTCGGTCCGTCGCGCGGTGGTCGCACGTCGCGGTCGCGGCCGTGATTGCGAATACCTTCGCTTGGCATTGGCTTACCGCGTCGTCGGCCGCTCGCACGACTCGATCTGATCCGCCGGACCCCGCGCGCGAGATCTCTTTTGCCGCGCGCGCGCGCGCGCGCGCCCGACCGACCGACCGACCGACCGGATTGACAAATACGCGTGGATACGTGCCGACCGCGTCGGCACCGAGTGGATAGTGCAAGCGGGTCGGGATAGGAAGCGGCATTCGGCGAACACGTGAACGGGTACGAGAAAGGCGGCGGGGGATACGTGATCCGGAAGGCAAAGTGCGCTCAACACACAGCAGTGTGAGTTTGAAATCATATGAATCGGTACACTAGGTGCAATACTACCCGTAGCTTTCGACAAAGGCACACAGAGCTCCGGTGCTTCCCCCCTCCCCCCTCCTCCGCTCCCTCTCCTCTTTCTTCTCTATCTCCGTCCACGTCTTTCTCTCTGTCTCGCGTTACCACGCCCGTTCGACAGAGAGAGCAACAGGGACGGGGTGAGAGAGGGAGCGCCAGAGAGAGAGACAGACAGAGACAGCGAGAGAGAGAGAGAGACAGACAGACAGACAGACAGACAGACAGACAGAGAGAGAGAGAGAGAGGAGAGGAGAAAGAGAGTGAGCGAGTGAGAGGTAGAGAGTGAGAAAGAGAACGCGAACGAGCCGTGGCGAACCATTATCTCCTCCGTTACTATCGCCTATTTAATTAACATGTGTATAGAGGTGGTTGCGTGGCGTGTTTTCCGTGCCATAATAGAGCGGACCAATAGCGCGACGTTCAACCGGTGACGTCACAGGCCGCCAAGTGTCGCGATTGGCCGGCGTATGCGTGCGTCGTCGACGTGCGTCCTAACGTGCGTGTCGCTTTGTCAGTTTAAGGAGCTCGCGCGCCGCTCGCGGCGGCACGCTTCCTTGACTCTTCGCGAGGACGCGCGCCGCCCAGGCACCGCGTGCGTGCACTTCTCCCTCGTCGTCGCCGCCGCTGCCACCTTTGCGATTGCCGCTGCCGCTGATGACCACGACGACGACGGCGACGACGACGACGACGCCGCCGCCGCCGCCGCTGACGTTAACGCTGCCGCGCTCCGTTCTGCTCCGTTCTACGCTACGCCGCGCGTCCTCTCCCTCTCCTCTATTTTCGCGTGCCGACCCCGCGCGTCTCCCACGGAGAATGCGAGCGCGACCGCACGTCGTCGACGCCGTACGCTTTCGCGATTCCGCTGGCCGAGGTATATATCTACTTTCCAAATGGACACACTATACTGGACCTCGATACCCCGTTCTGTTTCCTTTCGTCTCTTTGCTCGCGGTCTGAGCTTGTTTCTTGTTCTTTTCTTTTTTTTCTCTCGATAATTGCAGCTTGACGCGATGCGTCTCTGGAAATCGTCCTACCGATCGAAATAATGAGGGTACCGTAGTAGATTTAATAAAGTTGTGCGATTTGAAACAGATGTAAAAATAGGATCTAGGATGACACATTGACACGTGTATTCGAATTAAGTGATATAGGAATCGTTCGATACTTTTCGGACGTTCACCGGGAGTGACGCAGGTGCTCGAGGAAGTGACTGGCCCGTTTCTCTGTACTTATTTCTATACTTTGTACGGCCAAGTTTCATTTTCCCCGCGACCGTGTCTCATCGTTTCTCGACGGTGTTCGTCGTCGTCGCGATTGTTCCTGCGGGAATATCTCACAGAGCGAAAGAAATTTTCCCCTCGCGTTCTCTACTTTCTCGTTCCTCTTCAGCGTGACTTACGCGATTTCTTATATACCGGCACGCCGCAATCGCGTACGTCCTCGGCCGCACGCCACGTAACGAGACACTGTTCTTCCTTTTCTTTGATTTTTATACGACGCGAGCGAGCGGCGGTGGGACAAGACGACGACGACTCGCGCGAAAGCATCGACGCGCCACTTGGCGACGTCGCCGCGAATTGTCGATTCCCAGCCGGTCGCGCTACATATCGAATCTCGAAACAAAGCGCACGCGCGCGCGTCGAAAGTATAGCCTCGGTCGAGAGAGAGAGAGAGAGAGGGAGAGAGAGAGAGGGGGGGAGGAGGAGAGACTGACAGGCAACAAGGCTATCGCTGCTCGATGCACGGGGGATATCAGTGGAATTCATTCTTTATCGCACTGCAGTAACATTCGACTGCGATGCGCCGATAAGATTTGAGACAACGGTCTTTACACGTGCGCGCAATGTCTCTCGACTCGGCGATGCTCGGCGCGACGATCACAGAAACTCGCCGCGAGACAGCCTGACGCGCATTTTTCGCCCCCCGGAGCTTTCTCGCCTTTTTTGAGCCGCCTGCCGTCGTCGATTCTTGACTCCTCCAGTAACGCGAGCTCTTCTCCGGGATGCGTGCTATCGCGCTGCGCTGCAGAAAAAGCCTCCGCCGTGCGCGCATGCGCGCCGCGTACCTGTTTGGTGCGCGATGTTGCGAGAGCAGCGTGAGTGGGTGGCCGGGGTGAAAACAAGGCGCTTCCCGCCTTGCGACTGCGTTACGTCACGTGTACGTCACGTGACATACGTGTCGTCGTAGACACACACCGGTCGTGTCCGCGACGTCCACGACACCTTCTAGAGATAAGCTCGATAAACGCAGTTCCGTGCAACGAGCCCTGCCGAACAATGCGGTAAGAGCTGCGCTCCAAGATTCTCTGATAAGGAGGAGCTTTCGCGACACATGCACGCATGCATACACACACACACACACACTTTCTTCAAATTTCCCCGATAAATGTGTCACGCTACCGTCGCCCCGCCGTTGTCTCAAAGTAACGATTGCACCGGAGCGAACGTTTGCCTTGAGAGTGCCGCCGGAGACAGAGAGAGAGAGAGAGAGAGAGGGGGGGGAGAGAGAGAGAGAGCGTTGCTTTTATTTCGAATCGCACAGATGAGAGGTTGCGCGAGTCGCTTATTAACGAATCGATTTGCTTGCACACGTAGGCTGTCGGAGGCAAAGCCGCCGCCGGTGCGTAGAGACGGGCACAGGGGACGACTGGAGGTAAAGAGGCGCGCTCTCGACCTGGTGCTGCTGGTCCATCTCGCTGCCGTCCAAAATCACCGGCGACCATCGCAAAGCCGGCTCGCCGATGCCGCGGAGCCAGAACGATCATTCTGCCGTCCGCGAGCACAGAGAGTCGGCGCAACAGCGACAACACCAGCAACAGCAGCATCATCGGTCTGTCCCCTCCACCTGCTCCGCGACAGAACAACATACCCCGAGCGGGATGAGTCTGGAAACATTGCTGCAGGCGGCCTACTACGTAGAACAGGAGGAGAAGAAGCGGGAGCGCCTCGCGAGCACCTCCTCCTCCTCTTCTTCCTCCGAACAGCATTTGTTCGTGTCTGCTGCGCCACTCCTCTCCAATCATACTTACGCCTCCACTACCAGGCCACGTGGTGAGTTTCCCGCGCCGTTTCCCGACGACCTTTCAACGCCGTTGCATTGTTGTGTATGTGCGGCAGAAACGGTGAGAGAGACAAAAAGAGGAAGATGAGAGGGAGGGAGGGAGAAGGAGAGCGTTGAGAGGGGTTAGGGGCGAGGAAGGAACGTGCAGTGGCGTCGCGTCGCGTCGCATTGTGTTATGTTGTGACACGGGCGCCGCAGGGTCGTTGGCTCGTTGGAGCCCAAGTATCAAAAGATGCTTTGGTACCGGGAGAAAGTATCGAAGCTCGAAAGAGCGTCTAGCTAAACGCGACATTCGGTCGTCGCGCGTCGCCACCGGTCCCGATCACCCGCCGGATCTTGAAAAGGAAATGTCCTCGCGTTGCGTTTGTGCCACAAACGTCAAAGCCGCCGGACACGACGCGTTCGAACGCACGCGGGAACGAGATACGGAGTGTTTCTCTCGCGCGTCGCACTGAAATATCGCGCGCGATCCGTCCGCGGTCCGCGCTTGTTTTCTCCGAGAGACACGGATAAGGACGACGAAATGTCGCAAGCGTGTCCGCCACGCCGCCGCGTTATCGCGAGGCGCGCGACGCTTATTTGTGCACGTCCTTCCCTTCTTTCTTTTCTCCTCGCGTTTCGCGGCCGGACGGCCCGGCGCGTCGGTGCGTGGTGAGTAATCGGCCGATAATAACGCGACGCCTTCTTCTTGAGACGCAAAAATATCGATTAACTCACGCGCGCGACGCGCGACGCGACGCGACGCGACACGCGCTCGAGCGTGTGAAAGCAGTTAAAACGGGAGAACGTGAGATCATTCCACGAGACGGCTATCTTGATCCTTCTCCGGAAGATAAGCTTCGGAATTCCGCGAAATCCCGGCTCGATCGAGAGGCGACAGCCTCTCTCGACCTGCTGTGATCCTCCGCCGTCGATTGGCCCCGCGCGACGAATCTCTCAATTGAGAGGCACTGCCGCGTGTACGCACATGTGAATCGCGCGCGATGACCTACGCGCTCGCCGCCTCCAAATTAGGTATGATTTACCTCGCGGCAGTGTCTCTCAATAATGGCGAACACCTCGGGAAAGTAACGGAGCCGGTCGGAGCCCGCCGCGCCGAGGAGATTACGGCCGACGCGTCTGTTGTTCGCGACGCGCAGCCAATTAGCTTTCGAGCGTGCATCCACCACGCCGGCTTTTTCTCCCCCGGCCCGACGAATGAATCTCTAGTCGCATTTACGCGCACCTCCGAGCGGAAAGAGCGCCCGTGTTGTGTATCTCTCGAAGAAAGGAAAAATGCGATACGACGGGGAGGAGGGGGTGTTCGCGCAGTCGTGAGATAGCGGCGAATTATTCTTCTCCGACTCTACAATCTATCGGTCGATCGTTCCGGCCGCGCTGGCCCCCGGGCGATCGTAATCGCGGGACTAACCGGATCATCGGCGTTGTGTCGCTTCGATTGCCGCGTTTTCCCGGGTCAACGACTTGACCAGTCGCACCGATCCTGCGAGACGGGTCCTCGACGCGCACGCGAGAAAAGGGCACCCGGACGGGCACGAAACACGGCGCGATGCACGCGACTAAGTCGTCTCTCGCCGTTCTCTTGCTCCCCCCCTCTCTCTCTCTCTCTCACTCACTCACTCTCACTATCTCTCTCTCTCTCTCTCTCTCTCTCTCTCTCTCTCTCTCTCTCTCTCTCTCTCTCTCTCTCTCTCCCCCTCTCCGCCTCGCGGAGGAGATCGTCGTGAACGACCTCGCAACTCTCGAGACTGGTCTCGAGGTCTTTTCTCACGTTCGCGTTCGACGAGGAGGAGAACCGCGGCGCGGAAATCGTCGAACGATGCGTTTCCCGCGACGCGGACCGCGAATTTACGCGGCGCGATCCGGTTACACATTTGCGACCGCTGCGGCTGGGACAGGCGGCCGATTGTGCCGATCACCGGCGGAGTGCAGCGTGCTCAGCAACGAGCTGCGAGAATAGCATCGGGAGAGGATGCTGGAATTTTCCCTTTCTCGCGCCGCGCGCGCGAAAGTGCATCGTGAATAGAGCGATGGATGTTTACGGGGGCTCGCGAGGGGCCGCGAGGGAAACGAGACCGAAGGGGTGGGAACAGACCTCAGCTTCTCAGGGGGTTGAAGAGGGGACCGGGTGGAGAAAAAGAGAGAGAGAGAGAGAGAGGGAGCATCGGCGAGGAGCGCGCGCGGCAAAGATTCGTTTGATTCGTGCGCTTCGCGGCGGAATCAACGGCGCGTGTTCAAGCCACTTGCACGTCGAGGGGCAGAGAGAGAGAGAGAGAGAGAGAGAGAGAGAGAGAGAGAGAGAGAGAGAGAGAGAGAGAGAGAGAGAGAGAGAGAGAGAGAGAGGGAGAGGGAGAGGGAGCCGCGAGGGGTATTGGAGGGTGGCGGAAGTCATGGCGACTCGGTGCGGTCGAGGGGCAGAGAGAGAGACGGGGAAAAAGAGGGGGGGGGAGAGAGAGAGAGAGAGAGAGAGAGAGAGAGAAAGGACGGAGAAGTGGCGTAGGTACTCGACCGACGAGGTCGAATCGTCATGGAGGAAGGGAGGGTAAGGTGAAGCGGCGCGAAACGAAGCGGGGATGAGAGGAGACAGAGCGAGAGAGAGTGAGAGGGGGAAAAAGAGAGAGGGGGAGAGAGCGACGGTGGTGACCGTGGTGCTGTCGTTGCTGCTGCTGCTGCTGCTGCTGCGGCGGCGGCGGCGGTGGTGTAGTAAAACCCGGGTACCGTGTGCGTCGTGAGAGGGAAGAGTGGGGGGGGGAGGGCGACCCGGTCACTGACTCTGGAAACTACGGCTGCGGCACTCGCGCTTCATTCACGTGCGCGCCATCTACTCGCGCGCGCGCGACCGGTACCGCTCTCTCTCTCTCTCTCTCTCTCTCTTCCCCCCCACTCGTTTCTCCTCATGGACACCTCTCTCTCGGTGCAGCTAGATGCATCATTGTTATTATTATGTTTTAACGAATGTTCACGAGCTTGTCTCAGCCGACACTCGAGATCGCGAATGAGGTATCCGCGAATCGGGGTTGCTGATGCGATCTCTCGGGATAATGATGTAAGCAGGTCACTGGTGCGATGAAGGAAGCGCCTTGTATCATCTGAGAGAGAGAGAGAGAGAGAGAGAGAGAGAGAGAGAGAGAGAGAGAGAGAGAGAGAGAGAGAGAGAGAGAGAAAGAGAGAGAGAGAGAGAGAGCGTGCGTGCGTTTATTCGCTGATCGTCGCACGTGTTTGCCTCTTGTTGCCGCCGCTTATCCGCTCTTATCTGGCTTATCGTCCCGCGCGGGATTTTTCCCTTGTTGCGACGCCGGACGCGCGGGCGACTCGGCGACCGCCGATCGCGGCGCGCTGCATTGTACGAAGAAGGTGGCGAAAAAGCTCGCATCACTCAGGTCAGGATCAGAGATATAATTTTTTTTTTTCGAAGTCTTCGTATTCGAAGCTTCGGTACAAAATATTCGACGATCGAAGTTTCGAAGCTTCGAAGCCTCAGTCTTCGAACTTCGAAATTTCGTGAATTCCAAGATGATACGGGAACCGAACTACGAGCCGATACTTTTGTTATCTGCGGAACGTAGAATGTATAACTGAGATGCTCCGGCATGGCAGTGCATGCATGCAGAAACCAAAGACCTCAGGCTCGGAAACAACCGCCCCTCCTTATCCTTGGAAGCTTCGAAGAGTGATATCTTCGAAGCTTCGGCGTAAAAAAAAAGAAACTTCAAAGTTCCGAAGTTGACTCGAGAGCTGCCGAAGAGTAACAGCCCTAGTCAGGATCGATGTCTCTTCGTAGGTACGCCGCGTCGACGCGAACAGGTGTTCGCGAGTCCGCGGGGTGACGTGTTTACGCACGCTCGGCCAACGCGCCGGCGAAAAGTGCGGTTTTCGTCCGCGCGCAATCGATGCCTGCGTGCAAACTCGCAGCGAGAGCGACGTAACGTTCCAACGGCGGCGAGCATCGATGCGCGAACCCAAGCCGCCGCCGAGGTGTCTCTGACCTTTCGCTCACAACGGTGCGGGTGCGCACCGACGGCTTGTTTTGGACCGCGCTTCGTTTTCCGCACCGCCGAAAAGATCAAGGTCTCCCTCGGCTCCTTTTTTCCATTCCGCAGCGACCCGCAACATGCGGAGAGAGACGGAATCTCGGGGGCTCTGATAGCATTCCTTTATCGCGTATTATGAATTACGTTTCGCTCGCTCGCGTATCGCCGCTGTCGCGATAGGTCGGTCAGTAGCGCCTCTCGCGAGATAGGCGAGTTCGCTGGTTCGCCGTTCTCGCGCGCGCGCGCGCGCACGACCTCGATCGTAATGCGGATGATTTAAACGTCGTAATTCGCTCCCTATCTCCACGCATCCGGCCTGTTAACGTGTGGTGCGCGCGTGCTACGCCGCGCCGGTACGACGGTGCGTGATTATACCTGATATAGAATACAGCGGAGGCAACGTGTGTTAAATGACCGTTTAAGAGCGTCTATCGTGCACGCGGCCGAACGATGCAATCCCACTTTATGACGTCGTAACGCGACTGTCATCCCCCATATTTTAGGCCGTCGTCGTCGCGCGCGCGCGCGAAGACCTGCGCCTCTCTGTGGAGGTGGAAATTATGCGAGTCGCGATGTCGTCCGATCGCGCTCGTTCCATTTATTTCCCTAGCAAGAATAACACGCGCGATTGAGTCCCTTCGCGGATTCCTCGGCTATCTCAGCCTCTCTCCCGAGCGCCGGATGCGTCACACAATCGTCGCAGGACTTATAAATTCATCAGCCCAGAGCTGATATCTTCAGCCGCTTATTGATACCCTGGACCAGCGAGAAATGTTGAGGAGGTTGAAAGCAGCGACCGCTCTTCGCGGTTGCTTGAGAGAAAGTTCGGCGGACTGTGGAGGTGTTAATCTAACTGAGAGCATTGCGACATGTCGCAGCTTCGATAAAGTCCATTTCCGTCTTCTGCGAAAGAAGAAAGAAACAGCAGGATTCTTCTCCTTCTTCCTCTTTTAGTAGAACCTGTGTTCGTTCCAAATTCTGAGGTCGAAGCTAAAACCATAGCATTTTTTGTGTTCCCTAAATCGGTTGTTAGCTGGGCTTAGGTAACCGGTACAAATTGAATGTGGGCGGTTTGACATTAGTCGGTACGTATATTTTTCAATGGCAGGATGACTGATCCTTTTCAGAGGCAACTTTGACACATGCCGACGACAAGGGTTTTCACGTTACCTGCCGGTCAATCTGAAAGACCCGACTCCGTGCAAATTTCACACAACGGAGACAAGCTCTCTTTCTCTCTCCCCTCCCCCCTCTCTCTCCCCTCTCTCTCTCTCTCTCTCCCTCTCTCTTGAAAGGGTCGAACGCGCGCGTGCAGTCGGTGACGGTCAGCGAGCACGCGGACAAGTCGACCGTTGAAGTGCGCATGCGTCTTGTCCCCGGCTAAATCCCCACCACGTGCGATCGGCCGCGTGGCTCCTGATCAATCTGCAACGTTGCCGGCTCCTCGGCGGCGTGAAGGGATGGCGGACGGCACGGGTTGGAGCGAGACAGAGTCGGCTCGACGAGTTTGGCTTTCTCCCCACCACCTCGCTTTCGTTGCAACCCCCCACTGTTCGTCTGCATCTCCCATCTGCCGCCGTCGCCGCCGCCACCGCCGCCGCCACGCCGTCCAAACTGATCTAGGGGAATCTCCCCGACATCTTTACCCCCTCTCCCCGCGCCGTTTTAGCACGTGGAGAGACGCGCTTCTTTCAATTTTTCATATCTTATCGACCTGTGGATTCTCAACAACCGTCTCCTCCGCGTGAGATGCGCTTTCGCCAAAAAGGACAAGTGAATGAGATGAATGGCTGGCTGGCTGGCTGGATGTGTTATGCGTTTGTGATGCGTGTCGATACTTGCGTCATCGGAGGTGATGTCGTAAATAAACGAGCGAACGAATAAACAAATGACATAAGGAAATGCAAAGTTCCATAGAATATTTACACGCCTTGTAGAATTAATTTTGCTCAAATTCTATGGAACCGATTAAACTTGTCAATCGATTCGGATGATCGAACGTCGTCCTGTTTCTGTGTTCTTAGGTGTCAAAATCAAAAAGGAACGTCCCGACTCGGACGATCTATTCTGCGAGGAGAATATGCTGATAATAGATGGTGAGTACAGTCCGCATACTATTATTGATCCAAACTGTTTTCTTTGGTTCTCTACGAATATCGACGTGATGAGCATCGTGTGCGTATGCACTGCAAAAGTTACGGAAGATACAACAAGGTATAGGTTAGGTTCGATACTTCACCCTGCTAGGTATCAACTTAGACAGGTGTATCGGAGACCCAAGTCAGTCTCCAAGTTTTACGTAACAAAAAAGAGAACTGAGAAATTGTGTGCAAGGAAAAAGTCGCACGTTGCGACGCCAATGGGGCGACGACCTCGATTAGTTGACACTGGAACTACCGAAGCAGTCACGAGCGACCGGTTTGTAGTTTGCCCGAAGAATTGCAGAAACTGATGACTGTGCATCTTACGTGCTCGATCGACGTAGAATGAGACTAAGTGCGGACCAGTGATCTTTGTTTTTTCCCTCACTTTGCCGATGTTTCCGAGAAATCGATTATTTCGACCATGCCGACATAGAAATAGGTCGTTCATCGTCGGCAGGATCTAACGTCAAGATCGCTTCATTTTGCCTGCTTGTGGAAAGTAGCGAGCTCTGAGCGAGCCCTCTCAGCGCCGAGCGTTCTTTAGCAGCTCTGTCTCTCTTCGGTCGGCACCGGGCGGGGTGTCTTGGAGTAAATCCGCTACTGAATATCGGCCGCGCGCGGCTTCACGTGCGTGAGGCAGAGTGAGGCCAACGTGTCGCGCCGCACCGCGGGAGGAAGTCCTCCTTCCTCGCGCGATAAGTACGGAGTGACCACGCCGAGAATGACTGGAGGCAGTTCTCGGCGAGAACGGAGATGTCACGGCGGCGGGAGAGACGGGCGATCACTGCCGCCGCCGCCGCTGCCGCCGCCGTCGCCACTACCGCCGCCGCCGCCGCCGTTGCTGCCCGGCGAGAAGGGAGCAACGGGAGGCACGGGGACGTCATCCTCAGGTTGGAGGCGGCCGGCATTTAAGTTTAGACTTCAGTCGGCACCCGCGACTCACGCAGAGCACGCTTACCGTCGCCGCCTAATCGGCCCGCGCCATCGCGCGCGCGCGCGCGCGTTGCTCGATCAATCGTCAGGATCGATCGACCCGACCGCCTCGCGGTCGCCTCGTGGACCGCCGCGGTAAGCGGAGAAAAGCCCGGGCAGGGAAATCGCGGGGAAAACAGCTGACGATCGATCGGCGGGCTCGCGCTCGGCCGCTGCCGACGCGCACGTGTCGTGCGTGTCACGATGCTCTCGCGAGCTACGACGACGATGCTGCTGCACCGCGCGATGGTGCTCCTTCGCAATTCGATGGTCAATCGCGCGTACCGTAGAATCGCGAGTGGCACGGTGGGCTAGTGCGTCGTCGGAGCCGTTGTTCCGCTGCAGCATCCGGATAATCGTCAAGCGCCGGAGAGCATCGACGCGCGCGCAAGTTCGTGCGCGGCGTGGCAGATAAGATGTACAGTTAACAGCGGCTGGCACGATCACAGTGAAGGGGAAGGATCTCAGTGTCGAAGGGATGTCTTTACGGAGACCAGCTCCGAGGAATGAGGTGGACGAGCAACGGCGCAACCCTCGGCCGAGCGGGCTCGCCACCCCGCAGCGAACGCTGCGTTTCGCAAGTCCGGATTTTTCCTAGCGCGGCGGCGGCCTCGCGGCCGGCCCTCGCGGTCGTGCACTCCCTTCTCCGTCGCGGTACCACACCGTCGGACCTCCTCTCTCTTTGCCGCGCGTTTCGCATTCCCGTAGCCGCTGCTTCCCCGCGCGGCGCCTTCGTCCACGTCCACGCTCGGCGGTGCGAGCCGTGCGCGACGGCGACGTCGGTGTTGTCGGTCGTCGCGAGAGTTGCCACCCGGGGGCGCCGACGGGGACGACGTCGAGGACGACGGAAACGCGACGACGGGTAATAACAACACGGCGGTGGCCACGGCGAGAAGAGCATCGATGCTCGCGTTGTACAGCGGCAACGAGACGTGGTGGATATAGCGCGCGGTCGATCGATTTTTCCCCAGTGAAAGGAAACCGAGCGGAAGTCTCGGTACTCGCGCACTCCGACTCGGCCAGGAATTTTCGGAGAAGATGGGTGTTCTACTGCTGCCGGACGGTACGCCGCAGTCGCACATAAGTCTGAGCGCGGGTATCGACGTCGGCGTGGTCGGCGAGGCGAACAACAACGTGAGCGACCTGACGGACGCGAATAGCCTGTCGTCGCAAGTAACGCAACCGTCGACGCCGACGCCGACTCGGGTGGTCGGTATAATCAACATTGTCAACAACGAAGAACCACCGCCGCCGCCGCCTCCGCCGCCGCCTCCGCCGCGACGCAGCAGCGAGTGGATGCCGCCCCCGCCGAAGAAAAAGTGGATACGGCATTATCTGCTCGGTGAGATCTTGCGATTGCTGCGTGCCTGCCCCTCGTAGCTCTCGGCGATTCGCGCAATCGGAGACAATTGCGATCACGGCGAAAGTAACAGCGATTTAATAATTTCGGGTAGCGAGTAATTAAGGGGGAACTCTCGGCGCGGACAAAGCGGGGGGAGTGTTTCCTTCACGCGTCCTTCAAGTTGGCTCCGCAACTTTCCGAATTTCGTATTTTTTCGAATCGTGCTGCATTGTGCTACGTTTGTGCCGTATTGTGCCGCCGCAATCCGCAACTCTGTAACTCAAAGCGTACTCAAGAAATGAAAAAATTAAGAAAGACTAAATTTTTGGTAGCCCCGCGCTTCTCGAATGTTGAGTGCTGAGAGCCAAACCCAACAACTCTTTCTAGTTGCAAAATGTCCTCAGATGGCTGGTTTTCGCAGTTCAAAGGAAGTAATTCAAAGGAAGTAATTTTTCCGCACAATCCGGCACAACTTTCGATACTTCGAAAATGTGAACGATCTTTCTTGCGCCACCAATTTTTGCAAATTTTTTTTTACAATCTGAATAGTTTTCGATACGTCTCTAAATGGTTTCTTATTGTACTCGATTAGCACAATTCAACACAACTTGCAGACTTGCAGATAAATGCATTGTAGAAAAAGTTATTTATTAATTTGTATCTTACATTTAACATTTCTTTTTCTCTACTGAACGAAAGGTGATATCCAGTTTCTTCAAATGGCACAACACGGCACTAATTAGTAGAAATTCACAAACAAAACGTTGGGTTCATTCGGACAAAAGTGGCGAGCTGGCAAATTTTCGTTTCCATTTCTTTTCCTCAAATGTTACCGAAATTATCGGTCACGCGTTTGCGGCACAAACATATAGCACATTACGACACGATAAAGAAAAACTCAAAATTCGAAGAGCGGCGAGGCTATCAAAAATTTAGTTTTTCTTCATTTTCTTGAGTCACGCCTTGATGCAGCACAATTCGGAAAAATACAAAATTCGAAGAGTGCAACTTCACACACGTGTTCCCTTCCCTCCCCCAATTTTACAAAGATCTATTTTGCGTCGGCGTTCGCTTTCCTATCATCAGGCGAGCAGCGTTCTGATAAATGACGGCCCGCCGAAAACTTTATCTTCCGACGCGCCGAGCGATTCCCGCCGCGAGTTCTAAAAACGCTTCTCCTTCGCGCTTCGCGTGGAAGCGCCTCCTCGCGAAACGCTCTCGCATACGGAGAACTTTATTGCTCATCCGGGAAGATTTATACGCCACGCGAACAAACGGTGATCGCACCTCGTGTGCCATTCGCCGCAGTCTCGTCCGCTCGAGCGTTTGTCTCGGGAGAACTCGGGGGGGAAAAACGCGTCACAGCGGTTCGCTTCGATTCCTCGAGCTCGCTTCATCCATGGCGATAAAGCGAATTCTGATAAGGTGTATAATATAGTCGAGCGCTTTCGGTCGCGTGCGCACGATATTAAAACGTGCTGAGCTTGACGAGGTCATTTATCTGAAACTTCCATCCACCGCTCGAAGATATTGGGAAATTTACATTTTCATTCATCCATTTTTATACCGAACGTGATATGCATTCTCTTTCGCGAGGCTGAGGGGGACTAAAATATAATACAATGTAATATAATCGTGAGGTTTAATATAGCTCGATTGAGGGAGAGAGCACTGACAGAGTGTGAGGATGGGCAATTTAGCAGATGCAGGACGATTGTTTCCCAAACTTACACGCGCAAAGCACAATGGCGGTCTGCTGTACTCGCAACTTTTGCCCAAAGTTTTCTGAACCACGTTATCGACTGACTCTGACATGATCGATCAAAGTTACAGAAAGAGGAGATTGATGTAGAATTTTATCGCATATTTTCGTAGCGGCGCACAATTACGTAAAATATATATAACGTTGCACGAGATATTAATAGGCGTGCTGCAAACACACACACACACACACACACACACATTCAGCAATCTTCACACATACTCACTACATCAGCTGGTAAGAGATGAGAAACTGAGTTACTTAAGACTGAGCCGGGAATCGAACCTGGGGGGACCTTTCGCTTTCCAGGCGAATGCTCTTCCAACTGAGCTACTCATGCAACACCGCGCTCCGATATATGTATATTATCTTTCTTTTATTCAAGATAGTAAAAGCGGAGATATTAATAGGCTCCCGACGGAAAAGAAACCGGAACTTCGTTTGACAATAGAACAACGTACCATCACGTTTCAGAGTTGTGTCGGTTGTGTGAAACGTGGACTGATAAATGCCTCTGTATGTATTACGCGCGAGGTATTTCGCGGCATGTTAATGCCCCCCTCCCCCCTCCCCGTGCCGCTATATTGTTCCTCGCACATTTTACAGCAGATCGCCAACAATAATATAAAATCTTCAAAAACGCACGCGCTTCGCGAAGTGGAAAGTTAAGAGAGCTTTCTAATAATATAACGCGCGCGAGACCGGCGGCATGCGAGACGCAAGGATAGAGCGCAGGAAAAACCCCTGCGGCTTCTGTCATTTCATTTCACGTTCGACGAGAAGAAATTGATCCTTCAAATGCGGAAAGTCACGATCGGCTGTGAACGATCTCGTGTGGTATCTCGTCTCTGCATCTGTCGCACCGCACGCGTTTCCGTCCTCCTCTTCTTTTCTACATGTAACGCCTTACGTTCGTCTGTCACTTTTACATGCGGTGTGTTATTATATTCGTCCTCATCGTCGCAACACGAATGCACCATACGTACGCGCGTAGAGTCGCCGTAACCCCGACATTGTAAGTAAAATGTCTCTCTGCGTTCGGGCGGCGCGCAGAAAGTCGAGGCACGTGTCGACGGTGAATTTTCGCGCGTATTTCGGTATCGCGGTTGGCAGTGAAACGTACGTGCGGAGCGAAGAGCTCCGGTAGAATTGCTGCGGACCAAGTGGCGAGAACTGTTTTCAATTTCGCCGGACCGGAGAGATGAGGGAGACTGACTTCTCGGATTTCATCATCGTCCGGCCAAGCGGACGCGCGTTACTTGAACGCTCGCGCTGAAAAGCCGAGGTGTCGCTCGCTCGCTCGCGAGAGAGAGAGAGAGAGAGAGAGAGGGCGGGAAGCGCGTCTCGTAAGATTATAATAAAAGAGAGGAGAACGACGTCGCTCGAAATTAGAGATCGTACGAGACGAGGCGCGCGCTTTGCGAATCGATTCGCAGCCGATGATGCGTCCGCAGGACGGCGAGAAGATATCCATTCCGTCTCGTATCAGACGCTCCGACTTTTCTCCTCTCGAACGTCCTTACGTCACCAAGTGGACCCAAGCGCGCTCTCCTGCCGGCAGCGCGAATTTCGTCACGTAACGGATTATCGCGCGGGGTCGGCCCCGTCGTTCGAAGCCGCGTCGGTCCGAAAAAACGGCGGCCACGCTTCAGATTAACATCCGATTACTAGGCTCTCTTCGGCCGGGCCGGGCCGGGCCGAAGATCCGATTTCGCGGCGATCTCGCGCGGGATAAAGCGCTCGTCGCGGTCCTTTGTCACTGTCCCTACGGAGATTAGCCGAGGTCGATCCCCTCGCCGCGGCGACGCGCGCGCACGAGATTGCTCGCACGAGCCTGAGCCCTGCACGAGGATGATCCCCGCGCGATCTTCAATCTCCGCGTCGATCTCACGTAGCTCCGTTTCCGCCCGCTATCGTTCTAACTTCCTCGGTGCACGCGATGCATGGATCTCTCGAGAAATCCGCGCGGGATCCGCCGACGTTGCGATTTCAGGCGAATATCGAGGGCCATGAATTTGAAGTATGTCGGCGCGTATAAGAGATGGAAATCGGACTATTTATAGTTCGTAGAAGGATATTTCCAAGTCAAATGACGCCTGTACCTCGCGACTATCAAGTCGAGCGTGTGAGGGAGGGGGAGGAGGAGGAAGAGGGGAGAGAGAGAGAGAGAGAGAGAGATAAATATGCGCAGAAAATGTGTCTGGGAAACGTAAATATCGCTTTGTATGTATGTCAATATGTCTGCTGTGTAGTAATAATTGCTTGACTTTCTGAGAAAAATGTTGAGTCGTTGACAAGAAAAGACATAAAAAGAACAGTCATTTGCATTACAACGCCTTGCTGCAGTTTAACTGCAACACGTTCGCGCTGCCCCGCAACGCGTCGCGCTAAACGATATATTTTCAGCAACGTGCGCTTCACTTGGCGGATGTATTCTACGTATTTGCGATTGGTAAACAAGCCTGCCGCTTGGATTTATTGCCAAATGTGAAAAAGGCGCATCTTCTCTATCTCTGTCGCCGTGATATTTATATGATACGCCACGAACGGTCGTTGCGAACTTTACACACACTCGTTCGTAGGCCCGCGAAGGTAACTTCCTCATGTTCCTCGGTATGTATGAATGACAAAGGGCGAAACGCACGTCCAGATGAACACTCGAGATGGCAGGGAGAGACGAGACGCGTCTCCAGGTTTCCTCGGGGTGACACCTCGGTCGATCGATGCTCCCCGCCGCACCGCAACCGATCCGCCCGAGCGATCGGCTTGCGAGCGAATTTCCTTGCCGTTTACAGGAAGGAAAGGGAGAGCACGGAGCGGTTTTCGAAGGTCGCGTTAGGCGCGATGCCGTGAAGTCGTTTCTACAGAAGAAAATCACACGTCGAGCGAGAGTGCAAATGACGTGTTCGCGGGAGCGTTGCTCCGGCAGACGGAATTTTTCCCGGCGAAGTAAAAGTCTCCCGAGCAACCGCCGCGCCGGCGAAGCGTCTGCGTGTCGCCGCCGCGCCGGCGTAATCCACGAGCGCGCGGATAATTGTGTCTCATTTATTCTCACGTTATCGCGCCGCATGTTTTCGCGGTAAACACCGATCGAACTGCTGCGAACGCGCGAATTCGCGCGTCGTTCGTTCGCTCATACCACGCATCGATGGCTTTTCTCGCTCGAATTCGAATCCGTCTCGACTTATTCGTCATCTTTAAAAAGAAAAACCTGTCGTCAAGCTGGGCCGCGCTAATCCTCCAATGAGCGCATATCTCACGGTGCGAACGCTCGAGAGAGTCACTCCCAGAGACACACAGCTACATTTGCACAAAACATTCTTCGCGTCTACATAATGTTCTCGAATGTATGTATAATGACTGCGCACTAGCTCGAAGAAAAACCGCGAAGAAAAACCGCGAGAATATTGAAGACTTAAATAAAACATGAAACTATTTATATCGCGCGCCTATCGGAGGCTTCTTGATCTTTCCTCACGCCGCACTGCACCGGAGGAGAGACTCCTCGCATTTTCGGTTATTCCCACGGTACGATCGCGTCGGATGACGAGTAATATGCCTCTCGATTAATCTCGCGGCGCGCGGCCTCGCCGCGGATGTCGCGTCGCGTTCCGCAACATGCATTATACATTTTTCACGCCGATCGAGCGGCGATGCTCGTACGTTCGCGCAAGAAAAAAAGAAGAAAAGGATCCAGTTGAACCGTTGAACCGATATCGGCATATCATTTGAAAGGAAAATCACGCCGCGCACCGTTTCGCCGGGCTGTGTGTAAGTAAATATGCAGATACCGTTGGCGCGCGCGGTACATCCACTCGCTGTAAATCGGAGAGCGTGCGCGGTCTCGGTCCCTTGATCGTGCCAACTCTCTCGCTCTCGTGTACGCGCTCTCGCGTTTTGTAATATTTTCACAGTATTTCGGCCGTGCGATTCTCAGACTCCCAACCGGTCTCGTTGCGGCCGCTCGTCGTGCATCGTCGCGGCCAGCGGGATCCTCTCTCGGCTTTGAATCCGCGAATGAAATCTTTCGTCACGTCTCTCCCCTCCTCTCTCTCTCTCTCTCTCTCTTTCTCTCACGAGATCACTCGCGGGTTAATTTCGGTGGAGCGCTAGACCGCGTGTACGGTAACGTCGTCGTCGTCGCCGTCGTCGTCGTCGTCGTCGTCGTTGTCGTCGTCGTTGTCGTTAGTGCTCCATCGTCCTATTCCTCGGAGGAGGAGGCCCCCACGTACGTACGCCGCCGTGTTGCTGTCTGTGAGCGTCAGGAATAGATTTAGGAAGCGACGAGCTATGCGACGGCCCGCTGCCAAGTCGACTCGCACATGAATGAGTTACTTGCATGTGCGTACACGTGCTGCGCTAATTTATAGCGCCGCGCCGCGACGCGGAGGACAGGGAGTTGAAGGGATTCCGGGGAGAGGGGTGATTTCTCCGGTCCTCCGCGGGGCCGGTAGCGAAGCGTTGCGGCCGCGCGCGCTAATATCGGCCCTCCGAAGATCCGCGCGAAACGGAGGGTGTCCTCTCGGACGACGTGCCTTGACTGCGTTCTGCGAGTCCACCGCGCGATCGTCGATCCCCGTCGGAGTCGTTTCGCCGATTACTCAGGAAGCGGCACGAACGCGGGGCGAATGAGAGAGAGAGAGAGAGAGAGAGAGAGAGAACCGCGTTGCTTCCTGGCTCAGCAAGGGTTACTTCCGGAACGGGATTAATATCCGGCGAGCCCGCGAAGTTAATCGTCCGAATTGTTCGGGTAACTTCCACCACTGGCGACGGGATGGGACATTTCGCGTGTAGGACAAGGTCCTCTTCCACAAAGGGATCGGCCTGCTCGAAGCCATCGCCACTCTCCAGAAGGTGTCTGCTAATCTTAGACTAAGACACAGTCATTCAGGCTCGAGCGTAGAATAGAATGGACTGGGAAGGGAAGAGAAAGAGGGAGAGAAGAGGAGGAGGAGGAGGCTTTGTCGTCTGCATCACGGAACGCCAGGAATCGCAGTGCCTCCGTGAATGTGCCTGTGTCCAGAATGAAACTTTCGAGTCGCTACGACGGAACGGCCGCGGTCAAATCTTGGCTCTCGCAGTGCCCCGTCCTTCCTCTTCCATCCTCTGCGGGGAAAGAGCGCTTTGGTTGACGATAATCGAATTACTCGTATCTGAACCGCCCCGTGTTAAAAAAAAAAAAGAAAGAAAGAAAACTGCCCGCGACCAAGCAGAAAAACCATAAGCACCAATATTTCTGTTTAACACCGTAGAAATTAAGAACAATCCCCGAGTTGCGACTTGGAGAAGATTACCCAAGTTGTTTGCACACCTAGGAAAGAGAGAGAGAGAAAGAGAGAAAGAGAGAGAGAGAGAGAGAGAGAGGGGTCGGGAACCGGCTCGATTCTTCTCTTTTGTGCAGCAGCCGGCTCGCGGTAATTACCTCGGTGTTCTGGCTTTGTAATCGCGAGTCAATTCTTCGGAACTTCCCCTCGCTGGTCGTCGCATTCATGGACGGTTATAAAGTCGTGCGAACGGACAAGTTGAATATCATAGAAACAAGTTGAACTTCTTTAAAGCCACACGAATTTAAGACGGATTTGACCAAGTACAGACTTTGCAGAGCTCGATAAAGATCGGCGAAGATCCGCGGATCGTGTCAAGTAACATAAACGATGTTGCAGAGGAAGATCCACTGGATATCTCGAATCAGTCGAATCAGTCGAGTCAGTCGATCGCATCCAGAGGGAGTGCTGTGATCTCCTCGCGAGGCACGCCGACGGCCAGCACGAACTCCTCGTCTGCTCTCCACTCGACGTCTCATCATCACCATCACCAGCAGTCGCAGCAGCAGCAGCAGCAGCAGCAGCAGCAGCAGCAGCAGCAGCAGCAGCAACAGCAGCAGCAGCAGCAGCAGCAGCAGCAGCAGCACCACCATCACCACCACCACCACCATCATCACCAGAGCGACCACCACGGCACACATAATCAGTACATGGAGAATCACAACCCGAATCAGTCGCAGCAGAACGCGGGTAACCTCGTCGTCGACGTTGAAGCTAGCCACGACAATAAGAAACATCGGACCGGGTAAGAGTGACTGTTTGCTTCCTCGAGAACAACCGCGCTCTCTTCCCCGGGGAAACTTTCCAACGGTCATTTATCCGCAAGAGAGCTTCCGGCCTGCTCCTCCGGTAGACCGTTCCGATTTCACGATATTGCGAAATCGACCCAAAGCCCCGAGTCGAAAGTGAAGATCGTTCGAGATGAAGCGACTAGGCACTACTCGCGACTGCGAGTTATCTCACACAGCGCGCGCACCTTATCGGCGTGTTATGCTCGAATCTGGCCGAAATGCGCAATAATGTCTCTGTCTGATCCGACACATACGCATCGGCACCAACACATTTCGCCGCGAGTCGATATGTCAGCCTGTTGCTTCGCACGCTCTCGCTTCATCTTCTCTCCCTCCCTCGCCCGCCCTCTCTCTCTTCTCCGCTCCTCTCTCGCCTCGCCTCACCTTGCCTCGCCTCCTCTCCTCTCCTCTCCTCTCCGTGCACGAGCGACGCGCCGTCGCCGACGCTATAGGTTACTATACCTATTTACGCCGTGCACGTGTCCAGGGTGAATGGCACGTGCACGATGCATCACCCGGCGCGTTGCGTTGTGCGGCGATAACGCGTGGCGGTCACGCTATTACATGATCGCGCCCGGAACGATAGCGGAGGAGAATTTCTTCGAGCGCGCGCGCGCGCGCGCGCGCGGCCGAGAAAAACCGCGGAGAAAAGTCCGCGAGTCGCGCGTCTGTTCGTCCCCTCCGCCCTCTTTCGTCGTGCATGTCCGTTGGTGGACCTTAAGTTGCTGAAGTACCCGAGGGGAAACCGTAGCTTCGTTTATCTCACCTCGTGCATCTCTCCTCATAATTTATCTCTTCTCGCACAGACCCTGTGTAATCCGATCCGGCACGAGGGAAGTACACAACAAACTGGAAAAGAATCGTAGGGCACACCTGAAAGAATGCTTCGAGCTCTTGAAAAGGATGCTACCGGCGCAGGATGAGAAGAAGTCCTCGAATCTCTCCATCCTTCACGCGGCGAACCAATACATACAGGTTTGTTTATGACGCATTGCGGAAACGCGCGTAGCGCGCATCTTCGCTTCTTTTTATTTTTCTTTTTTTTTTTTTTTTTTTTACCTTACTTTCGCGCACGGTCCGAAGATCTATTTCGTAACTCGGATAAGGCACTTTATCATCCTAGATGTCTTCACCTTCGGGCGAGAACGGTGCCGAAGCGAGTGTAATAATAATAGTCGCGTCGCGATCGTCCCGTCGTCGCCTGAGAAATTCTCAGCCGAGAGATATTACTCCCCCCGCCGAATAACCGCCGATTTTCCGTCGGCGTTCTACGTGATTTTCTTACGACATCGCGTCGCGATCGATAGATAGATACACAAGACTCGCCATCACCGCGCGCATATAAAGTGCACGCTCGCCGCTTCATTGTAGATTCTTACGCTCATTGTCGATTTATAGCCTGCGTACGTGTCGTACGTAGTCGAGGGTGAGCGAAATTCCACGCGGCGACCGAATGCGGACGCGTATTGCGTCGCGATTAAATTTATATTCGCGCGGGATCTCTCCGTTTCATCCACACGGTCGATGCACTCTCGATCGACGGCGGCGGCGACGAAGCGGTTGTTTGAAAGAAAGAAAATTACCATTCACTCGATCCACGCGCTCTGTAAAAGTGCTCTGCGCGGACGTTCCTCGACTCCTCGCGTCCTCCTTCTCGCGAGGGAGAAAAGTGGAGGACGAAAGCTACAAGCTACGCAATCCGCAGGCGGCAACTGAAGAGAATTTCAAAGAAACCGGAGCCTTCATCTTCGAGAGAGGATCTTTAGAGAGAAATCTTGGAAATCTCTCGAAGAGATTCGAAGTCTTCGGGGACGATTTACCGGATCTTTTCTTTTCTCGTTGGCTCGACACAGATCCGGCTCAAGGATAAATCCAGCTCCGCGACACGTGCACCGATTTCGCGCGAGTGCAGCGAGTGCGGAGAGCCCGCGCGAATTCTCCGCGCGTGGCTATCGCTTATTCTGCGTCCCCGCGAAGGTCGGCCTCCTCCTTCTCCTTTCCTTCCTTTCGCGATTTCGCCTCCCACCGGCGACGACGCCGATGCGAGACTTGTCCCTCTCTCTCTCTCTCTCTCTCTCTCTCGCTCTCTCGCTCTCTCGGTGCCATACTTGGTGCGCCTTAGTCTTCTTTTTCGCTCAAATGTTCTTCCTTGCGACGACGACGCCGCCGCCGTCGCTCACTTTGCTCGTATTTCTTCACCTTTCACCTTGTCTCCGCGTGACTCACTGATACGAGCGTTTGGTTCTTATATGTATTGTGCTGATATGAGATGGCTCTATTGACGTACACCACTCTCTACATAGCCGTCTCTCGGAACATATTCCGTACAGTAAATAACTCATCAAGGATACATCCAAGCGGTTGAGAACAAAAAGATCTATTACAAATTAGCGAGCTGCGCTATTCATGTACACATTTAGCTTCTGCACACGAGGGAGCAGCCCCCCTCTCTCTCTCTCTCCCCCCCTCCCTCTCTCTCTCTCTCTCTCTCTCTCTCTCTCTCTCTCTCTCTCTCTCGTCTTTCCTCTTTACTTTTTTGTTCCCTCTCTCTCTGTGTCCTCATCCTCTCTCTCGCCTCCAGTGCATCCCCCGCCAATTTCTCCCACTTTCCGTCGTCTCTCTCTCTCTCTCTCTCTCTCTCTCTCTCTCTCTCTCTCTCTCTCTCTCTCTCTCTCTCTCTCTCTCTCTCTCTCTCTCTCCCCCCCCTCTCCCCGTCTCTCTCGCCGTGTACGTCGCACCGTCTCGAGGCATGTCCGTGCGCGTAGCATTCTTCTGCGGAAGAGTATTACCTATATCGACTCCACGTGACTGCGCGGCCATCGGTGTCACGCCACATGGCACGTACATACATGTAGCACATGCTGCTGTACGGACTTTTATCGCTCGACGCCGGTGTTGCCGACGACTGCTACACACACACACACACACACACACACACACACACACACACACACGATGAACTGCCTCTCTCCTTCTCGGGTGCCAAAAGCGGCCGCCAAGCACACAAATTGTTTACGGAGCGTACGGATTAATCTGCTATTGGCGACGGAGAGGGAAGGGATGATTTTATGTACAACAACAACAAGCCGGTGATAAAACGCGGAATGTACGAACCAGAGAGAAGAACCATCTGAATAATGCAAAATGTACTTTTTACGCTCCGCAGACACTGACGAAGAAGGATCTAGATTACCAGCGGGAGTTGCAGAGGCTGGCGGAAGAGAAAATCGCAGCGGACCAGAGACTGGACATGTTGAAGCAGGAGGTCGTTGCGACCTGGGAACACATTGATTTCTCTCACATCGACGCTCTTCTCGCGAGAAGCGCAACCGGGGCAGACATCATGGTCGTTCGAAATGGTAAGATGTCCTTGATATACGGAGCAGAACGTAAACTTACCCGAATGTCTGTGAGTAGCGCGGGTGTTTGCGGGCATACGCATGATTTTACCTACAGTTTTGCCGTTTGTAAAGTTTCAGATACCGCAGAGGTCGAAATTACCGGACTCCCTCAGGGTGGCACGAGGTATAGCAGCACGAGCAGCCTGAACAGCGTTACAGCCAGTTCCCCGCAAGCGCTGCAGTCACCTAACGCGACTTCCAACATCCATAATCAAGCCGCGACCGCGAGCATCGTTTGTCAAACGCAAGATCTGAATCTTGCGCGAGGCTCCAGGGAGAGTCCACCGGCCAGCTCGAACTCCGCATCATCCACACCCAGTATTTCCACCCCGACGCAGGTATGTATTCTCCATTCTCGTCTCGCCGCGCCGGGTGGAGGAACGATGAACGAATTAAATCAGCACCGCATCCAAGGCTGGATCGTGGATATCGTGATTCTGCAATAAACCGGTGCCAGAATAAGACAGTGCGCATTTGCAGAGCCGGTTACAGCGACTGGTACTGGAAGCGGCTTTGAAAATGCGCGACACGTTTTTGAGATCTTAGAGTCGCTCGCGCGCGAGCGAGGTTTCTTTCGCTGGAAAGGTGCGCATTTTTAGAGCTTACGAATCAGCGTCGGCATGCATAAACAATCGTAGTCGGCCCGCATCTTTTCCCTGTCTCTCTGCCTTTTTTCTTTTTTTTAACTCTTACTAGAGAACGTTTTAAAGACGTCATTTTTAACTGTTATATCGCGTCGATGCATATTTGAGATGTGAATGTTGCAATATCCTTGTTCCCAGGCGGTAATTTAATATCGAACGAATGAAACCAATCCATATATCCACACTATAATCTGTTTATCATTCAAGTCTCTAAAAAAAGAAAAGAAAAGTATCTACTTGGTTGGCAGCAATCACTAACGGAACGATAAACTATTCAGTGCATGTTGAGATAATCAATTATAACGTCGCAGAAAAGAGACCACAGTGACAGTGACAATTTCAAGACCACTTCGAAACTTTCAAATTTGGATTTAGTATCATGGAGTAAATGTGTGTGCGCAGTGTGTGAGTACGTGTGTGCGTTCGTATGCGACATTCTGTGGTGCATACAGCGATTACAAAGAGTGAGCTTTGTATTTTAGGAGAAAGTCGCAACGTCGCCGACCGCCAACATAGTACAACAACCGCATCAGCTACACCTACCAATCAGCGCACAGATGTTAAACACAAGTCAAGGCCTCGCAACAATCGTGCCGACGTTGCAACACATCGGGCCGGGTCTTAGAGTGATACCTGGTGACACGAGGCAGCTCCTTGTTACCCATACCGCCGGTAACAACGAAACCAGGCCATTGACGTTGGCAGTGCAGAACTCCTCGGATCAGTCCAGGCCGTTGATTGCTGTGCAATCCAACACTGGGAACGAGCCGAGGCCAGTGGCGTTGGTCGTTCACTCCTCCACCGCTAGCGACAACCGAGTGACGTTTGTGCACTCTAACCTGTCCAACAACGACCGACCGTTGGCCTTGGCTGTGCAGTCATCTGCCAATGACGTTCGACCTGTCACCTTTGTGCACTCAGGAAACGAGGCGCGACCGTTGGTTCTTGCCACTCATTCCCCCGCGCTAAACGTGTCGAGTGAGTGCAAGTTTTTGCAATTCATCGATTTCATCAACTGGTAATTCATCGATTTCAGTCAACTGGATCTTACAGAACTTATGGTTCGTGCATGTGTGTACACGTTGTGAGATCCTACCGGGTTGTCGTTCATGTAGATCTTTCTCCAAGTTCACATACAACGAATAAAGACTCAGGAGAGGAAGTAAAAACTCAGATTCCTAAAGTGAAGATGCTTCGCTGTTGCAGATGCCCAAACGAGAATCAGGACCAGTGACTCGCAGACCACACATAAGATGGTCGGCGGCGTGACGTTGGTCGGAGGCAACGGTTCGGAACTGGCGAGACTCCCTGGCGGTGCAGAGTTGAATATACTCCCGGCAAATGGTGAGTATCGTTTTCGTGGCGAAGTGCCACGAGCGTTTCCGCCGCAGCGTCTTGGGCGCACGGGCACAAAATCGACCGGTACGTTTATTTCGTGATTACAGGACTGACGTTAAGCCACGCAGGTGTGTCTTTACAAACTGCAGCAGCGAAGCCAAGCTCAACAGTGATGCAAAATGTTCCATCTACCGAGAGTATAGCGCACATTGTCGGTCAGCATACGCCGCTTTCCGGCCTGACGCCAATCGTCACGCCGATGACAGTTGTTTCCCAGGGTAATCAAGTGACCGCTCATATCCTGGCGCCATCCAGCCTCGCGGGAAAGATGATCACTACCCCGATTCTCAAGACCGTGGGCCAGATGCCGTTGGTGAATGCTCAGTACCTTAACACCACCACGTTAGTCAAACCTGTTGTCGTGGTGAGCTCGCCTTCAACGTCGACGCCGCCAGTCTCGACCACCGCTTCCTCCAATACGCAACCTCCCTCGACCACGCACTCGACCGTCTGACAGAATCATGAGAAAGCGAAATTGACCTGATCGCGCTGGAATATCAAAATGTGGTTTGCTGCAGTTGCTCGTAGTGTCACTATGTTCAACCGAAGTAAATCTACGTTCTGTTTTTTTTTCTTCCATTAGACGAGTTGCTTAGTGGGGTGGATTAGCGATGAATTTGCGAGGCAAAATTACGATAGGTAATCAAAATTGCGTCTTAGACATGGAGCAACAAGGAGAACCTTACGCGATGAAACGCCTTTGCCCATCGTGCTATTTTTAACATTATTGGAATTTTACATTTCATAACTTCACTTGCGTCCCGCGAGGGCGCCGAATTCGAAGTTCAAGCTCTTTTTCGGAGAGTGAATCTGACTGAGAAGATATGTGAGAAAGACCTTGCTCAAACTCGTACGACTGTACAATACGCAGTACGGTACGCTTTTATTAAAAGAAAAGATGTTTGTTGCAAACGTTAAGTGTAAAATTTGAACAGCTAATTCACGGAGGCAGCCCGCAAGTGTAGAAAAATGAGAAAACTTCATGTCACAGTGCGTTATGAATAATTGATAATTTTTAACACGTTACGATAGCACGTTTGACGAAGCCAAAGCTTTGAGTCATACGATAAAGCTTATCCAGTGATTATGAAAATTAAGTAATGCAGCTATAGGCAATAATGATTATGCTACTTTGACTTGACAAATCATTTCCCAGTAATGTACACTATTTTATCATTTCGTAATATTCACATTCACGAGCTTCTTTCGGTAACGTATCCTGACAAATATTTTTTAGTGAATGTTTTATGATCTTTCGAAAATTGTACATACTTTTCCTTACAGACGAAGAGAATAAACTTTGACTAGATGAATTGAGAGAAGGAGAAAGAGAAAGAAAGATAAAGAAGAAGAGAAGAGAGAGAGAGAAAGAGAGAGAGAGAGAGAGGAAGAGAAAGAAAGAGAGAAAAAATATTCCTTTTCGTATAATTTTTAAATTTTTTGACTGTTGTATAAGGTTGATACATCAATGAAACGATGATCACAACCGAATAAGTGTCGCAAAGAATGGTAACGACTATGTTTAGACTGAAATTGAAAGACCGAAGATGGAAAATGATAATAGATAGTGGCTGTGGAGAGAATAGATAACACTCTATATGTAGGAATCTATTTACTTTTGACAATTCGGTCGCAAAAATAAGAAGTTTTAAATACATTAGTGAATAATATTGGAAGCCAAAAAGGCTTTAAAAAGAAGAAAAAAGGAAAGGAATAAAGAGTGTAGAGGACAGTATATAGATTACGTTTGTAGTAATACATTTAAGTATTTATTCGTCTGTGTATTTATTATATGTACGTATACACACATACATATATACATACGTATATACATACATACAAACATACATACATACAAACAAACATACATATATACATACATATATACATGTTTATATATATATATATATGTATGTATGTATGTATGTTTATATATATATATATATTTACACACACACACACACACACACACACACACACACGCACACACACATACATGTATATATGTATGTATATACATATATATATATATATATACACACAAATCTTTATTTCATTTTCGGTTTCTGAGCATTATATGAGCCTAGAATTGTAATATTGCGCATTAATTTCATTATGCTGATTTTATCACGCGGGAAGTGATTTTTGAGCGCGTATTTTATAAATCACCAATAATCGTGAAAACAAAAACGTGCACGTTGTAACGTTCCGTTTCCTTTTCCTTGCATAATAGTTTTACCAAGGCTGGACTGTAGAAGAAAGCGAAAATGCTCACACACCTATTTTTTGGAAAGAGCTGAAAGAGAAGCTGGGACGATTGCACGCACGTAACGTACTGTCATATTACTTCTAATTGTTTCTCTATACGTACGTAAAATCTTCGTTCTTGTAAGATCGTTTTCTACGCTTCCGTTTGGTATTCTCGGTGTGGGATCGTCAATGGGGTAATTGGTAGAATCATGGAAAAGTTCATTGCGCAATACCATCGCACAACAAGCTGTAAGCTAAAAATTATACGTTACTCTATATTGACAAAATACTTGCAGATATGTTGCGAAATGTACGATTAATTGACCTCCGACTATTGACGATTCTACTCTCTCGGGGGATATCAGCTCTCATTTGTATATTAGTGTTATTATTATTATTATTATTATTATTATTATTATTATTATTATTATTTCTTATACCAGCGTATGAATGTATATCTTGTTTTATATTCTTTAAATTATTTAATTGTGTAGCATGGTCAGCCGATCGACATTCATATAGGTAAGTGCGTGCTTTAGCGAGGTAAAGGAGCACAAATGTCTATATAAAAAATGCATTCTGGTAATTTTAGCACGTCACTATCTATGAAAAAAAAAAAGGTAAAAAAAAACAGCTACGTTGGGACAAAAATACTGCAATAATGAAACTTATAATACTATTATAAATTAGCATAACTTGCACTGTGTACAAATTACTTTCGGATTTTGACTCGCGCTTATCGCCCGTTTTGTTCAAATCGATATTTTTACAGCTTAGCTAGAGAGGGAGATGCATATAAAAGTGAATGCAAATACGATGTACACACAATTCGTCGTCCATTTTCATATTGCTGCGACTCACGCTTCTTAGAGATCAAACGGATACGGGAGAAAATTCGATTTGACAAGAAGGGGAAGGGAAAAAAAAAGCAAAGAACTCGGCACAAATTCACAATTTGCAAAATACTAGTCAATAAAGTTATATTAAATTGTTTTCGGCGCGAACGCTTTTAATCTACGAAAACTTCGAGTCGTGCAATGAATATAGTGTCTGTACCGCAATCTGGTTGGTGGCGTACACAAAAAAGTAAAATAAAAAAAGGGAGAGAGAGAAGGAAAAATGGCACATAGCTTGCGAGCGGTGCTAGAATGCAAAAGTGAAGGGAAAGAAGCGATCGAGCGAGAATTGTGTCACGGGGGAACGATCGCCTCTGCTATTCTATGGACTAACGAAGCGTCGTTAATAGCCTCATGTAAATAATAATTCGCGTTGACGCAGGAGGGGGAGCGTGTCGGACGGGAGGGCCGACGACGGTTTCGCCGCGTGGATGGACACTAAAAAAGTAGTACAGCATTAAACATTAAGCGGGATGAATAATGTGTACATGAACAATGTGATATAAGTAATAAATAAAAGATTAATTATAGCACCGTAGCGCTTAAGGGAAAGAAAGAAATCAACTGTTAAACCGTTTACGGCGTAGATAGAAGCTGGTAATTATCATTTACTAATATCCTAAAGGACATCAAGAAATTTAATTGTACATAGAGTATATGAGAGAGAGAGAGAGAGAGAGAGAGAGAGAGAGAGAGAGGGGGGGGGGAGAAGGGGGCAGAAAGGGCGAAGAAGCAAAGAAGAAGGAAGGAGAAGGAGAGATTATAAGATATATAAATATATTGAATATGAAAGAGGGAGAAAGACGGAAGCGTATGTGTAATGTGCGAATGCGTGTGCGAATGAATGGATAAGCGGAGCGGATGAACTAGGAGGAGATAGGAGAGATGCGAAAGACGACAAATTTGCCACGACGCCGGCACTGTACATGTCCCCCGGATGTATGATAGAACCTGCAGAGACTGTACACGACTGAATGCTATGACGAATGGAACAAGTGTGCGTAAGAGCGTGTTGTTGTTATTGTAGTCTATGTGAAATTTTGTTATACGCCTTGATATATGCAAGACGGTAATGTCCTACGGCACACTCCGATCACAGTTTGTTGTGCATAAAAATGCAGCGACGGCGGGGGGGAGAGGGAGTGGGGGGGGGGCAGAAGCGCAGACGGAAGGAGAGATGGACGCGGATGTTGAAAGCGCCGTTGAAGATGCCCGATCTCTTGGCGCGCGCGAAACTTGTTAAAAAAAAAAAAAACGAAAGGAGAAGAAAAAAAAAGAGAGTGCGATGAGACTCAATAGAATCTATTACAATAAAGATTGAAATGTGCGAGTGTGTGACCGTTGCCCAAATCCTCCTTGTAATTGTCTAGTATCTACGCCGGCTCTGGACTCTCGGCTCGACGTCCGTTACCGAGTACAAAGTAGAACCGAGGCCGTGCGCGCCCTCGCGAAATCCTGCGCCTCCGCGGCCCTTCCCGAGCGAAGGTTGGCCGACCCACCAATGTGATTGTTAAGCCTGACCTGACGATCAGTCCGTTCAGTTACCGGTTATCCGCAATCGCAAGGATTGCAATCCCGGGTAACGCGTTTCTTACGACACGACGATCGATCGGCTCGATCCCGATAAACACAGGTGACGTGTGATCAATAAATCGATAAGACTTGTTTCCGAAGCGTCTTAATGCCCATATCCTTAACACGTTGAACAGTCAGGAAACAGCCACTTTCCGCGGAAACAGCCTCTCGCCAATTTTATCCGATTAGAACCGATTTTGAGAGTCGGCGACTGACAGTAACGTGGCGTCGACGTTATCATTTTCCGCCTGACAGTGTAAACGCGATGTAATATGTAACGGTTACATATTGTTCACGGGGGCAATTATAAAATCGACGTTATGTGTCAGTCGCTATTCATTGGGCGAATATTTAATCGGGCGATTGACATTGTGTCAGGATTATAAACAGCCCGGAAATAGCAACGAGCGAACCGGCCAATTTGAGACTTCCCGAGAACATAAGACTACGTACAAGTCACGCGTTAAAATCTGTCGACTGTGATGGACCGATTCGTTCGTTGCTTACGTGCTTTTTGTTCTTTTTTTCTTTTCCTCTCACCACCATGAGATCCTCGCGCAATCGGATCCTGCGTATACGATCGCATATCGACGGGATGCCGCAGAATCGACGACTGTACACGAATCCAACGTGGTAGTGAAAATGCGGCGGACGGAAATCTTTGCGCGTTACGCAAATGCCGAAGGTCTTATCACGCACGTCGGTTGCTCGAGAAAATATGTACTTAAGGCGCTGCAGAAACGTGTGACACACGTTGATGAGGAACGATGACGGTCGGGCAAAGAGTAAGGAGCTTGGCGGGACCACTGTGCGCTTATACCATACATATGAGACAAGTAGCGATCAAAAACAGATTTCGAGAGCGAGAGAGAGAGAGAGAGAGAGAGATTCGTAATCATAGCAATCTGTACCTTTTCGAGTCGCGCGAAAAAGAGAGAGAGAGAGAGAGAGAGAGAGAGAGAATGAATGAGCGAGCAGTCGCGTAAAAACTTGATGCGGAGAGCCGATCTTCCAGAACGACTGCGAACGATTGTGTCGCGTGTCCGAGCTGTCCGCTCGCGCAGTCGAGCAAGCGAATCGTCCTCGAAGGCAGATCGGGCCGAATGCGAGAATCAAAAAATCGGATCTGCCTTTCTTTTCTAGCGGCTAGTGTTTAGAGATTAAGCGTGTTCTCAGACGCGAGGCAGTTGCGAACGCGCGATCACGGCGACCCACGTCGATTCTCCGCGAAGTTTGCAGAAGAAATCGGCTCGGCGAACTGCAGACCGCTCGAAGTTCCGAGGCACGATCTCAGGATCCGAGCAGATCCGAGCAAAAATAGAAATTTCTTGCTTCCGTTAGAGAAAAGGAAAAAAGGACAGAACACGCAATCGAACTCAAATCACTTCGCGTTTCTTCGCGGCTTCTCCGTCGCCCGTCGGATAGCGTAACTTGCTCGCGACATTCTTCTTTTTTTTTTCTTTTTAGCAAAATCTGCATTTCGCAGATACGCATTTGATCGTTCGAATTACACAGAGCGTAAATATTGCCACGACCGGGCGCTCTTCAGTCCGACAATATCACCGGCGAATCGAACGGCGTGATGTCGCGTTCGCGCGCGTTGCAGCTGAAACTGCGAATTTCTAGAACTAAATCTATCGTTTAGCTCTTACCGAATTCGTATGTAAGATGGACTCTTAAGATCCGTCTCGTTGAGTTCTCGCGAAGATCGATCGGCGCGTTCTTTTTTTTCTCTCTTGTGGCTGACTTGCACACAAATAAAACTGATGAATAGTTTCGGCCGTTGTTTCCTTGAACCTCGATGCGAGCCCAATTTTCGGCCAAGCCGAAGATCACATCCTGCGCCTGCGGAAGGGTTTGGTCTTGTCTCCGTGGGAAGTCGTCGCTGGGCCATCTTGGCGATGTGAAACGGTAAAAAGATGCGAGACGATAACGTTTTAATTTTGCGATCCATTTATTAAAAATATGCACTAATTCACATCGTGTGTACGTGTGTACGTGTGTGTGTGTGTGTGTGTGTATTTTCCATTACTTTCAGTTAGAATAGAGTATGACACAATAATATAATATTGTCCTCTATCTACGCATCGAGACGCCTTTCTAGCACGTAACTCTCAAAATATACATTATCTTGTGTTCATCGTTTTACAAAAGACTAGATTCATTCTCACCAGACACTTGTCGGTACAATTTTGAATTTCTAACTAGAATCATGGACTTCTCTCTTCTAAGACATCTCTTACATCTCGTCTACACCTTCCTTCTTTCCTTCCTTCCTTTCTTCCTTCCTTTTTTCCTTTTCTCTCTCTTTTTTTTTATTTCTTTCTTTCGTTTTGGTCGGGTGTTGGCAAATGTGCCGCGAATCTTTGTTGCGGGAGCTCTCGCAAGTCGGAAATCATTAACGATGGCACATCCACCACGCGTTGGCTTCCTCCCATCTTCTCACACGATTACAGAGAATCTCGCTAATTAATTGGAATTGCTCGCAATGTAACACAAACGTGAGACACAATGTCGCACGCGACAATAAATTCACACAGAGTGCACGGGTTACATATTACATCGTGGTTTTACAATCACTCGGATCAAGGATCTTCGACGTCGTCGTCGCACCACGCGACGGCGGTATTCGCGCAAAGTATCGAAGAGTGAGAGAGAGAGAGAGAGAGAGAGAGAGAGAGAGAGAGAGAGAGAGAGAGAGAGAGAGAGAGAGAGAGAGAGAGAGTGAGAGAGAGAGAGAGAGAGAGAGAGACACGCAAAGCGAAGCGACAGGTAAGTAAGTATATACATATGTATAGTTACGTGCCCTTACAATTTCTCATGTTCAAGTCTTCGAATCTCTTTGGATGAGTGAAGAACAACGCATATCGCCAACAAGAAGACAGTTTTATTCGTCCATTTATTTACTTCTGCCTATGGGCGAGGCTTCGCGAAGATCCTTAATCACACGAGGTATGTTGTGCTGTATATCGAAGACGGCAAACGAAGTCACTCGTAAGCGGTAAAAGCTCTTAACCGAAGCGTCCTCGGGAAAACACTGAATGCCGAAACACACAGTGAACGTGACGATCCTTCCCTTATTTTCGACACGTCTATAACACAAAGATCAAGGCGAGATCTCGATATACGTACGCTGGATACGTACGGCGAGACGTATAGTTTCACAAGTCACGCGTTGCGCGTAAATAGAGGATTTTATCGTAACGATCGATAGGACTCTCCGCCCGGTCCGCACGTTCCTTGTCGTTTTCTGCGAAACGTGCCCTCTTCTCGCACACATTCCTGCGGCTTAACCCATTTCAAAGGCCGAGATTCGTCGTAATTATATAATTATAATCATCAGTTATACGTGTATCGAGAATTTTCGTATAATAAAATTTAATATATCGTTCGTCATAATAATTAATAAATCTTATAATGATGTAGAATTTTTCGGATCGATTTAAAACTATCCGTCGAATCTTAATAAAAACGCTCTTAGAGACGAGTAATTCGCTACTAATTAACGTTTAGTGGAGACATTTTTGCGCCCGTTCTGCAATATTCTGCGTATTTTTGCGCCGACTCCGCGGATCTCTGCATGCACGAGGAGTCGGTTTGCTACACAACGCGCACATAACGAATATTACAATTGCACTTAAAATAATTGACTAAAGTCTCGCGTGTCGCTCGTGCTGTTGAAAGAGTCGCGGCAATGGAAGGCGCTTACAGAACGCGCGCGCCCTCTTCGATATACGATATAATGTGATCGCGACGATTTTTCGAATAAAAGAAGAAAAGGAACAGGAAAAAATAGAGCATATATATAATATATATTATAAATACATATATATATATATATATATATATATTTCTCGCGGAGTATGGAATTAGCTAAAAACAGTACACTACAGGAAATCGAATCTCTCTTCGGGTTGTTTCGGGTAGAAAAGTGAATCGACGGTCTCGAAAACGTGCACGCGCGCGTGCAAACGACGTGCTCCAATTTTTCAAATCGCGGAACTATCGCGTCAATGATGATTTGTCTCTCTGTTATAGTCTAGTACATGTACGTGTGTGTATATATATATATGTATATGTTAGTACCGAAAAGAATCTAACCTCAACGCGAACAGAGAATATTCCTGGGCGAATTACGCGCGAGCAAATAAAGCAGCTCAACGTGGTCCGGCAGAAACTGCGTATCAATATTTCGCGCGAACGCAATTTGCTTAACTAGGCTCGAACGACAAACGACGATCCTTCTCTTACCTTAACAAGAACACGATTAATAATAATATAATATAATAATAATAATAATAATAATAATAATAATAATAATAATAATAATAATAATAATAATAATATAATAATGTAATAATAATAATAATAATAATAATAATAATAAAAATCCGCGAAACGTCCTGACGATGATTGTTATTGTTGTTTAAGCGTTATCTCATTTTTGTGGAAAGTATTAGTAGAAAGGAGTATTTTAGTGGAGTATAATTCATCACTCGATAAAGTATATACGTAAAAAAGTTCGTAATTAGCGTCGACATTAACGTTAGATCGCAAAGATCGATGCGACGTTCTCGCGAACGTCGCATCGCCTCTTTTTCTCCTTCGTCTTTCTTTTCCTCTACCTTCAGAGTCCCGCGTATCGACAGAAACGAAGACACTACTTGGTTCACTGTCGTTCGGGGAAAGCAAATTGGACGCCTCGCAAGGATTTGATCCTGGCACGACGATACATCGATCGTAATCCACGATATAGATAGATCTCAATAGCAAGCCGCGAATTAAATCGCGGCCTCGATTAAATCGGATTTGTCGAAAACTCGTAACTTTATATATATATTTATATATTTATATATATTATATTTATTCTAACTGCGTGTCGTGTGTCGTGCTTTCTCGCATTGACTACTCATCGGAAGGGTCTCGCTGAACCCCATAAGAAAAATAAATCGAACATCTCTCGATAATTCTCTCTTTTTTTTTTTGCACATTTTTTTTCGTCCTACACAGATCTGCTTTGTAATCTTAATCGGAGGCTTCGTCGAAAGCAACGTCGATTGAGGACAGCGCGACGCGACTATGTTTTTTTTTTGCTCGTTTGTTTTATAGAAAATATCCGCGCTCTCTCTCGGTGGTAGTACACCTAGAAATTTCACTCGATCTACTAGATGCTCTAGATCTCTTATTGGTTTATCACTATTATTTTGCGGACTTTTTGAAGTTTCCTTCTCCCTTCTCCTTTGTACTGGTCTACTGCGCTAAGATTTTTTATTCTTTTTTTTTTCTTCTTCAGTGGGGGGAAGACTTGCTTTTCTTTTTCTGGCTGACGGTCTTGTGTCTATCGGCTTCCCATCGCGATATACATCGCTGTATATATCCTCACGTGTAATGCTATTTAATCATCACAAACGAAACGATGACGCTAATGAGTGTCACCGCGAATGATACGGATGATACGAATAAGAAGCGGTGTGTATATACATACGTGTGTGTATATATATATACACACATATATATATATATATATATATATATACACATACACACACATACATACATACACACACGCACGCTCTGGAATTCACTTCGTGCGCATTCTACATAAACTAATACGTACATAAACTAAGATAAACTAAAATATATATATATATTACGATAAAAGAAAATAAATGTGGGAACTATAAAATCGGTATATGGCATAAGAGGATGGCATTTGAACTATAATCGTCTCTCACGTAATAAAAATATAAACACGTATAAAAAATAAATGGGGGTGAGAGGGGAATGAGGTAATTTATCCGTGTATATATTAGATTCATAAAATCGCGCATGTAGTAACCGATGAGTTACGCGATACAAATAATATCGAACTTTTATTCGGGATCACCCAGTGCTTCCGTCCGTTTTTCCTCTACCCGGCGAGACGCGTATCGTATGTACATATTGGCACTTGTCCAGCTTGGAATACCGCGTTTATCTTCCCTTCTTCCCTTCTTTCTTTCTACTTTCTCGTTTTCTTCTCCTCGCGTGCTTCAGTGCCGTGAATTCCGATGTGTGGTCAACCGAGAACGTTATATCGAGCGTTGATGTAATACGGTCACAACTCAGTACTCCCTTGCGAAATCGCCAAGTACGCCCGCGCGTGTGGCGCACACTCTTCCTCCTTCCTTCTATTTCCACGGAGATAAAAACTTCTCTTGGCTATTAATATTATACATACGTGACTATAAGTATGTACAGAGACTACGAGACGGCAGCTGGTGCACGTCCTGAGCCGCGCTGGCTGAACGTCTAACTTTTCCTTCTCCTCCTCGTCCTCTGTTAAATTACTTAATTACGTTGAACACAACGATCGAAACTCTTTAATCACATTGGTTATATTTAAATTTCGAATTTCGATATTGAGATTAGCGGCTGTCCGTTCTCCGTACCGGTGGAACGCATGGACTCGCTGCTGATAAATTCATTAACGATCGTTCTCCGAGAGTTCAGAAGAGGGGCTTCACACCCTTGCGATTCAATCGCTTGTACTCCGGACTTGAATAATCACGTCGAATGACTTGAATGACTTGAAGGATCGTGTGGAAGGAGCAGAAAGGATTTTCGTTTCGGCAGTGATTTGGTAGGCTTGTTTCCCATTGGATAGATATCCGGCACCACTTTTGTGCATTAGAACGCTTTTCCGTTCCAGCGGAAGCTCGTGAAGAATCTCTTCCGCGACAAATTTTTTCTTCTCCCTCTCGATACCGTAATGACGCCGTTTCGTGCGGAAATTGTGGTGCACCGCGGTATTTCTCTAATATGTAGATAATATTTAATATGTAATAGAAGAGATGGGCGATGTGTATAGTTGAGAAATAAGGAGTCTCCTTGAGTCTCGTATCGCATTGCACGTAAAAATTCAAGAATTATTTTTCTCGATCATCCAAAGCAGGTCAAATCTCGTATCTCGTGTCTCGTGCTGCCGTAAAAATAATAGTAACTAAATCAGGTTCAGAAAGCATTTTTCAGCTTGAAGTCTTTAATTCACACGTATATTTTCGAATATAAAGCTCATTCCTCTTTTTATGATATTACACAAATATAGATAAAAATCCGTCAAAATATTAACATCTTGAGCAAGGTTTGTCTAGTTGCATGTCATCATACACAAATGTTGCTTACATCATTTGGAAGGACAAACTTTTCGTTTTAATTTGCGCTCTAGCAAATTGCAGCGCGGTATTTTAACACAAAGTTATTTAAAGTTGAAGTAAAAACTGTTCTGTTTTTCGATCGTTTACAGAAGACGAACGAATCGGCATTTGATGTTCTTGATGTTATAAAATTAATTAAGGGAAGCTGAAAATTTCCTCTTTAAGATGCAGATATTTTTTATAAAAATAAATTTTCGAACTGAAATAAAAGATGTGGTGGAAAAATTGATTCGCTATTTCGCTATTTTTTATCGAACTTGCTGCATCTTAGCAAAAAGCGACAGTAGAATTGCGAATTTAATATATATAAAGGTAGAAACTTCAAGCTTTAAAATGCTTCTGGAACCATTTCGTTATTGTTATTCTCAGAGCAGTTGAACGACTCGTTGAATTTTGCGTGTTTTATAATAAAGTTACACTACGTCAAAACCCAAGTAAGTATAGTGGCGACTCGTAGCGGAGACATTGGAACTAAATTTGACGTTACACAATCAAGATTCGACGGAAGTTGACAAGCGTACTTACCGACAACACGCGATTAAATACGGTAAAACTAAATTGAAAAATTATTTATCTATGTTGTGCATTTTTCATTGGATTGGCTTAGTTTTCGAGATATTAATTGTTAAAACTGAACCTCGTGGCTTTTCAGAAAAGTTTAAGTCGCTGTGTGATCGGGAAGATTAAAAGTGTAGTTCGTATCTTGGGCCGGTATTCATAGTCAAATCTTATATTTAAGACAGTCTTAAGTTCACTTTCAGATATAGCCGTAGCCAATGAAATAATTTGTACAGCATCCGAAGATAAACTTAAGACGATCTTGAATATAAGATCCGACTGTGAATACCGGCCTTGGATATGAACTGTGACCTTTAGTTCCAAAGTCTCCGCTACGAGTCGCCACCATACTTAACAACGAAATCGAGTAGTACGTACGACTCAATAATAAGTCAGTTACATACAATGTTCTCAAACGGGGCAAATTTCACACAATATGAAATGCTAAGATTAAACGGGCTGTAACTTTGGTAAAAATGATGATAATAAGATAGTTCGACATGCATTTTAAAGCTTGAATTCTCTAGTTTTTAGGCACATTAAAATCATAATGTTGCTGCTTTTTTATATCAAGATGTATCAAGTTGAATAGGAAATGACGTTTGTCAAACTTTCAATCTCATTCTCTAATTACCTCTATCATCGAAATCTAAAAATCTTTATATAAAAATGCGATAAATACAGTTTAATCAGAGAATTTTGAACTTTCTATTCATATATAAACGAAAGTCATGTGTCAATTATTCGCCTTCGGTATGAACGGTCAAAACCGAAGGGACGATTTTGATTTTAACATTTTAAACAACTCTGTAATAAAAAATTTTAGAACATGCCACATGTACACAAACTGAAGTATAAAGTTTGCACTTTCAAATTATATAAAGACTACCTGTGTATTACTTTCTATTTACGAGAAACAAATTGACAAATTTTACGAAACATTTCAATATTTGATGGAATTTAATTTATAGCCACGTAATATAATTGAAAAGCAAGCGAGGATTATAATCAAAGATAAAGCTGAAAACTCGACACTTTAAGCTGTGAAAATGCTTCTCGAAACATTTTATTATCTTTATTTTCACGAAAGTTACGGTCCATTGAATTTTATCCATTTTCCAATGATCAAAAAAAACGGTCCTTTAACTTTCGTGTATAATGCAGTATGACTCAACGAAAGTTAAACGGACTTTTTATTCTGAAATAATAGACTCATTCACTCACTTATTCACTCACTCATTCGTTCATTTTCTCTCTCTCTTTCTCTCTCTCTCTCTCTCTTTCATCAGCAGGTTCATACGTGCTATTAAACACTATGAATCACACTTTGTCTGATATCAAACACAGTTACGAAATAATTATCCAAAATTTGGTTCAGACATTACTGATTGTTCGCACGTTGAACCTCTTTTCTAATATCACCCATCTCTTCTATGTAGTAAAAATATATATTTATGCGAACGGACGAATGGTGTTTATTGCGACTTTCTACTCCTTCCGATAAGATAAACAAACGCAATTGGCAATATCTTTGATTTCGAGGCAGGTGCTCGTGCTCTCATGCATCCCACCGATAATAGCTGTTGCATTGTAACATACTCGTAACCGCTCCTACCTTAGGCATGACCGTGGGCAGTGTCTTTTTTGTTGCCGTGAATTTTCGCGAACGATTAAACGTAAAACGACGAATCTGTTGGACCGAAAACCACCAAAACTGCATCCGGGGCAATCGTCGCGCGCCGAGATGCTGTTCGTGTGACGTATTGCGATCGGAGCTCGCGCTAGTCGCCTGAATCTCGCAATGCAATTGGCGTCAGATGAACGAAATGCAGCGAAATGCAGCGAAATGCTATTCGCGCGCTGTGCTGCGCGTCTCGTTTAAAGTAAGGAACGCTCGAGTGATACGCATACAGCACGAATACGGACCGACGCGCCCGACAAGGAGTGACACACGTGTCCGCTGGCGAGCGGCGCGCTACTACTTCGGCTAGACTTGAGGTAGAGCGAAATTCGGGAAAGAGAAAAAAGCGGAGAGTGTCGTCGCTAGGTAATAGAGTAGCGGAGAAATTTTTGGCAGTACACATTTTTCACCCCTTCCTCAAACCGGTTTCCAAATTCGTTCGCCCGGTCGTCGCTGCTCAACTCACACCGTGTGAATCCGGAATTACTTTGCCCCTGGTATTTTTCCTAATACCTGAGAATCGAACAACAACAGCATTAAGAAACACAACGGTCCACAACGCTTATTCGCGCTTATGTAAGCATCGTCTGGAGACTCGCGTTCCGCTTACTGCTTACCGAAGCCGAATCTTGCTGAAGGACAAAAAAAAGAAGAAAAAAAAGAAGATAGGACACAGACGGACTTACTTTGGAAAGATCTACTCCAGTCAATGCATGTACAGCTGGAGGTACTTGCCCTACGAGACGTGTGAGTTCTCCGCTGGTCGTGTCGCTGCCACCGAGAAGCACGATCTCTTCCGTTCTCGCCAACGGCGCCGCGACTTCAGCTGCGATCTACGACAAGGTGATGAACAAGGGGATAGTCGGGAAATAATACGTATACGCTGAGATCCGGCAGGCTAGACGGAGACGGAGACGCGCCACTCACCTTCGGCAAAGCGTTCAGAGTGATGTTGAGTACCGCCGCGTCCCCGTACTTCTTGTAAACCGCCGCTTTCATGCGCATACGCTCGGCTTCCGATATCCCGACAGCTTCCAGAGCGTGAGCCTCGGCTTCTCCGAGCAGCCGGATCTTCTCAGCCTCGGCTCTCGCCGCGCTCACCGTCTGAGTTCTGGAGAAATGTGCGATATTCAGGATCGTTGCGTGAGAGAAATCTTTGGTAACATCATCGCGCGGCGGTGGTGATGATGATGATTCACTCACCTCTTTCCCTCGGCCACTCGGCCCATCTTGTAATACTCGGCCTCGGCCGGCAGCCGCACCGTGCTCTGAAGCTCGTGCTCCTTCCGGCGGACCTCCTGCTCCTCGACTTCGATTTGCTTGCGCCTCTCCACGACCTCTATCTGTATTTCTTCGTTTCGTATCCGCTGCTTTATCTTCGCCGCTTGCAGCTCGTAAGCCAACTGCGCCTCGGCTTTCTACAGGAGACGAAATGGACAACGACGAAATGTTTGAATGCGAGAGATATGTAAGACATGCGCGTGTGGTCCTCAGTCGTGAGGAAACGTGACAAACAGTGACGCGCCGAAGCCGAAGCGTCGCTGTTGGCGCGTAGATTTCACGCAAATGTAATTGAACAAGTTTAAGTGTCCAGGAATCCTTTAACATATATTATCGCATGCCTCGGCTCCGCTCTTAGGCGGTACCTTCAGCTTCAAGAATTTCGTCAGACATTACGATAAATGTTGCATCTAATGAATCAAGTAACTGTTGCGAAGCGTGATTCGAAAGCAGGGCTGAAACGCGCGATAATATACACGTTAGAGGATTCCTAAAATCCCGATTGTCGGGATCTCGGCAAAGGGCTGAAAGTCGCATACTGCTGTTGGGTGTTGGTCGTATTTTTATTTTTATTTTTATTTTGTCCGCTTTTTCAACGACAGGATTCATAAAAAGAAAAAAAAAAGAAAGAGAAAAAAGTTACGGCTGACTTCGGGTTGTTCGGTAAGTTTTTGTAAAAATCCTTACGCGAACTTTTACCGAATAACCCAGAATATGCGGAGCTTCTATTTTCTCAGATTAACACGTTAAACACGTCTCGACCGTCCCCGGTCGACCGACGATACAAAATTTAATAAATAACACCCTAGTATTAAAATTAAAAAGCTTTAAAGTTACGAGAAGAAAATGTAGCCGCATAAAAGTGCTCGACGCTTAACGCGCTAAAGATCAGCTCCGTCGGGAATGGTTATTGCGTTTTACAAGAAACCGACGTACCGCTGTGTTCACTTCTTGATCGAAGTTGGCTTTCTGCAACTGATAGAGTCTCGCGTTGTCCTCTATCTTGGTGTCGGTGTTGTATTTTATGTCCATCGCCGATTTCTCGCACTCAGCCTCCTACATGGCGCGACAGCAAGTCAAGATTAAGTTTCTTCTTCGAGCGATTTTGGCGCGAGTTGCGTGGCAACTTTCGTTCGTAGCGAAGTCGCACAGCGTATTGTACACTTCTCTAAGCAGAGACATACCCTAATTCCGGCGTCTCGATTCGCCTCGGCGACTCCCACGTCGGCGTCTCTCTTGACGGCGGCCGTCTGGGCTTTGCCAAGCGATGCCAGATATTGAACGTCGTCGTAGACGTCCTTTATCGTGAACGAGAGGATCTCGATGCCCATGCGACCGACATCCGGCGCGGCGACCTCCCGCACCAGGGCTGCGAATTGATCTCGATCCTTGTAGACCTCCTCCACCGAGAGTGTTCCTGAAGAACACAAATCCCGTAGAAATCGGATCATGTCCGCTTGGAGACTGGGTCTCTCAAGGTCCTCCTTGCCTTCCCTTTCCCTGAACGGAAACGGAAGACAGGCTGGCCGTGGCTTCAACAGCGATCGGACGCACCTAGTATAGCTCGGAGGTGACCTTCCAACGTGGACAGGATCGTAGATTTGATTTCATGCACGCTCTTGCCGAGGAACTGCTCGCTGGCAGTGTGCAGCAACTCATCGGCCTTCATGATCTTGCACTGCGCCACCCCGGTAACCGTCAGCGGCACACCCTGCGCGGTCTCCACGCTCTCGCACACCGGATTCAGGGTCATCACCTCCAGCGAGAGTCGTTGCACATCGGTGACGAACCACCAGGTGAACGCGTAACCGCCCACGATGGTCCTTTTCCTCATGGAGCCGCAGCATCCTCCTGAAATTGCGCAAACGGACATCATCGTGAGTGCTCTCTCTCTCTCTCTCTCTCTCTCTCTCTCGCCAGAAAGTCTCACCTCAACACTTCACGCATTCAGTTCGTATAAGTATTAACTATGACGTCGTGACCCGCTGGGAAACGCCGTCTTCATCCCGCGCGACGTGCCATCGGCGTGCCGCGCGCGGTGTAAATTTACTTTCTAGGGTGCACGTAACCCCACGGATGTCATCGATTAATTTGTAATTCCGGGCGGTCATTAAATACGCGCTCGTGGCGCAACAGTAAGTAGGTCGTTCCGATGGGGAACAGGCAGGTAACTTTACCGTAAGGCTACAGCGAGCGTGACGTCATGAGCTGCCCGCATCGCCGGCCGACGTGGGATGCGTCACGCAGCGCAGCGCACGTCGTACGATCGAAGTGATCGAAGAGGAAAGGAAGAAAAGGAGAAGCACGTACGTTCTAATTTCCCGCGGATGCATTTCGCGCGCACCGGCAGGTGTCTCACCTGCTGCACCGAAATCAAAGATAAGCGCAGGACGAAGGTCCTGCCTCCCCCTCAGTCGCCGGTGCGAAGCGAGTCCGCCGCAAAGGACTTCTTTCGCCGGGGGACGATACGTGTAAGATACGGAGCACTTGGCGACATCTCTCGAGATGTAGAGCGTATAGGTGAATAGGTCTCTGATGTACAGAGACACCTTTTCGAGCGTATAAATACGGCCGGAAAGAACAAGGTCGCTCTCTGAGCTTCTCTCTTCGGCAACGGCGAGGCAAGCGTGCGAAACTCAGGAAGCGAGATTCGAAGATCGATCCACAAATTCATACGGGTATGATTTGTTTATCGCAATCATATTCAGTGACTCTTTCGACGCATTGTGGTCTATACTATTTCCGTTCGAGCTATTACCAATCGCAGGGACTGATCTATGCAATCAGTGCTGTCGCTCCGCCTCGTTAGATCGATATCGTCTACCACTGCGACTCTCGCGAATTACGGAGATTAAGGCAAGTGGTGACTCTAATAAATGTAAATTTGCCGTTACATTTGTTATGCTCGAGTATCGAAGGATGCGCGTGCTTGTGAAGAATCGTCTCTTGTTAATACGCGCGTAAAACTCCTCGTCTACATCGACAATCTTCCTATTCTAAATATCTAATTGATCGCTCGGTACAAAGGTTAAGACCGATATAATAATCAGAGGTGATTAAACCTTACAATAGTTATTCCGAAACGTAGCCGGCAAAACTAGGTCCCTCGTCAGTCGCCTCCGACAGCGCGCACGTCACTTTCCAGCTGGAGGCCGCGTACCTCGAGGAAAACGGGCGGGGAATAACGGAGAAGCGGAACGTGTCGGAGGAGATGGGAGACCGGCTCGCGCCGGCTGGACAAAGAGAAGCTGCCGACGGAAGAAGAGAGAGAGAGAGAGAGAGAGAGAGAGAGAGGGGCGAGAGTCGATGACCGTTATGTGCCGCGGAGCTAAAGAGCACGGGAGTCTAGCCGTGCGCGAGCGGCTGCTACGCTATTTCCACGAGACACCGCTCCTGCGGATGACAGTGCGCGCGTAGTCGGGCCAGGAGCAAGGCCACGGTCGGTGTTGCACTTCCAGAGAGCCCAGTCGAGCGGTATCGCAATTCGCGCGATTGCTTCTCTCTCAGCGTCGCCCGCGACGATGACACACGCGGATGGAACACGATCGCTCCTCCCTTGGGTGATCCCAGCGTGACCTTCGCCGAGGGGGTGAAGCTCACGGAGCCTTCGGAGCCAGGCGAGATTTCGCCTGGCGGGGGTTTTCACGCGGCGAAGGAGAGGCTGACGGAATCGCAACAAGAGGTACGATTCTCTCCCGAGAGAGCTTCTCAGGATACGGTCGCGCTTTCGGGTCCGACTCGCGACCATTAGTTTCGAATGCAGGATAACGGATCGGTGAATTTTCACTGGAGGCAGGCGGATGCAGATATCGATTGCGAAGATTGAGAGCATCTCGCTGTCGCGTACTTCGGGACGTGTTGGAGACTTCTAGAAGGCACATTCTTTCTCTCTCTCTCTCTCTGCGCGCCGTATATCAAGAAGTAGGCGAACCAGAGCAGCTTTCCTTTTCAAATCGTTTAGCTCGTGTTAGGTGCTCGTTTATTTCACTCACGTTCATACGAGCAACGCTTCGCGTTTCCGCGCTTCTCTCGTCCTTGCTTGAGGGATCGGCGCGGTCTCGTTTCTCCTTGTCCGCATTCGCCCCGATAATCTAAGCTTTCGTCGCAATCTCCAGAGACGATTAGCCCGATGGGTCAGGAAGGGAAAGATTTAAAGAAGAAGGAAGGAAGGGAAGCGCGCCTTGCGATCCTTCTCAGAAGGATTCTGCCGTCGACATCTTATTGTTTTTACTCGTTGAGAGATTGCGGTCGCGGCGGCAATCGGGAAGCGGCACTTGTCGCGCGATTGTCGGCGATTATGCCGCCGAATTGAAGTCGCGACCTAAGCGCGCGCGGCGGCACGGAAACCTACAAAACAAATAAAAATCGCCGATGCGACTCGGATATGCGACGTTGCTTTAATTGCGGCTAATCTCGCCCGTCTGGAGAAAATAGCCGCAGCTGTGATCGCCGGTTTCTCAGTCAGAGATAGAAGCCTCGAGATCGGACTTTTCGACTCTTCCGAACTGAAAATCCAGACTCCGATCTCCGCAGCTTTACAACCACCTGCGAGTCTCTCTCGATCTGTTTCATAAAACTCATAAAACAAATTTTTTTCTTCGAAACGTTTCACTCGATTGACACGTTTGATTTGATTTGAAACCCTATTCGCGTTCGGCGAGAACCCATTATCATAACGTTATCAACGCGTTATCATAGCGTTATCATAGCGTTATCAACGCAACGACTACCTTCGCAAGAATTTTATCTTTTCTCTTCCAAACTTATTATTGTTATTCCTCTGCGCCCTGCGAAAACCCCCTTCAAGTCCCTCAGTTCCCGGCTAGCTCTCGTCTGATACACAGCAAGTTCCCAGCCGATTCTCGAGCTGTCCACCCTGCACGCACAAGCGGCAACGTGCTCCCGATTTGAAGACAAAATTAAAGCGTATCGACAGTCGAAGTCGAAGTCACTTCACGGTTCCTCCAGCAACGATCGTTGCGCTGCGACACACAGCCGCGAGCGACGACGATCGTAACAGCTCGCGAGCCAAACGCGATGTACTAATGTAGCTGAAAGTTTCACAAGCAATTGATATTCTCCTCACACCGGGATCGCGTAAACCACGGACGACGCCGTGTGGCTGCCTGTTTCCTCGACGATTTCTATATAACGAACGACGGCCTACCGAGTTGGCCATTTCGACGGTACAGCGGCGCGTCAGGATCGGATAAGTCCTGGAAAGGCTCCTGGCCTACGGGGAGACAATCGATTATCCCAATCGCAATCGAACGCGCCGAAACTTCGCACGCCGTCAGATCGCCGGTAGATCGAAGATTCGACAATCGAAGATTCGCCGATGAAGGTAGAAGAACGACGAATTTAGCGGGAAGACAATTCGAGAGAGAAAATTCACCGTTAACAGAGGACCGCCTAATAGACGTCACACATCGAATGACGCAATTATCCGCGACAACTGCGGAATAGTTCCTAATTCGCATGTGTGCGTGTGCGTGTGTGTGCCGCAGATTTTCAAGAGATACCGATAGGAAGCTCGAGGAGAGAGTCGGCGAAATGGGTATCGAGAGCGTCCTCGCAGGGAGCTTAACCACCGCCTCGAGCGGGCTGTCGTGGTTCTTCCCGGTCCTCGCCGCGGCGCTCGTCTACTTCCACTACGAAGTCCTGGACAACGAGGCGTCGCCGATCGACGTGCCGTCGGAGGTGCTGTTGCACTCGTACGACTTCATAGTGATAGGCGGCGGCTCGGCAGGTACGTGCACGCGAGACTTTTTGCCTCTGTTGGCGCGGACACGTGTGTTCACTCGCGCTTTGACACGCTTCACCAGGTGCCGCGGTGGCGAACCGCCTGTCCGAAATCGAGAACTGGAGCGTGCTGCTGCTGGAAGCGGGCGGCGACGAGACCGAGATCTCGGACGTGCCCCTACTCGCCGGCTACCTTCAGCTCAGCCAACTGGACTGGCAATACAAGACCGAGCAGCAGAGCGGTGCCTGCCTAGGTATGTCCCGCCGATCGGGACTTCTCATGCTTCTGGCCTCGCACGCCTCGCGAGGGCTGCACGATGCGGAGGTTACGAGCGCGCGAACAGCGAGGTCGCGGCGAGTCGCCGCGCTGTTAAGCCCGGGCCTTTATCCTTTCCAGCGATGGTGAACAACCAGTGCAACTGGCCGAGGGGGAAAGTTATCGGGGGCTCGTCGGTCCTGAACTACATGCTGTACCTGCGCGGCAACCGACGGGATTACGACACGTGGGAGAAGCAGGGCAACCCCGGCTGGGGCTGGCGCGAGGTGCTGCACTATTTCAAGAAATCCGAGGACAATAAGAACCCGTACCTGGTGCAGACGCCGTATCACGCGGAGGGCGGCTACCTGACGGTGCAGGAGGCACCGTGGCACACACCCCTGGCGGCGGCCTTCATCCAGGCCGGCCAAGAGATGGGCTATGAGAATCGCGACATCAACGGCGAGCACCAGACCGGCTTCATGATCGCACAGGGCACCGTCAGACGCGGCAGCCGCTGCTCGGCCGCGAAGGCCTTCCTCAGGCCGGTCCGCCTCAGGAAGAACCTGCACGTGGCGATGCACGCGCACGTGACCAAGGTGCTGGTGCACCCCAAGTCGAAGCGCACCTACGGCGTCGAGTTCTTCAGGGACGGCAAGGTGTTCCGTATACGCGCGAATAAGGAGGTCATCGTGTCCAGCGGGTCTATTAACTCGCCTCAACTGCTCATGCTGTCCGGAATAGGGCCGAAGGAGCACCTGCGAGAACTCGGGATCCCCGTGATCCAGGACTCTAAGGTTAGCGCGTGCGACGAGTCCACCCCTCGAGTGGTCTCTTCCAGCCGAGTCTTTGCAGAAAGCTCCTCGCTCCTCGAACGTGACGACAAGCGACGTCCGACTTTTCCTCAAGTTTCTACTTCCACTCTATTACAAGATTCCCTCCCCGTTTCCAGGTTGGTCACAACCTCCAAGACCACGTCGCCCTGGGCGGACTCACGTTCATGGTGAACCAGGAGATCTCCATGGTTCAGAAACGGCTGGAGAACACCCAGGCGGTGATACAGTACGCCGTATTGGGCAACGGGCCGCTGACTGTGCTGGGAGGCGTCGAGGGCCTCGCCTTCGTCAACACCAAGTACGCGAACGCGTCGTTGGACTTCCCCGACATCGAGCTGCACTTCGTCTCCGGCTCGACCAACTCGGACGGCGGTACCCAGCTGCGCAAGGTGCACGGGCTCGCCGAGCAGTTCTACGACAAGGTGTTTGGGCCGATCAACGACAAGGACACGTGGAGCGCGCTGCCTATGTTGCTGCGGCCGAAGAGTCGCGGGCTCATCAAACTGCGCAGCACGAACCCCTTCGACCACCCTCTCATCTACCCGAACTACTTCAAGGAGCCGGAGGACATAGCCACGCTGGTCGAGGGGGTGAAGATCAGCGTGGCCTTGAGCAGGACAGCCGCCTTCCGGCGATTCGGCAGCGAGCTCAACTCCAAACAGTTCCCAGGATGCAAGCACATCCTCATGTACACCGATCCTTATTGGGAATGCATGATCAGGTACTACACTGCGACCGTCTATCACCCGGTGGGGACCTGCAAGATGGGACCCTACTGGGATCCCGACGCCGTGGTCGATCCGCAGCTCAGGGTGTACGGCGTGGCCGGGCTGCGCGTCATCGATGCGTCGATCATGCCGAATCTCGTCAGCGGAAATACGAACGCGCCCGCCATCATGATCGGCGAGAAAGGCGCCGATATGATCAAGGAGTACTGGCTGAAGCGAAAGTACGGACCTGAATTTAATGAACGATAAGTAGTCGCGCGCGCGATCAACCGTGACACACGTGAAGATTTGCGAGTGTGTGATAACAAGAGTAATAAAGTTAACGACACGTTGTGAACGTTGAATTTTATTGAGATGTCGAGAGCTTTACGGACAACTTATAGACGTAATACGGATTGCGTGCGTGCGTGTGTGTGTGTGTGTGTGTGTGTATGTGTGTGTGCGCACGCGCGCGCGCGTCATAAGCTCTCCTGCTTATATTGTAACATAATAAATATTTTTCTATTCAATTTCCCTCGCGGTACCGGGAGATGTTAGATATTGTTTTGTAAAAATACAAGATGATAGATTAGATTACAAGATGATAAGAAGAACTTTCACGGACAAACACAAAGTTGCCGATCTCTGCGATCTGTTCTCTCGGAGATTGCACTGCAAATCCGAGCGTGTTACTTCGACATGTAAGAGCGTGTAACTGTCTTCAGCTATTTTCCGAGTGCTTATGGTCCAACATCACATCCTCTAATTCGTTTAAGCGTACTAAGTGGTGTGATTTGAAACGTGTGAAAAGAAAACAGTTCAGTCACACGCTTCCGCGTGGATCAGGATAACGAATTAACCTGCGACTGTTCGCGACTGCGCTGACTTTGCCAGGCAAATTTGACGTGCAAAAAGCGCGCCAAAGCACGCGAGAGGCCGAATCTATTCGCCGTCGACTGCGCGTCAACTTTCCGATAGAAAAGAAAAAAAAAAAAGAAAAAAAAAACAATAAAAATGGCAGGACGACCCGATACGAGTGCGAAAAGCGAGTCCCGAGTTTTTAACGAAAATAACACATCGATCGTTGAATCGAACGTTGAATGCACGCACGAGTACAATTGAGAAACTAAAAAATGCTGAAACTAAAAAAATGCGCCGAAAGCGCAGAGCTCGGCGCGTTTCAATACTCCCGCGTTGCATCGGTGCATAAAGTACCTGCAACGTGTGACGACAGTAACAGCAGTAGCTGCTGCTACTGTGGCATTGCCGAGCCAACTTTCCGAAAGGTAAGAGAGAAGAGGTTCCTTGCGAGCGACGCTGCGAGATCGGGAGATTCCCAGTTCAATCGACAGTGCGCGACTTACGAGAGGAGCTCCGTTGAGTGCAGAAATTTCAAAATCCAAGGGAACATGGCTCGCCTGAGTGTGACACATATGCTGACCTCGTTCCGCACGGAACGACTGTTCCTCGCGGTGCTGTGGTACCTCATCATCAACTTGCGCCCGGACATCCTCGACGAGGAGCATCGCGTGCACCTTGTGCCGGTGCAGGAGATGCTGGCCGAGTATGATTACGTGATAATCGGCGGAGGGTCGGCCGGTTGCGTGATGGCCAGCCGATTGTCGGAGGAGCAGGACCGCACCGTATTACTGCTCGAAGCCGGCGTCGACGAGATAGTGCTGTCCGACGTGCCGTTGGTCTTCCCGATTCTGGCGCGCACGTTCCTCGACTGGGACTTCCAGACGGAACCGTCGGCCAACTACTGCCTGGCGATGCGGAATAATCAGTGCAGGTGGCCACGTGGCAAGGTATCCTAGGCACCACTTGGCGTGCACCTGGTTGACCGGCTGCCCTCTCTCTCTCTCTCTCTCTCTCTCTCTCTCTCTCTCTCTCTCTCTCTCTCTCTAGTCGGTCAAATGTGTGTCTCTGAATATGCGCCCGGCTGTGTTAACCATAACGATTTTCAAGGTGTTAGGTGGCAGTAGCGTGTTGAACGGCATGTATTACGTCCGCGGCAACAAGAGGGATTACGACTCCTGGGCGGCGCTCGGCAACACCGGCTGGGACCATGAGAGTGTCCTGCCGTATTTCCAAGTATCAGAGGACATCAGGATCGAGGACCTCCGCGACTCGCCGTACCACCATAAGGGCGGGTACTTGACGGTGGAGCGTTATCGGCATATAGTACCGGTGACCGATTACTTCGTTCATACCGGCGAGGAGCTGGGATACACGACGCGGGACATGAACGGCGCCAGTCAGACCGGCTTCATGTACGCTCAAGGCACCCTGAGGGACGGTTTGCGGTGCAGCACCGCCAAAGCTTTCCTGCGACCTGCCTCGAAGAGGAGGAACCTGCACGTCAGCTTGGAGTCGTTTGTGGAGAAGATCCTCGTGAAGAACGGTTTGGACAGTTGCATCTAATCCACGCTTCTATCTCGCTTCTTTTTATCCGATCTTTGGGACATTCTGTCCTCTCGGCGTTGAACTAAGCGGAATCAACAATTGCATTAACGCGCGATATCTCATTGAGATCAGTTGCTCCAATCAGAGTGTCTCCTACTCTCATTTGCAGATGGCATGTCCAAGGTAGCGCACGGGGTGCGATTTCGCAGAAGCGCGAGGCATTTTGTAGTCCGCGCGAAACGCGAGATCATTCTATCCGCGGGCACGATACAGTCGCCGCAGTTGCTGATGCTGTCGGGTATCGGGCCGCGGGATCATCTCGAGACAATGAAGATCCCCGTGGTGCACCACGCGTCCGGCGTAGGGCAGAATCTTCAAGATCACGTGTCCTTGAGCAGAAGGTACATGGTCGACGCTCCGCCAAATATGTCGGAACCGGACGATTTCACACTGAGGCTGTACGTATCCGTGTCCATGAACACTCTTCAGGAAATGATACACAACAATTCCGGCTTGCTCTACACGAACCCGGTGGGCGGCGCAATGGCGTTCATCAACAGCAAGTGAGCGGGACTTTCCTGAGTTACACTCGGCTTAACTACGGTTCTTTCATAGGCGAGATAGGCAAGGTATTGTCGAGTTTGAAAGGTCGACTAATAATTGCTTGTTGAACCGATCGCGACGCAGGTACGCCGACGAGAAACTCGATTACCCGGACGTTCAGCTGCTTTTCTCAGGCAGCTCGCCCATCTTGGAGACCGGAGTCGTCACCCCGTATGAAGACATCGATCCGAACCTCGCCGTCGGCCTCTACGATAACACGATGAGCCATCAGGCGGTCAATATCTTCGCGATTCTTCTCAGGCCGCGCAGCAGAGGCTACATCAAGCTCAAGTCAGCTGACCCCTACAACGCTCCCGAAATTGTGCCCAACTACTTCGACGATCCTCGTGATCTACAAGTTCTGGTACGCTATAAGCTTCGTGTCGCTTATACACGCGCGGGAATTCATGTGACAAAACTGAACACCGGATGAATCACCTCGACCTTTCAGGTGGACAGTGCGAGATTGCTAGAGGAGGTCAGCCGCACTCGCACCATGCGGGAGATAAACATGCGACCTGATCCAAATCTAATGCCGAACTGTTCGCAGTACGACGTCTCGTCGGACCAGTACTGGGTCTGCTATGTGCGTTACTTGACGCGGACGATTTACCATCCGGCCGGCACCTGCAAGATGGGCCCTGCCAACGACAGTCAGGCCGTAGTCGACGCTAGATTAAGGGTGCACGGGGTCGCGGGGCTGCGAGTGGTCGACGCGTCGATAATGCCGACTATTGCCTCCGGTAATATTAATGCGCCGGTGATTATGATTGCAGAGAAGGCGTCGGATATGATAAAGGAAGACTGGTCTCGAGCAACTCGATCGTAGCGGTCGTGAGAAGGCAGGACGATGCGAATGCTACTCCGACATCGTCTCTCTGTTAGATTTCGTTCTCTCAGAACGCACGCTTCGTATTGGATTCGATAAATATCGCTCTGGATTCCCTTGTCGATGAAGTTAGGAGCGCCGCAATTATCGATCGTTCAGCTAAGCGAGCCTAAGGTGAAACATTTGCATATGCTAATAGAGAATTATATTAACAATCTTATGTATGCAATTTAAATAAAGTGAACATACAATATGTAAGTGAGCCATATGAAAATGTTTCCGTAGACGTACAAAATTACTGCGATACTCAACAATAATGCGCGTCGTTAATTGCGACATTGTGTCGCGAAAGTAATCTCTCGCGCTTATCTAGGCATTAGCCGACAGTAATTTTAATGCAACTAACGTCAGAAGAATAAGTATTTCTACAGGAATAATCAGGAATAAGTTCATAGACAAGGAAAGACAAGGAAACAGAAGCCGAAGGTTAGTCCAAGTAAAATGTGCGATAAGTGAAAAAAAGATAAGCGCAAGCCTGAATTATTGGCGCAGTTATCTGCGAGCCATGTAAGTAAAGGATACGAGTGATAAACGAAAAGCCACTTATCTAGTTAAACACATTTTCCGAAAGTAGAACAGCCTGACACGTGGATAACGAGGGACTACCTTTTATTCATGCAAATAATAAATTCGCGTATAATGTCAGCGTTACACGTACGACCTCGTCGAGCGGACATTAAAAAGACTGATGCGTACGTGAGAAGAAACAGTCGGTTTCGCCAATCCCAATTTTTTCACCTCCATTAAGTAAGCCCCCCTCTCCCCACATCGAAAATAAAATATCTAATAGGTGCAAAATTAAGTGCTAATTAGGTGCTACAATCCCGAATTTGGTGCTCGCGCGGTTTGGCAGAAAAAAAATAAAATAATGGGGGGGCTAGCTTAACGTTAACTTAGCCCCCCCCCCTCCAAATAAGAAAAACGTACAACCAACACGTAAAATCGAAAACAAATTATGTTAAAATTAGGTGCTAATTAAGTGCTTCAAGAAACAATTTACGGATATTAAAAGTATATCGCCGTTCAAAAGTTATAACAAAATAAATATGTCAATCTCAACAATGACTGTCCAAGAGAGAACTTATATTATAAAATTAGATGCTCTCGTGGCTATGGTATCAAATTAAACGTCTGTTCACGCACTGTCGAGATACCCAAACGCCGAATTAAGTGTTCGCCCTGTTTTGCAAAAATTCGCACTTAAACGTCGGCGGGCCATGCGGGTGACAAGAGAGGACCTGTCTTAAAAAATTAGACGCTCTGACGGTATGGGTCTCAAAACACTCGTTTTTTTATGCATTATTTAGATATTCAAACGCCGAATTAGGTGCTCGTCCCGTTTTGCAAAAATTCGCACTTAAACGTCGGCTGGCGATACAGGTTACAAGAGAGAACCTGTCTTAAAAAATTAGGTGCTCTCACGATACGGGTCTCAAAACACTCGTTTTTTATACATTGCTTAGATATCCAAACGCCGAATTAGGTGCTCGTCCCGTTTTGCAAAAATTCGCACTTAAACGTCAGCAGTCAGCATGCAGGTCACAAGCGAGAACCTGTCTTAAAAAATTAGGTGTTCTCACGATATTAGTCTCAAAACACTCGTCTTTTGATGCCTTGTCGAGATACCTAAATGTTGAATTTGGTGCTCGTGTAGTTTGGCAGAAAAGAAATAAAATAATGAAGGGGGGGGCTAGGTTAATGTTAACTCAGCCGTCCCCAAATGAAACAAACCTTTAACCAACACGTAAAACCGAAAACCAATTATGTCAAAATTAGGTGCTAATTAAGTGCGCCAAGAAACAATTATGAGACATTAAAGATATAACGCCAATCAAAAGTTATAACATAAAAAATATATCATCTCAGGGATGACTATCCAAGAGAGAACTTATATTATAAAATTATTATTATTTATTATATTGTCTGTTATGTAATGTCTATTTATTTTTAAAACCATTGCTTTTCCATATATGCGTGGGCCATTTTGACACACTATTTATTCCAGTTGCTTATCATTTTTGAAAAAATGTTTCTATTAAGTTTTTATTTCCTCCGTGGAATTGGACAATTTTTGTTAAAAAATGTTTTCCTAATCATAATCGGCTGGATTGGGTAATTATTAAAATGATTCAACTTATATATATATTTCATTATAAATCATATGTACCAAAGATATATGTAATATTTCTTTATAATATAAGTTCTCTCTTGGACAGTCATCGTTGAGATGACATATTTATTTTGTTATAACTTTTGAACGGCGATATATTTTTAACATCCGTAAATTGTCTCTTGGAGCACTTAATTAGCACCTAATTTTAACATAATTTGTTTTCGATTTTACGTGTTGGTTGTACGTTTTTCTTATTTGGGGGGGGGCGCTAAGTTAAGCTAGCCCCCCCATTATTTTATTTTTTTTCTGCCAAATCGCGCGAGCACCAAATTCGGGATTGTAGTACCCAATTAGCACCTAATTAGCACTTAATTTTGCACCTATTAGATATTTTATTTTCGCTGTGGGGGGGGGGGGGCTAACTTAATGGAGGTAATTTTTTCACTCATCTTGCAGACACAACTTATGCTAGGTGCGATCGTTCACCTCGAGACCGTATTGTTCGCGCACAGAGTCTCGTTCGATCATACCTTCCCGTAGACAAGAAATCCGCTTGTTCGACGATGCAAGATAAAAACCCGTGACTCGCGACAGAATCGCCTCAGTCCCTGTCTAATTGTTATCGAAATATCGAATCGAAGATCAAGGTACAGATACTGATGGCTGGTCTGAGCGTGATCAATATGCTGTCCTCGTTCAGCACGGGACATCTCTTCGTCGCGGCACTGTGGTACCTCATTGTCAACCTGCGTCTGGACATCGTCGACAAGGAGAATCGCGTGCATCCTGTGCCGACGCAGGAGCTGATGCACGAGTACGATTACGTGATAATCGGCGGAGGATCAGCCGGCGCGGTGTTGGCCAGTCGACTGTCGGAGGACAAAGATCGCAGCGTGCTCCTGCTGGAGGCCGGCTCGGACGAAACGATGATATCCGACGTGCCCTTGACTTACGTGCTTATACAGCGTTCGTTCATGAACTGGGAGTACAAGATCGAACCGTCGTCCAGTTACTGCTTGGGCCTGAAGAACAACCAGTGCAGGCTGCCGCAGGGCAAGGTACTTTGCGCAAACATCTCGTTAAGGTCCAGCTTCCAGTTTCCCATATAAACTCCTTTGATGATTTTCATATGTCGTTACTAACACATTTTCCGTCCCCGTTTCCGCTGCGTAGCGACGAATTTTAACGATCGATCTTTAAGATATTAGGTGGTTCCAGCGTGCTGAACGCGATGATGTATATCCGTGGTAATAAAAGAGATTACGATTCCTGGGCGGCGCTCGGTAACACCGGATGGGATTACCAGAACGTCCTGCCGTACTTCAAGGTGTCAGAAGACGCCAGAGTCGAGGGTCTCTACGGCTCGCCGTATCACGCCAGGGGCGGCTACTTGACGGTGGATCACTTCAAGTACACTCCGCCGGTCACGGACTACATCATTCGTTCGGGCGAAGAATTGGGCTATCAAGTGCGCGACCCAAACGGAGAGAACCAGACCGGCTTCCTGTATACTTACGCCACCGTGAGGGACGGCTTGCGATGCAGCACCGCCAAAGCGTTTCTTCGGCCCGTCTCCAAGAGGAAGAATCTACACGTTAGTTTGGACTCGATGGTGGAGAAGATTCTTCTGACGAAAGGTTCGGACAGTCCCATGTCCCATCTCTCAGCTCTCTGTCACCTCGGAGATTCATGAGCGATAGAAATTTGCGGGCGTTCGAGGACGCATTCCGCTATAAGATCAGTCAGATTAGCGCTTAATTACGACGCTCGTTACTCGCACTTGCAGTTGGCGCGACGAAGGTGGCATACGGCGTGCACTTTCTCAGAGACGGGGAACATTACGTGGTGAACGCTACACGCGAGGTTATTCTGTCCGCGGGTGCGATACAGTCACCGAAATTACTGATGCTGTCCGGCATCGGGCCGCGGGATCACCTCGAGAAGATGAGGATACCCGTGTTGCAGCATTCGCCCGGCGTAGGACAGAATCTTCAAGATCACGTGGCGACCTCGGTCATCTACACGATCGACCCTCCGTCCGACATTCCGGATCCCGATAAATTCACCGTGCGGCTGTTCGAATCTGTCACGGTGGACGCTCTTCGGGAAATGATACACAACAACTCCGGCCTGCTCTATACGACGACCATAGGCTCGGGGATGGCGTTTGTCAAGACCAAGTAAGCGGCACTTTTGAAAACCCAGTGGATTCTCCTTCACTCTGCCGTGAGAAATGATGACAAATGAGGTCTGGCCGGATGACAACGAGGAAATTTATCGGACGGCAATTAATTTAACTAATTACGTCTCGCAGGTACGCGGACCAAACGGCCGACTATCCGGACATCCAACTGATCTTCCCAACCTCGTCGAACGCGAAGTTCGGAATTATCTCATCACGTTCCGAGGACATCAAACTAGACATCGCCGATGCACTGTACAAGGATATCCTGAAACATCATACCTACGACATAGTTCCGATTCTTCTTCGGCCGCGCAGCAGAGGCCACGTCAAGCTCAAATCTGCCGATCCCCATGATCTCCCCGAAATCGTCACCAACTACTTCGACGATCCTCACGACTTACAAGTTCTGGTACGCTGTGCTAGACACGTGTCTTCGCGTCGCCAACGTGCACGTGGCGGAAATTCACGTGACGGGACGTGAAAGTCGGATAATAAATCACTTTGACCTTTCAGGTGGAGGGTGTGAGATTGATAGAGAAGATTAGCCGCACTCGCATCATGCGGGAGTTGAACGTGCGACCTAATCCGAACGTAGTCCCGAGCTGTTCGCAATACGACGCCTGGTCGGACCAGTACTGGGCCTGCTACATCCGTCACATAACAGGGACGATTTATCATCCAACGGGCACTTGCAAGATGGGCCCTGCCAACGACAGTCAGGCCGTGGTCGATGCCAGGTTGAGAGTGCACGGTATCGCGCGACTGCGAGTGGTCGACGCGTCGATAATGCCGACTATTGTCTCCGGTAATACCAATGCGCCAGTGATTATGATCGCGGAGAAGGCTGCTGATATGATAAAGGGCGACTGGTCGGCTTGATTCCCGCGACGATGTATGCGAGACTCGAATAAATGTACATCCCATCACAGAATCTCAATCTATAAAGTTCGTTACGCAGGTCTAATTAGTAATTACGTGTAAATTACAGGATTTTGTTAGACCGACAGAACGACCGAAGCTTCGCTCTGCGAGAATTGAAAGATCCGAGAAGATTGTCGAGAAATTTGTTCGTTGTAATAACGTTAATTCTCAAATAAATGTATGCAGCAGGTATTTCCTTTTAATTTATACACCCTGATAGGCTGATGACTTGTCGACTTGCTCGTGTTGTCATTAAACAGTTGGCGGCGATTTATTAATTCTCAACAACACTCGTCATCGCAATCAATCAATTTGAATATTTATAATAATTATCTCGCGTTTCATTACGCGCGCGCGCGCGCGCGCGTACATCGAGCGTGCAATTTCCGAATTAATTTAAGCAGACATCATCTCCTTATAAATAATTATATAAACAATCCAAATGTTTGCATTATATTGCGAGTTTGTGCATAACTATTTCATAAGTTTCCATTGAGAAGTTAATACCTCGAGACCGTGAGACATGAGGGGAATGCCTGGTAAGGCGAGGTCGCTACTATCGAGGATCAACAGTGTGTCATAAAACGTAAAACCGAAAATACAATAAGGATCGTACAGGGTGTCTCGGAACAATTGTACCACAGTTCGTAGGGACGTAGAACAGATTAAGGTGAACAATATATATATATATATATATACATACTAGAGATATGCGAACTATTCGAATTCGAATCGAATCGAATCGAATCTAATGTAATTCGATTCGATTCGAATCTGAATCCCTATGATTCGAATCCGAATAATTCGAAAATTTCGAATCGAAGATTCAATTACGAATCAAATATATTAGCGTGCATATTTGCATGCATCAAGTACAAAACGAGACATCTGTTGGCCTGTATGTTTGAACCCTTAACTTGTAATTAACTTAACTTATAATTAATAACTTAATTATAAATTACTTTAAATATTTAAATATATATTTTACTTTAAAATGATATTACAATATCAATATCCCCTTTCATATTAAAACCTTCCATCATTATGTACACGTTTAATAGTCATGTTAAATTTTTTAATGATTCGACTCGATTCGAATTCGAATGAAATTTCATAGATTCGATTCGATTCGAATTCGAATTAAAAAAATGAGATTCGATTCGACATAAAAATTCTTGATTTGCACATCTCTAATACATACATACATACATATATATATATATATATATTCTCATATATTCGCAATTATCAAGTTATTAATTGTAGAAATTGGATGAATGGCTACCAAATATTTTCGCAGTTAGAATTACGAAGTAATTGAGATAGCGGAAGTAGCTTAATTTATTTGTTAAGCACACGTCCAACCGCGCGTTATCTTGCTTGTTACGACAATAACAAGATACATCGTTGTGAACTTAGGTGCGAGGCAAGCACACAAGCACACATAGTGGCACACGTTGTCCTTTTCATCGCTATGCGATAACAGTTGTTAGAACGGCGGAATCGAGAACGGCTCAAAAGCTCCTCGCTCACTATCGACGCGCGTCATTCATCCGACTTCGGTAACTTGATAATTATTGCGAATATCGCAGAAAGGTATGGGACTTTTTTGTTCGCCTTAAACAGTTCTACACTCCTACGAATTATAGCACAATCGTTCCGAGACACTCTGTATATAGTTTGAGTACGTTTTATTATATTTGCGCTTTAATCGCTACGATTTTGATATTCCGCAAGACACAGAACGATGTGCACTTTAGGATTAATACGCCTTTATCCTTCGTTCGAGGCAACCGCGACAGCTCGCGGTTGCTGTTCACGAATGTTGACCTTGCACTTTTGCTTATTTATCGAACTTATCTATCAATCATTTCTCAGGCATTTATCAATCATTTTATCCGTACCGTGTCGATCTTTCCGTCGGTTCGAGAGCTCGCTGATGCATCTTTGATGAATAACGCGATGACGTGCACAGAATGAACGTGTCTCATAAATCAAGAATGACGATAAATAAGAAAGTGAATAACAAATCGAGAGCGCAAGCGACGAAAACATAGCTCTCTGGCCGCGTGCATTTCTAACATTCAAATGCGCCCTTCCTAATATTCAAATACCCCCCCCCCCCCAAGTAGCCCGAATAACAATACAGGAAGGCTACCCTCGGTCTTCCCTCGGCCAACGTTTTGACGTTGTGTTGCGACGATGATATATGACGTGTCGCGTTGCGTCAATGACAAACTGGGCGTGACTGAATTACCTCAAATCCATCTGTTTGTTCTCGTGATCGTAATATAACGATCCGTATACACAAGTGCGTGCACGTCCTCGCGGTAATTCCTCTTCTTCCAGCACATACGTAAGACCGGGGATGCCTCTTCACATATCCGAAATATAAATCGCTGCAGGGTTCATTTTCTGCCATGAACCAGTATAAATTGTACGCAGGTCGGCGACGACGATAATCTGAAGGCAGTGGGTCCTCGCCTCGACAGGAGACATTGTCACGTTCGGTAAGACGTTTCAAGAGATACGCGCAATAACGTGCGGCAATATAAAGCAAAAGTACTATCCGTATCTTATCTGGTCCAAACACACTTTGCGAGTCGCTGAAGTCGTCCCGTTGCCGTTAAGAAATTCTCTCTCTTCTCGAATCACCAATTTAAAACACAGATATTGCATAGTGCGAGTTGAAGTGCGAGGCAAGAGAGGGTGTTTGGGTGAAGATGTACAGTGTCGCTGGTAGCTTTTGTCGATTTTGTCGCCGGGTTCCTTTTGTTCTCGCACACACACACACACACACATACACACATATATCTGTAAAAATTGCACGAATTATACTTGCGCAATTCGGTTCTGCGATGCAGCGAATTTTTAACGAGTGTTCGATAAATTGCGATACGTTTAGTCGCGCGCGTAACGTAACGGTATCGGTTGTAATATCGGTTCGGTGAAAACCCGACATCTCTTTCTCTCTCTTCCCCCCCCCCCTCTTTCTCTCTCTCTCTCTCTCACTTTGGCATTTCTCGTACGGCGCACTGGGAATTAGCTCGTGGCCGTAACCCCTCATTTACGCAACAAACGAGCTAGTTTCTTTGTTGCGCCCCGCGAACGATTGCTTGGCTTTCGTCGGTTCAGCGATACACGGCGTGCAAATTCAAAGCGTTGCGTTGTCGACCGCGATAGCGATAGGGTTGCGAGAGGAGAAAATCTCGGACTCTCCTCCGATAATTCGCGGCTTAGCTCCCCGATGCATTACGCGCAACTTGGTCGTTCTTTCCCCACCTTTTCTTTCCCCGTTTTTGTCTCTTCGCCGCAATGAATCGTCGTACGTAAGCAGTTAGAGAGACGCACGGTTCCTCCTTCGCTTCCCTAAAAGTTGGCCACTTCGTGACAAACACTCGTCTTCCTCGTCGACGTTAACCCATGCAGTGTGAATCCTGCTCGGAGCGGAGCGGTGACGTCACACCACGTGTGTCTTCTTCGTCGACGAATGCGTTCCTGCTGGCCACACGCGATGAGCTTCTCGATTAGTGCATCTAGTGTGCGTGGCCGTGGTTATCCGGTTACACGTTGCCCCTCGCCGAACAGTCCGATGGAGATCAAGCAATCGCCCATTCCGGACAATCTCGGTCGGTCGTTCAAAGAGTAAGACTGTGTGGTCCTGAAGTCGATCAGACGAATCAATCGGTGCCTGGTGCGTTTCTACACCATCGTACAGATGTTCCCGATCTGTCGGCCGCCGAGAAATTATGAGGCATTATTAGATTTAACCACGTACTTTTATCCGGATTTCAGGTAATTTTTTAGAAGACAGATGTAAAAGGTTGCCTTTCGTTCTCTTTCCTCCGACGTTACGTTCGAGAGACGTCCGGAACAATTGGTCGGGAAAAAAAATACGGAATAATCCATGTGAAATTTTTACGAGTTCTTTCCGCGTGTGTGAACAACGATCACCAGCGATGAAATTCCATTCTCAGCAATCGGTCAAGGTTTGTCGCGAGTCTCATTGTCGAAAAAAGAGAGAGAAAGAGAGAGAGAGAGAGAGAGAGAGAGAGAGAGCGAGAGAGAGAGAGCGAGAGAGAGAACGAGAGAGAGAGAGAGAGAGAGAGAGAGAGAGAGAGAGAGAGAGAGAGAGAGAGAGAGAGAGAGAGAGAGCGAGAGAGAGAGACACCACACTGCATATTCCCAAAAGCACAATACGCGAAAAAGTCTCTTCCGATATTACCGTAGTGCTCCGAGTGTGTGACGCGGAATGTAACATCATCTTTTTCTGCACGATACCTACACCTGCCAATGAATACTTTAACGAAATTTCACTCGCACCGGACGGAGAAATTTCTGCTGGGCCTTTCGCGCGCGTGTGATACATTCGCCGTGCCGTATCGGACACTTCGTGCTCTTCGATCGCCGCGAAAAATTTATCACGGACAAGCAATAACGCACTTTCACGCGGAACGCTCGGAACCAAACTCAGTGCACTCTTTCAGATCATCGGGCGGTCCAAAGCACTCTTCAGTAAATAAGTAGTGTCAAAATATCTATACTTACTCTTTTTCTATATGTATATTACTTTAATATCTATATTATTTTTTCTTTAACGTGTCGCTTTTTCGTATACGTCGCGTTTAACCGGTACCCCCTGAGAGAAGAGAGAAAGACAGACAGAGATGGAGATTAAACGGAGTCTCGATGAGTATTGGTTACCGCGAAGTTACAAATTATCTCTAAGATTTCGTGTCGCTTGGCAAGGTAAAAATCTCAAACGATGCCACGGGGTTAACGATATAAGTACGGGATCGTTAATTTTATTGCAAAACACACTCATTAAGACGTCGGTATGTGTGTGTGTGTGTGTGTGTGTGTGTCTGTGTGTCATTGTTCTTAATGGTATTCTCACAAGTCACAATTTGACGTTTCGTTCCCTTCGGCGAGTACTCGGCGAGTGTTCAACTGGCATCTGTCGAAACTCTGTCACAATCATTTTCAAGAGATTACGTATCCCTTCATTAACGAGCAATAATACGTAGAGTCTGTACTTTATTAACGGTTGTCTACGACTAATGATCGAACGCCGATTCACGTCCAGCATTTATCATGCGCAAAAGATGCAAAGATCATTGCATTCGGCCATGTGAATTATACAGTGGAACCGTTCGCTCTCGTCGCATAATAAGGTCACTGACAATCCACAATTGCACGACATACAATTTGTCGTCATTCATCATTATCGTCACCGTCGTGTACTTTCGTCGCGATACAATTTTCCTTTCCCTTTTCAATTTCTTTCTTCTGTCAGAAAATCAGAGTGACTCTCGTATCCTTTTTTATCCACAGATGATATTAGCCTCTAAATTGCAGACATGTGTTGGTACGTCCTTCTGTTAGCCTTGGTGCAACACGCTGTTGCAAGTTCCCTCAAAGAACACCAGGTAAATACGACCGTAACATTTCCTCGCGAAACTCGAAGCCCGCGAAGCGAGCAGCCCGAAGCAACTCGAAAGTGAGGAGCTTCGCTCCTCCTTGCCGAAATGTGCCGATCGAGCCAGCTTTCTCGCAATTAAAATAAGCTTTCGCACGCGGCTATTTATAGCTGCCGTTATTCCAGCCGTCCCAAGAAGCCAGCACGTACGGTGGCGGCGCCGGGTGTTGCTCCTCCTGCCAATTCAAAGATACGCGCTATATGGAACGTGTCTGCGAGGGAACGAGTCCTTTCATGACGCTCATCCAAAATGCCATATCTTCCAGATGCGACATCGCCGATCCCTGCCGACGGATGGGCACGGACGAGGTGCCGAGTGAGAACGAATGGTGAGAGACCCCATATTTCTATTCTATTCTACGTTCGTTCTTTCTCACATCAGATATATCACACGACGAACTCTGCGGTCTGAGACCGCTGAGAAAAAAAGTCCGTTATACGAGATAACGGGGACTCTCCTCCCCCGTGACAGTGACATTATCACATTGAAAAAACCGCGACAAGTCGAGGAACGAACTCGCCGGCTGAAGACCTCACCTCTGTCGCCGTTTGCGCCTAGGTACGACTTTGTAATCGTGGGTGCCGGCACGGCGGGATCGATAATCGCGCGGAGATTGAGCGATAACCCATGGCGGAAGGTTCTACTTATCGAGGCCGGCCCGGAAGAGCCGACGATGACGGCTATACCGGGGCTCGCGTTCAACGCTGTCAACACGTCTCTCGATTGGAACTTCAAGACGGAACCGACATCACCGCATCCAACCGCTTGTTTGGGTATAGAATATCTTGGGTATTGTATCGATCGATTTAATAGGGCTTCGCGCGCACAAGTGACCTTAATCCGCGACGAAAAGATCCCTCCCAATCGTAACACAAGTATTAGTCATGATATGATCGCGAGAGAGCAGAATAATTCCTGCTCACGCGACAAAAAAGATCGTCGTTTTGTTAAATGTTCATCGACTCGTCGCGACTCGCGACTTTCCAGAGACCGACGGCGTGTGCACTTGGCCGAGGGGCAAGATGGTAGCCGGCACCGGCGGTTTCCACGGGATGATGTACGTCCGAGGTCATCCTGAGATCTACAACCGTTGGGCGAGAGCGGGCAATCCGGGCTGGTCCTACGACGAAATCGTCCACTACTTCGAACGGTTGGAGAATCCGGCCGACCCGACGATCTTGTCGGATAAGTTTAGGAGCGTAAAGGAGAGCGGTCCGATGAACATTCAGTACTACCCGCACAGGCCGGAGTTCACGGACGTGTTGCTGAACGCCGCCAGCGAGCTCGGCTACAGGACCTCGCGGCTGAAGGAGTACAGCCAGACCGGTTTCATGGTCGCGCCGATGACAATCGAGAACGGTATGCGGAGCACGACCTCGAGGGCGTACTTGAGGCCTGTTCACGACCGCAGGAACTTGCGGGTGCTGATAAACGCGCAAGTGACGAGGATCCTGATCAGCGATTGGGAGAAGAGGGCTTACGGAGTGGAGCTGGTGGACAAGAACGGTCGCAAGCGGATGATCAAGTGCGGCAAGGAGGTGATCTTGACAGCGGGAGCGGTCGGTTCGCCGCATATCCTCATGAATTCCGGCGTGGGTCCTGAGAAGGACCTCAACAGGCTCGGCATCAGAGTGCACCAAGATCTGCCGGTCGGCGAGAATTTGCACAATCATGTGTCGGTGGCGGTGCCCATGAGCATCAGGGACAACCCGTACGAGGTTATAACGATAGACGCGGTGAACGAATACTTGGAAAAAAAGATGGGTCCGTTGGCCAGCACCGGCATCACTCAGGTCACCGCCTTCCTCGAGAGCAGCTACGCGACTAACGGCATGCCAGACATTCAGGTGTTCTTCGACGGCTTCAGCTCCACCTGTCCGAAGACTGGTCTGCCCAACGAGTGCAACGGCAGAATCGCCAACTGCCCGACTAGGAGGAACATCGTGGCGAGACCTACGGTGGTCTACGCGGAGAGTCGAGGCGACATGAAACTCCGCTCGTCCGATCCCATGGACCCACCGCTCATCTATCCGAATTACTTCACGAACGAGAAGGACCTGACCGTTCTGCTCGAAGGGATCAAGAAGGTCGTGAAGCTCGTTGACACGTCCACCATGAAGAAGTGGGACCTCCGTTTGGAGCAAGTGAGAAGTCCGTTGTGCCAAGAGTAAGTAACGAAATGTTGACTTTTACATCGTTCAGTGGAGACTCCAATTGCGAACAATTGCCAATATTCGCTAAATTTGCTTGTTTCTCGATAATGAAATTAGCTGCAGATTGATTGCAGCCGCAGATCAGTCTCTCAATTTTCTTAGATTTTCTAATCTCTCGTATTTTCTCGCTCATCAGTTTTCACTTCGGCACCGACGCCTTCTGGAAGTGCCAGATACGGGCAGAGACCGGTCCGGAGAATCATCAGTCTGGCACGTGCAAGATGGGACCCGGTACTGACCCAACCGCGGTAGTCGACTCGGAACTTCGGGTACACGGTATACCAAACATTCGCGTCGCCGACGCTTCTATCTTCCCCATCGTGCCAAACTCGAATCCGATCGCTGGTATCATGATGGTGGCTGAGAAAGCAGCCGATATGATTAACAACAGCTGGCCGCTGCAATCTTGAACGTACACGAATTCTGGTATATCAAGTTGTAATATATATTTTTTACGGTTGATCAATAAAACAAATTTCTTTGAATTAATCGACCTTCTTTAAATAAATCAAGAGAGAGATTTTGGATTCTTTGGGCGCTACGAAAAACGCAGTGATGAAGTACTTCTACGATGGAAATCCAGGTGAATTATACTAAATAAAAAATTATATAAATAACAGATGTTATCTGTAAATTTATTATTTGAATTTGAACAGCTAACGCTGTTCATCATACTATATTTCCTAATGGATTATAATAGTTTCATTTCTTCCCCCCTCCGTCACTCTTTCTTTCTCTATCAGGAGTATAGTCAACGAAATGTAGCGCGGATTTGATGCGTTAAATTTCTTCTGTTTATACAACGTCGAGTTTAAGCTTGTTATATCTTTTCTCTCCCAGGTTAGAACACACAAATAAAATCTTTCATTAAAAGTGTATCTATAAAATTGAGGTGGTGTCATCAAATAAAAAGTCAAGGCGAACATGTCGAGCGAACCTAAGCCGGTTATTCGATATTCTTAAGTATGTGTTATGCGAGCGCTACTATATGAAGGATAGATTACATGAAAAGTTTGTCAGTTTGTATTTAGCTGCTGCGTAAAGCAAAGATCGCAGTTTTCCCGCAGCAGCTGAATAATTCAGTTATCGGTACGTTCTTTCATATTTTCAATTCTAGATAGTTATTCTATATAGTTTTTTTCTACCTCTTGCGTCTCTCTTATACCATGCTAGTAGGCTTGTCTTAAAAGTGTTCCATACATACGACACACATATTTCATAATATTTCTTAAAAATATTTTTAAGACTTTTATCTTATTTTGCGCGTATATTTTTACTAGCAGCAAATAAAATTATCTCACGGCAAAATCAACATTTTAAATCAAACACACTTGCTAACAAAATTAAAAATCAGAATTCCATGCGATGCGTATGTAGTATCATAAATTTTATATGCACGAGTGTAAAAAAAGACAGAGATAAAATTTCTAAAATAGGAAAAAAAAATATAAACATTCAATAGTTCAAGATTCCGCTAATTACGTAAGTCACTTAAGAATATCTTAGTCACGCTACGATAACAGATAATGCGCGGTACTGAACGATGCAGTACATTGCGAAGCTTGGAAACTACAAGTCAACGTTCCAGGCTTCACTTTAAGCTCGCGATCTTTTCTCCGGCATATCCGAGAATATAACCTGTCGTAAAATAAAGAAGAGCAAAATAGGGGACGTACCGTAAATTTCTCGAACACAAGGTGAGCGAATAATTATCGAAACGAAGCAGAATTCTCGCGCTATACGATATTAGCAGAAAATAAATACGACAAATTGACACGATACAATCGGCGCGAGGAATTAACTTAATAAATATGTACAACGTTATCAATACTTCTCCTTCCACCGTATCTGTTTTTCGCTCATAGACACAAAGTTAACCGACACCCGACCTGTCATTGCCACAGCTTGTATATATACCAAGTAATTATACGCTAACTTGAAAAACGCGTCTTCCGCAGAATAAAATCGTTACACACGCAACAGAATTATGGAGGCGTGCTTGGCAGCCAGTTGCGCAGCTGCGACGACTGATGCCTCCTCTTCCGTTTTTCTGCAACTGGTGCAAACGCTTTTGGTCGCACAGTGCAGTTTGAGCGACACGAGCAAATATCCGGCGGACCGCTCGGAAGAAATCGCTCGGAATAGCAACATCGAGTTTGACTTTGTTGTCGTGGGCGCTGGAAGTGCCGGTTCTATAGTGGCAAGACGTTTAACCGAGATAGAAAACTGGAAGGTGCTGCTGATCGAGGCCGGAGATGACCCCTCAGCTATCAGCGAGATCCCATTGTTGTTCATGGAGATATTGTCGACGGCGGAGGATTACGCCTACGACGCCGAGTCCGACGAACTGATTTGCCAAGGTTGCAAGAATAAGAGGTGCAAATGGAACAAGGGTAAAGTCCTCGGCGGTAGCAGCACGATAAACGGCATGATGTACATTTACGGCAACGATGAGGATTATAACGAGTGGTCGCGGATGGGTAACGAAGGATGGAGCTACGAGGAAGTCCTGCCATACTTCAAGAAATCGCAGAATTGCGATTACGTTCACAACGACGAGGAGAGTAGAAAGTACTGCGGTCACGATGGACCGATGCACCTCAGATATTTCAATTACACCGACACAGGAATAGAAAAAATGTTTATGGACGCCGCTCGCGAGTTAAACGTGCCGATCTTGCAAAATATCAATAGCGCCAAGTATACTGGATACGGCATAGCTCCGGTAATTACGAATGACGGTCGCAGGATAAACATGGCTGAAGCCTTCCTGTCGCCGATCAAAGACAAGAGCAACCTCTACGTGATGAAGTCTAGCCGAGCCGACGCCATTCTCCTGGATGGAACTCGAGCGGTCGGAGTACATGTGACCCTGAAGGACGGCAGGTCGATCGATGTGAAAGTGTCTAAGGAAGTGATTCTATCTGCCGGCAGTATCGCCAGTCCACAACTGCTAATGTTGTCCGGCATCGGACCTAGGCAGCATCTGCTCGAAATGGGAATATCGAGTGTCGTTGACTCACCAGTCGGCAAGAACCTTCAGAACCACGTCGGCTGGCAAGGCTTGTATCTGGCTTACAAGAACGAGACCGCGCGACCACCATCACCGACCTTCATCATGGACGAGACTTATCAATACTTGATGCATAAAAGAGGAACTTTTGCAACCAACGGTGGCTTCCATTTCGTCAGTTTTGTCAATGTAAGTGATCCGACGTCCAAGTACGCCGACACGGGATTCTTTCATATTCATTACCCACAGTGGCATGTGGACCTAATGACATCGAAGATATTCTCCATGGCTGACGATATAAAGCAAGGTATAATAAAAATGCTCAAGGACGTCGACTTGCTCGTGCCCATGACGAGTCTACTGAAGCCGAAAAGCAGGGGCGAGTTGCTACTGCGTAGCAAGGACCCGGCGCTTCCTGTCAAGATTTACGCGAAGAGCTTCTCCGAGCAAGAGGACATCGACGGAATGTTGAAGTCTTTGGACTTTGTCAAGAAAATACTGAAGACCGAGACATTCGTACGACAAGGAGCATGGCTGCATCATCTGGACATCCCGGGTTGCCGACATACCGAACCCGATTCCGACGAATACTGGAGATGCAACTTGCGACACATGTCCTTCGAGTATTTCCACCCGGTTGGCACGGCCAAAATGGGCCCTCGAGAGGACCCGACGGCCGTCGTGGATGCTCGACTGAGGGTTCACGGTGTGCAAGGACTCAGGGTCATTGATGTATCCATCATGCCGACGATCAACAGCGGAACTACGATGGCGCCTGCGATGATGATAGGGGAGAAAGGAGCAGATCTAATCAAGCAAGATTGGTTAAATTCTGGACAGAAGGACGAGCTTTAGAAAGGAACGCAGCTGTGTTATTTGTCCAGCGTATAACCGGGGGGGGGGTATCTCTTTCCGTTGTGTTATATTATTCTTTTTGTTACGTCGGTATCGGAATTGTTGGGTAAGTTCGTTTGAGTTTCGAGAACGGACCGAGTGTATATGTAATAATATTTTCTCAATTATAACTTACAACTATAAGTTATAACTATATAATGTAATACTGGATGTACTTTTGTTAGCGACAAATAAATTTAAGTCGCAGTAAAAATAGCACTCTAAATCACTTGTATGATTATTAATTGCGGCAGAATGTAATGTTTGGACTCGTACGAAATTTTAGCATTCGAGGAATGTAGTGAGTGAAAATGGAAATGGAAAATATTCGATCTTCGAGAAATAATAATAAGGAGACTCTGCGATTTACTACATATTGATATTTCTTATACTTACAACTTTCTCGGTTCTTTTATTAGCTTAGAAATGTTCCTTCATTCGTTTCGATTGTCTCACTATCAGGTGACCTTTATAGCTCAATCAGTTTTTATTCTGCATGATGCAATAATAGTAAAAACTACAGAGAAGAAAACACGAAGTAAAAACATACACAAAACATAAACAAAAAATATAAAAAATACACACTCTCACGAAATATATAATAATAGAAACGATATCAGAACTTTATTCTATAATAAGAAATCGATAAATGAAACGTGTAAAAGAAGAGGAATAAAAAGAAAAGGAAATGCGTCCCATTTTTCGAATATCGAGGACGAAACCAAAAATCGCGTCTATTTCTCTCGCTATTGTCCCGTCGTCTTCTCTCTGGCGTTGCCGTGGCCGGCTTTTTGCCCATTCTTCCTTCCATTCCTTCCATTGTTCTCTCAGCAATGTTAAGACCTTGTCTACAAACAGTCAGGAGACGTTGTCGTGTGTCGTATACATGCGCACAACCTTGATTTTTATATATGACGCCACATAAAAATCACATAAAAATCAAGGCAAAGATAAAAGTTACGCGCGTGCGTATAATACGTGGATTATAGATGAAGTTTAACAGTATATAAAGAAACATACGGCGTACACGTTCTTCATCCTTTGTCGATATAACCAACCGTGAACACAGACAACTCTCAATTTCATGGTGAATCAGCTAAAAACACGTGAGAACCTACGCAATTCGCTTCTCGACATTCTGATGATTTGTATTTCCACGCAATGTCATCGACGATCAAACGAAATATTTTTATATCACGCAAGAGACGTCGGCGATAGATGATAAGCAACGTGAGCAGTCACTGATATCTACCTAAAAATAGTTGAACCTCGCGGATCTCCTTCGCACGTGTCTGTTTCATGACAATCAAAGAATAAATATATCACACTGACATGAACATTTTGAAATATTAGCTGATCCTACTGAGTCATTATTACTTTACTCGGTCTCATTTTCGAACAAGGCCAACGAAAAAAACAGTTGCAGTTGGGCGCCCGGTTGTTCGCAAGAGAAAATTACTTTAATCTAAATCTTTTTCTAAATTCAATCTAAATTTTAATCTAAATTTAATTCAACTTTATTCAAGACAAACGACAAGGCACTCGGACGTGAGCGAAAAACTAATCAGATCAGAACGGCGGTTCGAAGACGAATACCGTTATCTCAAATTAATTTTCCGAAGTCACTCGATTACTCGCAAACCAGCCGCCGATTCGAGAAACCAGGCTGAATAAATTCTTTCATGATATTATCCTTCCTACTGCACGCTTTGTTATATTCCTCTATTGTGAGCACGAAGTCAATTGACAATTGGTCCGATATTTCGATAGCTGACACAATATATAATGCAATGAACACTAACTCTGAATATTCTATCTTTCGCAGAATTCGATCGTGACACGCAACACAGTCATGGATAGCTGCATGAAGCAGCAGTGTGTAGCTGCGGCAAGTGGCGATACAACGTCCGCTTTTCTGTATATGATAAACTTCGTCCTAGCCACCTATTGCGACTTGAGCAATGTGAGAAATTATCCACCGGATCGCACAGAAGAAATCCTGAGACCCACCGAAAAATATCCTATCGACTTCGACTTTATCGTCGTGGGTGCAGGAAGTGCCGGGTCCGTGTTGGCTAATCGTTTGAGCGAAGAAACAAAGTGGAAAGTGCTGCTGATAGAGGCCGGGGATTACCCATCGGCCAACACCGAAGTACCCGGAATGTTCATACAATTGATGGGGACCCCGGAGGACTATTACTACGACATCCAGCCCGAGCGAAACGCTTGTCTGGGTATGAACAGAAAGTCGTGCAAATGGAGCAAAGGCAAGACTCTTGGCGGTAGTTCCTCGATAAACGCTATGCTCTTCGTAATCGGTAACGAAGATGACTACAACGGATGGTCCCGGATGGGTAACGACGGTTGGAGCTACGACCAAGTGTTACCCTACTTCAAGAAAATGCAGAACTGCGGCAGCGCAAACACCCCCGAGTGGAGAGCAAAGTACTGCAGTCCCGATGGACCGCTGCACGTCAGATATTTCAACTACACCGACAGAGCAATGCAAGAGATGATCATGAATGCCACTAGGGACATGAATATACCTACTCTGGAGCCTCTCATCACGGACAAGTTCATCGGATACGGCTTAGCTGAAGGAACTTTGGACGAAGGCCGTAGGATGAGCGCAGCGAAGGCCTACCTAACTCCCGCCAAAGGCAGAAGCAACCTTTACCTGATGAGGAATGCGCGAGCTGACGCCATACTCTTAAACGGTACTGAGGCGTACGGAGTACGAGTGACGCTGAAGAACGGCAAAACGGTGGTACTGAACGCATCGAAGGAGGTGATTCTCTCCGCCGGCAGCATCGGCAGCCCTCAGCTACTGATGCTCTCCGGCATCGGACCTAGGCAGCACCTTGCCCAAATGGGGATATCGTCCGTTGTCGATTTACCCGTTGGGAAAAATCTTCAGGACCATGTTAGCTGGCAAGGCATATACTTGGCCTACAGAAACGAATCCGCGATACCGCCGCCACCGTTTACGTACTTCCTGGACGAGGCGTATCAATTCCTGATACATGAACGAGGTATCTTCTCGAGCAATGTCGGCTTTGACATCGTAGGTTTCGTTAATGTAAACAACATGACTGCTAAGTATCCTGTTACCCAGTTCCTTCATGTTCATTACTTACGGTGGGAAATAAACAAGCTGCGACTGGTAATGAATCTGTTCGACATAAGCAACGATATAGTCCGAGACTTAATAAAATTGCTCGACGAGGTCGACATATTGCAGCTCATGCCAATTTTGCTGAGACCGAAGAGTTTGGGTGAATTGCGACTACGTAGTAAGGATCCGGCGGTTCCTGTCGCGATCTACGCGAACTACTATTCCCAGCAGGAAGACATGGACACGATGTTGAGAAGCTTGAGCTATATAAAGCAACTGCTGCAAACCGAGACGTTCGTAAGAAAAGGACTCTGGCTGCATCATCTGGACATTCCAGGTTGCCGACACACCGAACCCGACTCCGACGAGTATTGGAGATGCAACTTGCGGCATATGTCCACCATGTTTTTCCATCCCGTTGGCACGACCAAGATGGGTCCTCGGAGCGACCCCACCGCCGTCGTAGATGCTCGACTGAAGGTTTACGGTGTACAAAGACTCAGGGTAATCGATGCGTCTATCATGCCAACGATTATCAGCGGAAACACGAACGCGCCTACGATAATGATAGCTGAGAAAGGCGCGGATTATATCAAAGAAGAACATGTATAAAGCAACCAAAGAAAGAAACGCGCAAGAATTATAAAAAGGAATATTATAGTTATGTGCAATATTATAGCTGTGTGTAATACTCTTAAAACTATAGTCTTTCATTTGTTGTAATTTGTTGCAAATGACGAACTAACCACGTAACGCGTAATGGAAAGTTTTATTTAAAAGAAGAAAAGCGAGCATGTAGCGATATCTAAATACATTTTATACATATACATTTTATACGTGACTGTATATGTTGTATAAAAATTATATAAGCGATAATTAATAAATATTGAGCCATGTTCAAAGTTTGTTATTACGTATCAGTGTGTTAGTAGATTTTCCTTATAAATGGTTGCCTGCATTCTTTGCCATCTTGTTTCCATTTATTCCTATAATTTAATCAACGATAGAATTAAGTCTTCCCTGTCTCTATCTTGAAATCAGGCGAAGTTAAATACGGGGAGAGTAAATTTCTGCTCAGAATTCGGTCTCTCATATTGTAGACGCCATGTACAGTTGGCTGCAACGAATATTGTTCGATCTGGGACAGTGGAAACAAAAACGCGAAAGAAAGCGAATACGAAGTAATGTACCGAGACGCGACGGCTCAAGTTTGCAGCTATTCGTGCCGCGAAGCGTGTAAACGCGAACAATCCCGCGCAGAAAATTGCTATACGAGCTACTGTCCGCTGTGAATATTAATAAATCGACGAGTGAGTTTCTCGGCTGTACAGACATCGCATTGCAAATAACAGGCGGCGATAGTCCAAACGCAGTATCGGCACGTTTGTTTTCCTTGGATAGCCGTCTGTGTGTTTGTAGAGAATTTACCAGCTGTAACTTCAACGAACCGAGCGCTACCAGAATACTCGAATAAAAATTAGTGAAAGTTACTGTGCGCTATTTGCCTATCATTTCGAGCAAAGACGCGTGCTGCCGATCGCCTCAAGAGACGTTTTTTCTTCTTCCTCCCTTCCTTCCTTCCTTCCTTCCTATTGCGTTTATTAACGCGACGTGCAAAAGCACTTTCGTCCGATGGCAACGCTCGCTCAAATATTTCAAGGATATTTCGTCGAAATTACCGGCGGGACAAGAAACTCCGTAAGAAACTGCAGCGCACAGTGCGCTGTTCGGACTGGCTAAAGTCTAAAGCACCCTGCGAGATACACTTTCGTTCATGACCATTCGCCGGGCGATATCCGAACCGGCGAACCGTAGTTCAGGCCATGCTGAAGTCATTCGCGCGCTGCTGCTACTCGGAGAAACGTAGCGCACATGGGTGCGCTGCTCGGTTTCACTCGCCATTTCTTCCGGGACGGATCTTCGGCGATAAAAAGGCTCCTCGGCGTGTGAAGGAGGCTCGTTAATAAACTCCTGCGATACCAGCAGCGCTTTCGCGACGCGTCGTTCAAAGGACGTTGCCGCGTCGCTCGCATGCGATGAGATAACAGCGGGCTTGGCGTGGCTTCGTCTGAGCGAAAACTGCGTGAGAAATCGACCGATCGACCGAACGGGAGCGATCGTAAGACTTCGCCGGGCGAGTGATTCGGAGAATTCGATCTGGGTAACCATGTCGTGGGTGCCACCGAGCTTGGCGGAACTCTGTGCGCCGCTCTCGACGGTCTCGACGTGTCAACCCTCGGCATACCTGTTCTTGGCCTTCATAGCGCGGCTCTTCGGCTACTCGACAGACCACAACTACCCTGTGCTGGAGAGCTTCCCGCGCTACTACTACCAGCCGTCCGCCGCTTGGGATTGGAATGCATTCGCCATGTCGCCAACAGTCGCAAGGTACAGCGACCACCCGGAAGACTTGAGGCGGTATCGGCAGGATGAACAGGCCTTGATACTCCTGCCGCTGCAATCGCCCTTCAAAGTCTCCTATAATCCGGGCATTTACGTCCCCCCCAGCTGGAAGAGCCAAATAAACTATCAGCCCCGACGAAGGTCCATCTCGGTGAGATCGAAGTTCGCCGATTTTCGTGGCTCGTCCAACGCGAGAGATCGGCACGTTGGAAACCCGAGCGAGCGGTTTTACAAGCTGAGGACGGGCAATCCAAGCGTTCAAACTCCGGAATTCTACGAGGAAGCTGCCGGGACCGCCAACGGTTATCACGGCGTGGCGAGATTTCCGCGACCCATCGGATTCCGGCCAGAGCAGTACGACTTCGTCATCGTCGGAGCGGGCTCGGCCGGCTGCGTGTTGGCGAACAGGTTGAGCGAGATCGAGGGATGGCGGGTGCGTAAATACGAGGTCTTGCTTCAATTCCCCGAGGAACAGGGCAATCGCGTTGGTTTCTTCGGAGTAATTGCTGCGGTTAGTGACTGACTGAGTGTGGAGAAGTGAATGCGTGAGCAAGAGGCCGTGTTTCTTCTCTTAGCGCGGCCAACGTCTTAGCGTTGCACAAAGCGAGACGCAGCGCACTTTCATGACGCGAAAATAGCGCTCCGGCCGCTTATAAGTTACTCGGCGGTTTATAATCGCGCGCATTCTCGACCTATAATGCGCGTGCTTGTGTGCTCGAGTTCCGTCGTAGTTCAGCATGAGACGCGAACCGACCTCTCATCTCGACCTTGCGCATTCCCACAGGTGCTGCTGCTGGAGGCCGGAATAGAAGAGCCGTTAGTCGCGGATGTCCCGGCATTTGCTTCCATGCTGCAAGCGAGCAACATCGATTGGATGTATCGCACGCAGCCGGAGAAGCACTCGTGCCGATCCCGCAGAGGGGGTGGGTGTCCTTGGGCCAGGGGTAAGGTGCGTATCTCGAAAGTGACTTACGAGGATGAGTCCTCTCTTATCCGACCTCTCTTTCCACGCGCAGGTGATGGGCGGCTCGAGCTCGATCAACTACATGATATACATACGAGGCAACCCGAAGGATTACGACGAGTGGGCCGAGAGTGGAAATGACGGATGGAGCTTCAAACAAGTGCTTCCATACTTCCTCAAGTCCGAGAACAACGAGGATCCGGAGGTAACGAGACCTCGGTCGACTTTCTGTCTTGCTTGATCGATCACTGCAATCGTGCAATTGGGTGCTTCTTGCGGGTGCTCTCTAGGTCGTAAAGGAGAATCCACATTATCACAGCCGAGGTGGTTACCAGAACGTCGAGAGGTTTCCCTACGTCGACGCGAATACCAAAATTCTGATAAACGCGTGGGGCGAGTTAGGATTCGATCTGGTGGACGCTAACGCCGGCGGGCAGATAGGGGTGCAACATCACCAGATGACGTCCATTCGCGGAATGCGACAGAGCACAAACGGAGCGTTCATCAGGCCCATCAGGCGCAAGAGACGAAACTTGCTGATCAAGACGCGCGCCCACGTGACGAAAATCCAGATCGACCCGAGGACGAAGCGAGCGATCGGGGTGGAGTATCTGAGCGCCACCGGCTTCGTGAAGGTCGCCTTCGCGCGCAAAGAAGTGATCCTGTCGGCCGGTGCGATCAATTCGCCGAAGATCCTGATGCTGTCGGGCGTGGGTCCTGCGGAGGAGCTGGCGAAGCACGGCATACGTGTGTTACAAGACTCCGCAGTGGGTCGAAACCTTCAAGACCACGTCACCATGGACGGCCTCTTAATCGCCGTCGGCAACCTAACGGCCACGACCAAAGACAACGCGATGAAAATGAAGGACGTTTATCACTACAAGAAGACCCACGAAGGCCCGTTAGCCGCGACCGGGCCCTTAAGTTGCGGTGTCTTCGTGCAGACCTCCTACGCGCGTCATCGCGGCCTACCCGACTTGCAATTCGCCTTCGACGCCAGCAATCAGATGGACTACCTGCATCAGCCCGCGGACTTCGCCGAGACCGCGGTAGAACCGCTGTCCTATTACGACGCTATTAACATCAGACCGATTCTGCTGACGCCCAAGAGCCGCGGGTTCGTTCTCCTCAACGACAGCAATCCGCTTTGGGGCCCACCGCTCATCTACCCAAGAAGCTTCACGGAGTACCCTGACCTGGACGCCATGGTCGAGGGCATAAGGATGGCCCGAGCGCTATTCGAGACGAGAGCTTTCCGCGAACACGGCCTGCGGCTCGTCGACGTGCCGTTACCAGCCTGCCGGCACTTCCGGTTCGACACGGACGAGTACTGGAAATGTGTCACGACGGAGTACACCAGTACCATCTACCATCCCGTTGGAACTTGCAGGATGGGTCCGGAGAACGACCCCGAGGCCGTGGTGGACCCGCGTCTCAAGGTACGCGGCATTCAGGGTCTACGTGTGGTCGACGCTTCCGTGATGCCGACGATCGTCCGCGGCAATACGAACGCACCCACAATTATGATCGCGGAGAAAACTGCCGACATGATCAAGGAAGAGTGGCTGTGACGTCGGCCTTTATCGTTCCGCCGTTCGGTAATTGATATCTGCACTTGCAACTGCCGCGACGTGCGCGAGACCGCGTCGTCTTCTTCTAATGCGCAAACCGCAAACAGTGCCATTAGTACGAGAAGTGGCGGGTGTACGCGATTATTATTGTAACAACAGAGTCTATCGGCCACTAAGCAACACCCAGTAGACGAAAATAATTGGCTACTGTCGCTCATTTCTCCTACGATGCTTTCGCTTACCGAGATATGATACCACATTACTTGCTGAATAATGTTACCTTGCATCAATGATATTAATTGCCACTTATAAATAGTCGTTACTTCTTCTGAAATCACCGGACGAATCGTCGCAACGACCGTCTATTCATAACTTTCCTGCGAACCTGCTGGCTGCGTATTACACGTTTGTCGGCAGGATAGAAAAGAGAGTGCGATAGCTTGAGGTACCAACGTGTAAGCGCGAGCGGTTGCATATTAACAGGCTTTACGAGGTCACAATCATAACAGATACGAATTGGAATTTGTGTAAAGTCCAACTAACTGCTTCGTATAACTTATGTCATGTGCACGGAGAGAAACATGTTTGGTCGAGTGAGACAACTTTTTATCAGAGATACACAAACGATTCAGCAATTTCCACCGAAGCTGTCAGAATTTCGTCTACACTCTACCAAGATTTCTCTCCCTGGCTGACTTGAACAGAGTTCCACTTTCAACTGAAATTTCTGAATCGTTCGTATTCCATCGGTTCAGCCGAGCAAACATTTTTCTCCCTCTGTGTGTCTTCTGAACGCACTGTTAATCGTAAAACGCACCTTTACGTGATACGTATAGCGTGCGTAAATTATCGAAACAAATAAAACGTCAGTCCGTTGCAATCGTGCTCTTTTGAACGCACGCATCGAGTACTGTTGACACAGTCGACTATAATCGTACATATGTGTAACGAAGTTTACAATAAATGCTGAAATGAATAATCATAGAAATTACGTGATCCCACGTGATAGTCCTATTTGGACCACCCTAACTAGTCTGTTCGATCATGTCTCCGATGACGTCAATCGACACGAGACCCTTCGTGATTTCTATGATGATTTTCACCTCGCACTATGGTGCACTTCTTTCACATGTTTCTTTTCAAGATACATCGTACGGTATGGTGGTTGCGGCACGTATGCACAGGTACGCATCGTGAGGTAAGTTCCGTATAATTAGAGTGACAAGATAAAATGAACACCGTTAACGGAGAGGCGATTTCCAAATCTCCTGGGGAAAGTGAAGTTTTGTTCCGGTGTACGCGTAATGTATACGCACGCGTGATTCCTATAAACTCAAGTTGCGAAAATAGATAAAATCGATAGATCAATCTCAGCGGTCTCGGGTCAATTATGAGAAACTAATAATGCAGAGACATTCATGTATCATTTCGATTATTGATGTCAAGTACGATACATGTATGATGTATGATGTATTATTTATGATACGCAAGTAAATGAATTCCAAGTAAATGAGAGCACTGATACACGCGGCTGCGAATACTATCAATACGTACTCGAAGTGTATCAAACACGCGAACACGAATGTTGTTGTGGGGAATATTAAACTTGAAGCAAATTGCAACAGAGATATAAAGAGCACAAAGTTCGTGCTATTCCGAATGATATCGCCGTGTCAAAATGATACCGTTTACGCGTGGTGCATAAAACGTGCATAAAGCCGTTACAGAAACTGCAACAACTACAATCTAATCATCGCATTAGCATAGTATTAGCATAATAAAGTCGAAGGACAGCAAGTTTCGAACGCTGTAATCTTACGCGTTCATCGAAGCAACGTCTTCGCTCTGATTAGAATTCAATTTAAGTCCCACTGCGAGATTTTTACGACTGGTGCTCCGGAATTTGCAAATAACGCCGTAAAATTTGCATGCGACATTGAGACTCGACTCGTCGAACCTTGATCTCGTCACGATCCCAGCGCACGCAATATTACGTATATTATGCCGTAGACCAGGCAATGTACACGTTTGCGAAAGCACTATCGCAGTTATCCAACCCGAGTTTCACCGTCCGAGTTTTGTTAAGATTACGAGATCAATCGGACTTCATCTCGGCGAGGATCCGTAGGGAGGTATGGCCGAACGCGGAGAGGTGGTGGTAGGTAGGAGATCGCATGGTTTATATGTTCAACGTAATGTTCCAAGTCTCAGTCTCTCGCTTTCTCTACCTCGCCAAAGTGGCCGCTGATCGCGCGCGCAATGGTCTCCCGACAACGCCACGTGCTCCTGCCGCCGCATTATCGCGAGAGCGTTTTTCCGTCGACATGCCGAGCAGTGTCGTGGTACGAAGTGCATATTTTATTTGCAAGAAAGAAGCAATCGGGTTTTGCGTATTATACGCACTGAGAAAAATATCCGAAATATCCGATTGTTAATTTCGTTATCCGATCAAGTATCCGGTGTATTTAATCGGATACCTCATCGGATAACAAAATTAACAATCGGATATATCTGATATCTTTCTCCGTGCGCGGATTTTTGTAAATCGCATGTGGATAAATATTAAGAGCTAATCTCGCGGCATAGCATAATTAATAACGTGTCGCACGATTATGCGACGTCGAAGGACACGATCCTGGTCCTCTCGAGGATCGAAGGCGCATTCCTGAAAGAGCGGAAATTTATTTCAACACGAGACTGCGATTTCATGAATGGAAAATATTCACTCGCCCGATGCGTCCCGAAACGTTTTATCAGCGAATGAATAAAGCGATATCTTTATTGATTCTTGATCGGGCGGTTTTGTCAGTTTTTTCGAAGAAATCTTCTAGAAAATCTGCACTATATTGCACGTGTGAATTCAGTGTCGTGTATTAATACACGTGTCATCAGTTCCCAGAGAATGTCAAATGGAATGTCAAAATTGCATGGGCCATCGGCGAAAGAGAAAGTCAATAAAAACACGCGTCGCATCTCCGCATCCGGTGCTGAATATTTAATAATTACCGGTGTGCTCTCGGCTGTGTCGATCTTTCTGTATTAATTGCCTGGTTTCCCAAAAGTATTGCTTCCGTGCGTTTAATTATCAGCGTGTATCATCGCGTGAGGATCGATTGGCCAAGAGCCACTTAAGTAAGGATGCAAATAAGAAAGAGAGAAATACACACTCTACATGGATGTGGTTTCAAAGACGGCTCAGATTCGCCGGTTGCGCAAAGCTTGTACTTCAAACGCAGATGTTGTGTCCACTCGAAACGGAATAGCGGATTAATTTCAAGATACTTTCGAAACGGAATAACACGAATCAGCGAGATAAGCACACGACACAAATGTGGCGAGTAATTAAACATTGCGAATGACTGGATAAACGTAAGGATAATAAATAAATGACTAATTGCTAATCTCATTACGGGGCAATGTCAAGACACCTAAATCGATGCTTTGATCTCCGATTGATAAGAAAATCGCGTTATCAAACTTTCGAATAGGACGAATCGCACAATTGCTCGACTTTGCAGACGTATTTTCACTTTCTACCTGTATTATGTTAATTGTTGGGAATGAGAAATTAAATCGCGAGTGCGTGAAACCTGAACACGAAATATCTTGCGAATGTAAAATTTGCATTTTTTCAGACTGCTGCGCATCGAGAAGAACGAGTCGGCGGCGGCATTTTCAATTTGCAACGATGCAGTGTCGGATGCAGCGACGATTCGTCATAGTATGTGTTATGAATCACCCTGATTTGTGTTTTCGCGCACCTCGCGGATAACTTATAATTGCGCAATTACAGCCGCGAGTATCATCATCGAATGGGGCGACAAGGCGCATGATGAGATAACTCGATAACGACGGCTTCGAAAAAGAAACTTCACCCGACACACACACACACACACACACACACGCCAAAGGCAAGTTCTATGAGGTGCGATCGAGGAAAGCTGGGAAAGAGGACGAGAGGAATTAACGAATCGGGTGACTCGTAAAATCCACATCTTAATTGGCAACGAGACCAGCGAAGGCCGCGACATGAGCATCACGGCGGTAATTGGCTCCGCGTTGAAAGCGGCCACCGTTCTTCTGGGCATCGGGATCGGCAAAATCACCATAATCCCGGTGCTGATCGCCACGCTTGCCTATTTCAATTACGACCTCATGGACCCGGAGAATCATCCGCACGTGACGAAGGAACTGAGGAAGGAGTACGACTTCGTGGTGGTCGGCAGCGGCTCGGCCGGAAGCGTGGTGGTCAACAGACTGACCGAGAATCCCGAGTGGAACGTACTGCTGCTGGAGGCGGGAGGTCACGAGACCGAGATCACCGATGTGCCCATACTGTCGCTCTATTTGCACAAGAGCAAGGTCGACTGGAAGTATCGCACGCAACCGCAGGACTCGGCCTGCCAGGCGATGGTCGATCGCCGATGCTGCTGGACCAGAGGCAAGGTGAGAGTAATCATCGAGTTTGGGCTCAGGATAAGCATCAGTTACCACTCTCTTCTCATACACATCCACACGAGATAGCACGAGATACGTTCCCCCGAAGCAGCGAGCGGTTATTTTACTGCGATAAAAGCGTAACGCTGGCTCAAGAGGGAGAGAGAGAGAGAGAGAGAGAGAGAGAGAGGCGTTACTTCACCCGACCTGACCCGACCTAGTTAAACGGGACGAGCTTCAGATGATACCACGAAGGAAAAACCGGCGTACTTTGCGACGTCGCGCTCAGTTTCCTCCGGTACGATGTCCGATAACCGTGACCGCGCTGCGCACCATCGACGGCTTGGCGCCGTTGATTGATTTCACTCGCTGCGACGTTACAGCAGTAGTAGCATACAGCAAGGATGCGTATTTATCATCAGGATCACTGGCGTTAGACTTTCGCGCGAGGATCCGAGCGGCGATGAAATATGATTCCGGCGTCTCGCGAACTGACTCCCTTTCTCCCCTTTCTCTCTCTCTCTCTCTCTCTCTCTTCGCCATTGTGACGGCGATATGTCTCGACGATTGTTCTCCGCGGCGTAATGTATTCTCGGCTCGTTAATATTTATACCGAGCGGTGTAACAGGCTGAAGCGCTAGCGCACTACGGACCTACGTCAAACATCCCGGAAAATACGCCAATCGCGATTACGTCGGAAATACCACGCTAATTAAAATTGATCGCTATACGATAAGATCGACATCGGCGATTTTGCCAGGGTAACGCCAGTTTAATCGTCGAGTACGAAAGTGTTCCGGTTATTGCCAGACACTAAAGTGACGGGTGTCGTAGCGCGCAGACCACGTGGAGAGAAAGTAGTTCCGGACCGTCTTCTCGTACCGTCACTCCGCGTCATCGCAAACTCACCGGCAGACCACCGCGGCGATCTTCGCGAGATCGGGTGCGCGAGGTCGGTCGAGGTGGGGCAACTTGTTACCGCGCGCGCGCGCGAGCGAGCCCTCGGCCCCACCGTGGAACTGTCCACGAACGAGGACATTCTCAACCGGATAACATTTCCGCCAGGTCCTCGGCGGGTCCAGCGTGCTGAATACAATGCTGTATATCCGCGGCAACCGACGTGACTTCGATCAATGGGAGAGTTACGGGAATCCCGGATGGGGATACGAGGACGTGCTGCCCTACTTCAAGAAGTCGCAGGACCAAAGGAACCCGTACTTGGCGCGCAACACGCGGTATCACGCCACTGGTGCGGCTCACTCACGTTTCTCGAATAAAGTTCTCGAATAAACCGGCACGACAATCGAGCGAGCTTTCGTAACTTTTCCAGGAGGCTACCTCACAGTCCAGGACAGCCCTTATCTCACCCCGCTCGGAGTGGCGTTCCTTCAGGCCGGCGAGGAGATGGGCTACGACATCCGGGACATTAACGGCGAGCAACAGACCGGGTTCGCCTTCTACCAGTTCACGATGCGCCGGGGCGCCAGGTGCAGCACCGCCAAGGCCTTCTTACGACCCATTCAACTGAGAAAGAACTTCCACTTGTCCCTGTGGAGCCACGTGACTCGAGTGCTAATAGACCCACTGACCAAACGAGCGTACGGAGTGGAGTTCGTCAGGAACGGTCGCAAGGAAATCGTACACGCCAAGAAAGAGGTGATCCTCTCGGCCGGAGCAATCAACAGTCCGGTTTTGTTGATGCTGTCCGGAATAGGACCACGCGCTCATCTGGAGGACCTGGGCATCCCCGTGATCCAAGACTCGCCCGGGGTCGGGCAGAACCTGCAGGACCACATCGCGGTGGGCGGGTTAGCCTTCCTGATCGATTACGAGATCAGTGTGGTGATGAACCGGCTGGTGAACGTTAATTCAGCGCTGAGATACGCCATCACCGAGGACGGCCCGCTGACGTCGAGCATCGGTCTCGAATCGGTCGGTTTCATCTCGACCAAGTACGCGAACCAGAGCGACGACTGGCCGGACATCGAGTTCATGTTGACGTCTTCGTCAACCAACTCGGACGGCGGCACCCACGTGAAACACGCTCACGGCCTGACCAACGAATTCTACAACGAGGTGTTCGGCAAGATCAACAGCCGCGACGTCTTCGGCGTGTTCCCGATGCTGCTTAGGCCCAAGTCCAGCGGCTACATCCGACTCAAGTCTAAGAACCCGTTGGAATACCCGCTGCTTTATCACAATTACCTCACCCACCCGGAGGACGTGGCGGTGCTGCGCGAGGGTGTGAAGGCGGCCATCGCTTTCGGCGAGACGAGCAGCATGAGACGATTCGGCTCGCGATTCCACGCCCAGCCGTTGCCCAACTGCAAGCACATACCCCTGTTCACCGACGAGTACTGGGACTGCGCGGTCAGGCAGTACACCATGACCATTTACCACATGAGCTGCACCGCCAAGATGGGCCCGCCCAGCGACCCCATGGCGGTCGTGGACCCGGAACTGAAGGTCTACGGGATTACAGGCCTGAGCGTGATCGACGCATCGATCATGCCGTCTATCACGAGCGGCAACATCAACGCACCGGTCATCATGATCGGTGAGAAGGGTGCCGACTTGGTGAAAGCCCGGTGGACGTAGAACAGAAAGATATTGAGTGTGCCTCAGAAGAATGTGCTGTTCAGTTCGTACGCGGCAGTCGCGACTTTTTGATCGAGTAATTCTCGCCGCCATTTCGCTCGGCCGTACTTGCCGAGCACTCGTGCCGTCGCACACTCCGACGGGACGAATTAGCATTTTACGTTCGTCATTTCGTCGTTTCGTCAGTTATTCTCACAATCAAGCTCTGGGTGTTCGAGCTGGAGATTGTCGAGGACGCAAGTAATTAGACGCAAATGTTGTAACACACTTGCGCAAATACTTTGCCATGGTTGTATCAGGACTAACAAGAGACTTTGTCTTTGTGACAAACCTTAGGTAATAAAGGAGAAAGAGTTTATGCAATCAAAGGTTAACCAACAAAAAACGTCAACCAACGGTCAACGTTCCATTTTTAGAGATAAGGATTTGCGTTGGCATAAAGACTTTAATATAATAGAAAATACCTCTGCGGCATCGAATTTTCAAACGTCTTAAATTCTCCGACGTCTCACTCAATTATTCTACTGTTCATCGGAGACCTTTAGGGAATGATTTCCACGCTTGAATCGGACGGCTCTTCAGAGCGACTGAAGCGATTCGACTAATATTCTTTTCGCGCAGTAATTAAGACTCCTGATAACGTGACAGCGAGTTACACGCGGAAATACGAGAGAACTACGCAGGCGAGCATTTCCAGCGAATTGCATCGATGTGAAAATTTACTCAAGCAGCTAGGTCGCGCAGAATGCACCTACCGTAACTAATCCGCAATTGCGTCAGGGCTAGTACGCGCTCTCTATTATCACGATACGCGAGAGCACAGACGAACCGTCACAATTTCCGCGCTGCGCAATCGCAATCGCCTTTTACGTCAATTTATTCGCGCAACGGCACCTCGGGCGAGTGCCCGGGATCAATGCAAATATAATAGTGCTGCATACGCTCAGGTGAAAGCATTGTTATATGTAAATTGCGCACGTACGTACTACGTACACAAGATTTTCATTAAGAGCGTGTGTCGGTAAAAAAATGACGCGTTATTAGTAACTTGTGGAGAGGAGATATAGATTATAAAAAAAGAAAAAAAAAAACACGCAACAGCGTCTCCTTAATTGGTAACGCGACGCACGGGACGCATATAGTAACTTACTATTTAATTAAATTATCAGCCAAGCCTAGTAATTAATAATCTTAGTACTTAATAACATGATTAATAATCTTAATGGATATTTTATTTAATCGTTCTTATGTGATTCTGTATATAATTATTTTTCCGTAATAAGATGACGATTTAGCAAAAAGTGGGGAAACTTGAGAAGAACAGATTTAAAAATCAAAATATACATACATAAATCAATCAAGTTTTTATACACAGACTAAATTTCTACAACAAAGATGAAGCAGAAATCAAAAAGAGTTGTCGCAACTGGTCCGAAGACATAAGACTTGCGTGTTTGCTGTTGCTAAACTTTGATAATATTTCGATTATTTGATAAAGTGTCTAAGAATTTTATCTTATTTTACTACCTCTCATAAAAAAAGAATAAAGTATTTTTTCTACCCTCAGATCTTTTTCTCTTTATATTCCCAATAAAGTTTATAATGACTAAGTTTCGTTGCGGGTTACCGAGACGTTCTCGAGCATATCGCGTCGATTCGCCCAAGGAATGAAAGTAAATTTCACCTGCAACTGCGCTTATATAATCGACCCAGCAGTAAGAAAACGCCCATTCGTTAAAAGCGTAACATCGTGAAACGTGTTGCATCTCAATATGTATTCGTGCAGTTGTTTCCTTTTAGCACAAACTTAATTAACTAACTCATTAGGTGTGATTATCGCCAAAAGTAATTAGATTAGACAGTAAGTACGTAGATATCCAACATTAATATCGACATCTCCGTCGGCAAGGAAATATCTTATGCAGATCTTACGCTTTGATGCAGACTTTAATTTCCGTGTCATTAGAAGTCTCCAAAGTACCGTCAGTATGTTTGTCAGAGTTAAATTGGATGTTAATTCAGCGATGAAAGAGAAGTTTGCTGAGGTAGCGCTATCTACGGACAGGTTCAGCAAGCGAAATTTACCTGTCGACTTTCTTAGCTACTTTCGGCCGAAGAAGACGTAACTACTGGCACGGTAATCCACGTGTGTTGTGTGTGTGTGTGTGTGTGTGTGTGTGTGTGTGTGTGTGTGTGTGTGTGTGTGTGTGTGTGTGGTACGATAGGTAACGCAGGTGTCTGCAGCGAGTAGTTCGTAGGATCGCACAATGAAAAAGCACAGGCGATATGAGTCGAGTTCTTCCATTTTCAGTCAAGGAAAACTTGAAAACTGAAGCAACTAACCATTCAATGTTCCGCGTTAAATGTTCCCGAAGATCTTAGAAAACACCAAGAGGGAGGAACGTCGTTGACGATAATTTGCAAAACTAATACAGAAGCTAGCGGGTTATGACATGTCATTGTTAAACATTTACGCAAGTCATTAGAGACATGTCAGACTCTTTTCTCCGCTATGACATGCAAAGATATGCCGACGGTCGTCAAGTCATTTCCGCCAAACGAACGCGGGCTCCATACGCATCGGACACGGTCTCATTAAGATTGTAGTCGCGAATTTCGAGGCATCCTGTGTGCAGACGGGCGGGGTATGGGGAGAAATTTAACGAATGCCTCCTTTCGACCTGATCAACAGCGTACAGCGCATTCCGATGGAGAGAAATGCGCGCGATACATTCGGAGCCGGAAAATTCCCGTTTCACCGAGATCCTTCCGCATCCGCGTCGGCGATATTTGGCAAAAGTTCGTTGGAACGGAACAGAGGAAGAGAGGATCGATTCTCTCTCAGCTCCCGAGGATAAAATTGCAAAAACTGGTAAGTTGCGAAACCTCGTGGTAGGAAACGTCTCAACGTTCGGGAGTTCGCGCCCGAGAATGCCCGCGAATTAAATCATCGTCGTCGACGGTGAGCCACTTTCGTACTCGTCACACGAAGAATTCGAGTCCGAGGTTAGTTTAGATCACTCGATCGCACGTCCGTAAGCTCGCCACGGCGATGGAAACCTTGCTGGAAAGATCGCATAGCCCTTGGCACAGGTCTGATGCGATTCAGATTTACAGGTCCGCGGAAACGTCTGACATACTTTCCGGTGAGACGAAAAAGAAGACTAACGGAATTACCCGTTACCGTGTCGAGGTCGCGTCGAGAATCTCGCGTTGAGATCTCTGTGAAATTTCTGTCTGCGAGTACGCGACGATACCGCCGAAAAAGTCGCGAAACGGTGAAACCTGGTGTCCGCAACCAAGGACAAGGTTGACCAGGAAATCGAAACCACCGTGTGTAACCGCGAGGCAGCGCGACACGGATGCGCCGATCGTGCGGCCGTCTGCCGAGCAGCACGTAGACCCCGTGGAGGAGAGAAAGTACGTCGAGGTACGGCGAGGTCTCTCGCCACGTATGTCTGTATGTATGTGTGCGTTCCCCACGAAAGCAAAGAGAAAGACACTGGCACGTTAGCGCGCGTGTGTCTCGACTCGAAAGAAAACGGTGCGCGTAGAATCACGTAGCCCGCCAGATTCTTACTCGATAACATTCCACATCGCCGAGCTGCATATTAATCGTGCACTAATAGTGAGTTCGATAAAAACAAAAAAAAAAAAAAAAAAACAGAAAAAAGAGGAGGTCGTTAATAATTTTCATCGCTGGCGCGAACGAGCGCGAGACACCGCGGGTTTATTTGGAAAAATAAACGCCATGTTATATGCCTGCTACGTTTCGCGTTCCACCGGCGGGGCGGGAAAACGTTTTAGCCGCCGGAACTTTCCACCCTCGTTTCTTTCGCGCATGTATCCTAATTAAGTACAGTTCAACTGTGTATGCAAAGTGCAAGAGAACAAAAACCTCATAATCGCATTCGCACGTCATCCGGGAATTCCGGGAAATTATTAAATTTCTTATGATTATTCCCCGTTGATTCCCCGAAGTGATTGTCTCCGCATACCGAGAAATGAAAAACACTGATTTACAAGAAAAAGTTACGCGCAGGTTATAACCTTATTTTCCAATCATAAGTCATCTTCTTTGTATCGCTTAAGACAGACACAGAGATTATCAGTGCCTCGAGTAAATGCTCGCCGAGGCAAAATCGGCTCTCCATCGGCCGGGAAACCTGTCACTGGAAGATTATGCGATGCGTAAGTGGGACACCGACTACAAATTTCGCGCGAAATCAAGCGAGCGCACGAAAAATTCTTAAAAGTGACACGGGTCACGATGCTAAAATAATCTCACCCGATCTCACGGGGGAGGGGGAGGGGGAAGAGAACATTCGGCAGCACACTTTTAGTTTTACGGGGTCACGTTTTCACGAGATTGGCATTGAAAGGATATACTGGGGGCTCGACTGCTTTTCACTCTCGGCATTCACCGCACTACAGTTTCGTTCTTCGTGCCGGCATTAGTCTCATTTCGCTGCAGCTTTGCCGCCATATCACTCGGGAGCGCGACCGACGACGAGATGGCGATTTACTAAACACAGTCGCGTGTATCGCGCGGTGCTAAATGCGCTCGAAAATGATCGAAATGTGATCTCGCGTATCGGGAATGTGCTGCCGATAATACCTTGGGAAAGTTTAGCGAGTACAAACCTGACTGGAAAAGCAGCGAGACGACGACGACGACGACGACGACGATTGGAAATTCAGTGGGAAAATGTGCGCGAGTGACGGCTTAACGAACGCGTCGCCAACAAGCGCAACAACTACCGCGAGGATATCTTGGTGACGCGTTCCTTTTTTTAACGCGTCTTAAATATTCACAAAGTGACGAGATGTGTCAAATAATCATTCGATTGTTGGCGGTTCCCGTTGCTGCGGTAAAGGTAAAGCGAGGAAGGTAAGGTGAAATTTGGGAGCGCCGATTTAACCTGAACTGCTTTAGACAAAATATTTCAAGTTGCAATCTGTTGAATAATTTGTGCTCACGTTGCGCCACAGTGCTGGTGAAATCTCAGGTAGACGCACGGACAACAAGACGAAATGTTTAAAACGAGCACTTCGTTTATCGTGGGATAATATCGTACATCGTGTTCGATATTATCCCACGTTTTCTGAAGAGCAGGCGCTACAAGATCTTTTCTTGCTTTCAGCTTTTATCTTGCTTATTTTTATCTTGCTTTCAGAGGAATCGCGTTTCGCGGCGTTGCTTGAGAGGATCGTCTTCTAGAATGGAACGCATCTAGATACCGATGTCTGGCGGTAAAAATAAAGGGAAATGGCAGCAGGGTTAACGACCTTGATCGGTGCCACTTCCGTCCTCAGCCTCGGTCTGATTCCACTTTTAGCGATCGGCCTCACTGTGTTTCGATACAACAATGCTGATCCGGAATCATACCCGCAAAACGCACGTCAGGTATCTGAATCTGAGAGAGCCCAGCCTTCCATATCGATCGTTAAAGTAATACTCGTGATCCACACCTACCGACCGAACCGACCGAGTAAGGATCTCTATCGATCGCGACGGCGCGGCGCGGCGCGACGATGAACGTGTTTTGCCTTTCGCGCTCGCGCTCTTTTACCTTTCTCTTTGCATGGTCGATGAACAGTTAACGCGTCTAAGTGGCGATATATAATGATCTCACGCGCAACCTCGTGCCCTCAAAAAAGAATCCCTATCTTTTGCTGCAGCTGACGACGGATGGAGAGAGAGAGAGAGAGAGAGAGAGAGAGAGAGAGAGAGAGAGAGGGAGAGAGAGAGAGAGAGAGAGAGAGAGAGAGAGAGAGAGAGAGAGAGAGAGAGAGAGAGAGAGAGAGAGAGAGAGAGAGAGAGAGAGAGAGAGAGAGAGAGAGAGAGAGAGAGAGAGAGAGAGAGAGAGAGAGAGAGAGAGAGAGAGAGAGAGAGAGAGAGAGAGAGAGAGAGAGAGAGAGAGGATCTGGTGATTCAAATTAATATCTCTCGACGCAATTTCAGCTGCTACCAATGTACGACTTTATAGTGGTCGGAGGAGGAAGCGCGGGTGCTGTGGTCGCCTCGAGATTGTCGGAGGTAGCTAATTGGACCGTTCTACTGCTGGAAGCTGGCGGTAACGAGAACGAAATTTCGGACGTCCCCTTGTTGGCCGGCTACACTCAGCTCTCAGAGCTCGATTGGAAGTATCAGACCTCCCCACCCAGCGAATCTCGCTACTGCCTCGCCATGACAGGCGACCGATGCAATTGGCCACGTGGCAAAGTTCTGGGCGGAAGTAGCGTCCTCAACGCCATGGTTTACGTACGTGGTAATCGGCAAGTATACACGCAGCTGAAATTGCGCCGCTCAAGTCGCGCTGCTGATCGTATCGGCAAATCTCGACAATTTCGTCACTTCTTTCAGCCGCGACTACGACAACTGGGCTCGTATGGGTAACACCGGATGGAGCTATGAGGAGGTGCTACCTTACTTCCTCAAGTCCGAGGACAATCGCAATCCCTACTTAGCGAGAACACCTTATCATAGGTCAGGGGGCTACCTGACGGTGCAGGAGGCACCATGGAGGACTCCCCTGGCGATCGCGTTCCTGCAGGCCGGCCGAGAGATGGGCTACGAGAACCTAGATATAAACGGAGCTAATCAAACCGGTTTCATGCTGACGCAAATGACCATACGCCGTGGCAGCCGGTGCTCGACGGCGAAGGCTTTCTTGCGGCCGGTGAGAAACAGACCGAACTTGCATATAGCGATGCACGCGCAGGTCTTGAAAGTGCTTTTCAACGCGGACAAGAGAGCGACAGGTGTGGAGTTCCTTCGCGACGGTAGGCAACAGGTAGTGAGGTGTAGAAGGGAGATCGTCTTATCCGCCGGCGCCATTAATTCGCCCCAGTTGCTCATGCTGTCGGGGATCGGGCCCAGCGAACACCTGGCCGAATTCGGCATACCGGTGATATCCGATCTTCGAGTCGGGGACAACCTGCAGGACCACGTGGGCCTGGGCGGACTGGTTTTCACGGTGAACGAGTCGATCACCGTGACGAAGGATCGCTTTCAAACGTTCTCGGTGATGCTGGAGTACGTGCTGAGGGAACGGGGCCCCATGACCAGCTCGCTGGTCGAGGGCTTGGCTTTCCTCAATACCAAGTACGCCGACAGCTCCGGCGATTACCCGGACGTGCAGTTTCACTTCTTACCGACCGCGGTCAATTCCGACGAGCAGGTCAAGAAGGTGCTCGGCCTGCGGGACCGGGTTTACAACACCATGTACAAGCCGTTGCACGGCGCCGACACCTGGTCGATCCTGCCGCTCCTGCTGAGGCCGAGGAGCACAGGATGGGTCAGGCTGAAGAGCAGGAACCCCTTGGTTCACCCGGAGATCAACCCCAACTACTTCACGCACAAGGAGGACATGGACGTATGCGTGGAGGCGATCAGACTGGCTCTTCGGGTGTCCAACACCAGCGCGTTTCAGCGCTTCGGCTCGAGGCCCCACTCGATTCGCATGCCGGGCTGCCACGGCTACGCGTTCGACACGTACGAGTACTGGGAGTGCGCCGTGCGACACTTCACCTTCACGATCTACCACCCGGTGGGAACCTGCAAGATGTCACCGCGCAGCGACCCCACGGCCGTGGTGGACCCGCGACTGAGGGTGTACGGCGTCAAGGGACTCAGAGTCGCCGATGCCTCGATTATGCCGAGCATCATCAGCGGCAACCCGAACGCACCGGTCATCATGATCGGCGAGAAGATTAGCGACATGATCAAGGAGGACTGGCGAGTGAAAAGAAGGCGAAGCGCGGGGAGGTAACGGGAAGGTTCGCGGCGGCGGCGAAATCGTATCTCGGGATACGGATCCTTCCTCTGCGCGTATCGCATTAAAATTCCCGCGCTCTCGCCTTCGCACGGATGGCAGCGGAAACGACGCGGCTGCGCCGCACATCAAACGTGCGGATTACTTTCTCTGAAAAGGTCCCTGAAAGGTCTCCGCCGATATTTCGGGCGACTCGTTTTCACTCGCCGCGAACTCGCAGCACTTCTGCGTGTACATACATATCGTGTCGTCATCGCTTTTGTACATACGTTTAGACCGAATTATACCGCAGCCATCGGGGAGTGGCGGTGCCATTCTTCTCTTGTAAAATGACATGAGAAATATAATTTATTTTTTATTCCTCTGCATCAAACGTTAACATCCCTGCGCTACGTCAGCATACCTCCTCCTTGCCTGTCCTCCCCCGCGACGCGGTTTATAGCCGCGGCCCGGACTCTCGTCCCTTAAAAGCTCTCCGCCCGCTCCGACCCGATCCGGCTCGCGACTCGTTACTAAAAGCGCGCGCGGTGGTTTTCTTTATTTGTAAAAGCGAGCGCGGAGCAAGGACGCGCCGAGATCTCGGACGCACGAGATCGTGACGACTTTCGAATCGCGAGCGGCTGAGAGCGAGCGCGCACTTTTACGTAATGCTACGTTTCCTGCCAAAACTCACGCGTCACGCGGAATGCAACGTTCTCACGCACGTCTTCGCTATCCTCCGTTTCCGCTTCCTCGTCTTATCCGCCGGCGCATCGGACCGGACCGGACGACACGGCCGCAGACGGACGTGGCGCGTCCGTTTGCAGTACCGGCGTGCCCCCCGTTAGTTACCGATCTCGCGGTCGGTGTTTTCATCGCGTCTTGACAGTTCCGCGTCTTCGCGGCTGACCGGCGATCTAATTGAGCTCTCCTTGAACCTCCTTCATTCCGCCCGATGAAACGGGAAGAAACGGATTTCTATAACGCCGGTAGATATATCCGCGCGTCCTCTCCCTCTCTCTTTCTCGCCGAGTCCGACTTGGGTCGCGGATGCTTTCGCGTGTCCCGCGAAAAAGAAAAAACGGACGGCCAGTGAAAGTAAGCGAGTACCGCGCGGTGCTTACATCAGACCGCTTGGTTTGTTAAATATATGCACGTGCGAAAATGGTCTGCGTGAATTACAACTAAACGAAAGAAAGCGCGGCGGGGGAGATAATACGCGGGGAGGTAGGCGCGCACCCGGCAATTATTTAGTTGACACACGGCTCTTCGGCAAGCGTCTCTGTCGCTTTCGAGTCGCGGCGACTCGCGCTGTCGAGGAGGAGCGCGAGTTTGCAGACAACAGGAAGATTCGTCCGTCTGGCGAGCGCGGCGAGATGCGGTTGCGGCATATGCTCGCGCTCTGTCATAATCTCCTTATTAACGTTCAACTTGTCCAACTGATGCCGGCGCTTTCTAGCGTTTTCCGTTTTCGCGCTGACATTTACATTGACTAAAGCGTACACGACGTAGCGTACACGCGTACGTTGCCGTTTCCATTTGCGAAAGGACACACGAAGAGGCGCGAAGGTGCGCGCGATGAGAAATACAAGTCAGCTGAAAGACGCGAGACAAGAGGTAATTCATTCGCGGGATCGAGTCGCGTAACGGCAACGAGAAAATACGATAATTACATTGTTGCGCGAGTCATCGCAACGAGAGAGATAATAAACACTGCGCATAGGATTAAGCGCGATACAAAATTCTCGCGCACTAGACGCGAGATAATTATGCGTTCGGCTGGATGAGTTACGTCAGAATGCGCATTCAGAACGGCCTTCGCGCTCGTGGTAACCACACGTCCGTTGGCATATCTCCACACGTGTCACACCTGTGTGTAGTAATACAGCGCTCGAATTACGAATTACATGATCGATGTTACGGTAGAACAGAACAGGCCGGCTAAGTGCGGCAGTCGCGTAACGTCGACGCGTGTCTGCGCGCACAACGGGGCGGGAACTTCGAGCAGCAACTTCAAAAACGACTTCGAAAAAGTCGCGCGGTATCCTCGATACCGTCTCGGCGCGCGCGATCGAACAGATCGAGCGACGTCGCGGCTGTCACGTATCCGCCGGCGACGAGAAAATCCCGAGACGAAACCGTTAGGCAATTGAAGCGGTGGCTTATTTTGTAAGGAAACTTTCTTTCTCGTGCGTCTCCGCCGCTCTCGTGCGGCGCTGACGCGTGCGCAAAATCTGTGTGTCGTGATACATAACGAGCGCGATTCGTGCTGACGCTCACGTAGACGGTTTAAGTAACGTCGGCTGTTTCAACATGCCACCCGGGGTGCATTATGCGCCCGAAAGTGACGCGTAACGAACGCCCAATGTCGAAATCGCGTCAAGTCGCGAGAGTCGTCCGTGAATTTCGTCGGGAAAAGAAAATGAGACTTCGTCTGAGAAGCGCCTTATTATCCTCGCCTCGATAATAACGCGCCGTGGCTATGGCATAATTATTCTCTCCGTAATCGTCGTCTACTCCATACTTCGGTTTGCTCCTCCTCATCGCAAAGCTTCTCTCTCTTTTCCGCTAAAAGTAATACTTCGAGGGAAAATGAATACGTCACGCGTTTTACGCGTGCCTACGTTCTAAACGTCGTAAAGGTCACCGCGGAAGCTCATCGCGGAAGCAAGCACGCGGTCTCTGGCTCTATTATGAGATCGTACCGTCTCTCTACGATATAGCCAGGCTCGGTCTCAGGTACATTCTCCTGGACTGGGTAGAAGGATTGGGTAGATTAGGTAGGTAGGTAGGTAGGTAGGTAGGTAGGTAGGTTGGTAGGTAGGTAAGTAAGTAAGAATGTAGGTAGAGGTAGCTGGGTAGGTAGGTAGGTGTGCGTAAGTCACCACAGGAAGAGAATACTTTCACTGCCAAAGTGTGGCTGGGAGTATTCGGGAAGGATAAGAGGAAAGCTAAGCACGAGGGGGAATACGACAAGGAAGGTGAGAGTGAAACGGATGGAGGTATATCGGTGCAGTACCGTATCGCTCTTTCGACTGTCATTACCGGCTTCATCGCGGCTTCATTCGACTATCATCCAGTTACCGCGGACGACGACGCTTTTGACAGTGATCGCACGTACGCACGTTACGTTCTTCCGTTTTCGCGATCGAGAGCGAGTCTCGCGTTAAAATCAATCGACTGTTGAGCAGGGACGTCAGTTTCCGTGATATCGTTCTCCGAGTGAAGGATTCTCGCAAGGATTGCACGGGAAGGCTGTTTTCCGATCGGGCAGTGATACAATCTCGGCTGGTTAACGATAGGATGCTATCGATGATTGGCATGTGAGAAAAAAACGACACAAGTACAAATTCTGCCGCTGAATTGCAGTGTGTTACGTGAATTATGATGCGTTATTGATTTGTGATAATTACTGATTTGACTCTCACTTATGCAGGAATAAGTAAATGAGCAAGAAAATGACTCATTAAATTGGAAAAGGTCACTATGGGTGACTGATGGGTGACACAAAAACGCAATAGAGAATAAAAAAAATAATAAGAATGAGCGACATTATTTCTCTGTGACAGTCAGCGTGTTAATGAATTATTAATGCTTCGTGGAATTATGTGTCGTAAGTACATGTGCTAAATTTTATTGTTACACACACGATAACTAACTTACTGTTACTTTTATGACAAATGAGATAATCCCAGCTGGTTGAACTTGTCTGACGTCTTTTCATGTTTCGCAAAGTGAAGAGACAGATTTTGATTCAGCGGCACACATTGTCTACAGCATATAAATTATTTACAATGATTTACAATTCGATGTGTTCGATCGAAGATACATTAGAGGACCTGCTCCGCAAAAACCGCAAAAAGCGAAAACTGTTTTGATTCTGACGTTAATTTATATTCTCCGCACCGGACGAAACAAATAAAAGTGGTTTCAGTTTCAGCCATTGTACTCCAGCCGATCGAAGCCGCCAATTTTTTCGCGGCGTGATGCGCGTTTAAAAAGTAAAAGTCCACTTGGTTTAATGTCACATATTGATCTATCGACCGACGAAAGAGTTTCTTGCATGTTTGCCGCAATGAAAGGAAATTTATGTGACAGCCAACACTTATGTGTCAGAAACGATTATCCCGAGCGCACCGAGTCATCACAAACCGGTCTGATCCGCTGCGAGACGAGTAACGTTCGTTTCACCCGAAGTATTTGGGACAAGTTACCCACAGGAGGCTGTTACGTAATACTCGAATTTTCGCCAATATCATTTTGGCATATATATATATATATATATATATATATATATATATATATATATATATCGGTAGATCGGAAATGCGCTTCCACCGACTGACATTTGTCTCGTTTTGAATTTTCAAACTCGCCTCGAAAAGTCGCATCTTGATGCTTCCTAATCCGCGTTGCCTGCCGACATCCCGCAATTACGAGATCGCACGAAAGGTCATGCCGAGTAAAAGCAAATACTTGCTTAATCGTATGATGAAATTTTATGTACGGCGCGAGAGAGATGGCAACTCATTGGAAATATAATACGGAATGATTTGACGAAGACAGCAAGATCGATAGGATTATTTGAATGAATGTGCATTCGCTTCCTTTCTAATTACGCCAACGGGTCGTTGCGAATGGCAGATATTGCAGCAACACGTCGCGGCACATGCATTATTTGCGATTATTTACGATACTGCCGGTTAAACTCTCGGCGATTTTCTGCCGCAACCACGTCCGACGACTGGCGAGCAATTTCAAGTAAAACATTTGAGGAAAAGCGGAGATATAGCTTCCGCGTCGCTTTCCGTGCGTGATACGTGAAATCTGCCGGGCGTGTTCCTCGTTTTTTCGCTTCTCTTTCTTGCGCCTCTCGCGCTCTCGCGACGGTAGCGATTTTATTTCGCCGTGCCTTTATTGGCGCCTGGAAACCGCGCCCCGATAATACCATAAAATCGTTTTAGTGCATCTCGCATGTAGGAAATCGACAGCCTTGGAACAGAATTTCCAGTACAAGGGGCACTCCATCCCAATTATTTCGAATATTGCGCGCCGAGGAGGAAGTCCTCGAGGCCTTTGAGGAAGTCACGACGTGCGAAGCGTAGAAATCCTCGACTGTCGGGATAATTACAGAATTAGGACCGTCCTATCGCGGAAAGCGATTGGTTAGGTGCAAGTGAGCGGATCAAATTCCTTTCTTCTCTTTTCCCTCTTCGTGACAATTTCAACTTGCAGTTGCTTTTTGAAATTTCCCTTGCTCCTTGAAGTGACTTTCTTCCAGCTAAAGGACGCCGTCGCCTCGTGAACGGCAAACTGAGCTCAAATTCCTGTCGCTGCATTTAGCAACATCTACGATTTCACGCTTCGCTTGTCGTACGAAGAAAGGTATATATGGGTTAATACACCTGTCTCAGCATCTAATTGCCGATCGGAGATATTGTCATGGTCAGGACTGCGCGCGGATTTTAGGTCGACAATGAAAATTGCACGATGGAATTGAAAAAAAGAACAGAGCGAGGGGGGAGAGAGACAGAGACAGAGAGAAAGAGAGAGAGAGAGAGAGAGAGAGAGAGAGAGAGGGGGGGAGAGATGAAGAGGGGCCGGCAGACAACATAACGTAATCACAAGTCTCGTGGAAGGAAACGAGTCAGGCAGAGGTTCACACCGGTTTACCGGTGAAACACTTTCTCCTTTCCCCGTTATGAGATCACCATCTCGTACCTCCGACGCGAATCGAAGCATAACTTTGTGCGCCGTTTACCCGCTGATTTACACGCGGCCATCGAAACAATCGGCCACCGAACGCCCTATAGCTCCCTATTAAAGCTGAATGTTCGTTGAATCCGCATCACCAATGGCGCATGACCGTCTTTAATTTTGCGAGAGAGAGAGAGAGAGAGCTCGCCACTTCCTAGTTCCACGCTGCGCGACGTCCGCTCTTCCTTCCGCTAGCGGAAGCGGCCACTCGCCGCTTCCATTAGCCGACCTGAGCGAGCTCGTCGACGATTAGCTTACGTCAATTGTGCTACTCAACGAAGTTTTATTCCCTCTTCTTCGTGAAACTTAGCTGCGTCAATGACTACGTCATTGGGTTACGCAGAAATAAATTAAATATCAATGACAAATATCAATAACAAAAAACATAACATAATATGCAAAGTCACGTAAAAAACAAGTCACGTGATTGTAATATTAATGAAAAAGTTTGAAAACAAAGCTAATCCCTCTTTTTCAGTCAGGCAATTTCAAAATAACTGTCTGCTTATAAACTGAATATTTTTCTTCTGTTTTGTGCACTTTGTTGTCGATACAAAAAGGCCATTAATATGCACATATATCAATTTCCAAGAAGTATTCCAAGAAATGACGTACTTTAGATCCAACAAATAAGAATTAATGCGTCTTATATGTTCAACATTTCAAACCTGCTTTTCTACCTCGGGTTATTTGTATTTGAAAAAAATTTTCCGATGAAAAATTCAAAGTCGAGCTATCTCTATCTTCTTCCGAAGAAGAAACCTTCGTCCGACAATGTTACCTTCCCAAATTTCAATCCCAAAATAAACGATGCCTAAACCTGACCCTGAAGTACTTGTTAAACGAAAAAAGATTGACGAAGAATCTCTCCGTTGCAGGACGAAGAAGTACAAAGGCAATCCACCGGAACCGATAGAAGCGTTATGAGGAATATAAACGTCGAGGTGCCCCTCGACGTTCGCGGGACTGAAAAGATCGGCACGAGGCCGCCCGACATTCTATTATGACAACAATCGACGGGACTAACGGGGCGACGAGACTGAGAGACCTCGAGAAATTCTGAAGGCGAGATCGAGTCGCTTTCCTCAGGATGGTCTTCAGTACGATAGTGGTGACGTCCGCCTTGAAGGGCGCCATCGGCCTGGTGGGCACGGGCTTGTGGCTCGTGCCGCTACTGATAGCGGGTCTCTCTTACTATCGTTACGATCAGCTCGATCCCGAGAGTCGACCGATCAACAGGTACCCTCTGTACGCGGAGTACGATTTCGTGGTGGTCGGCGGCGGCTCGGCCGGGGCTGTGGTCGCCAGTCGACTCTCCGAGATACCAGAGTGGAATGTGCTGTTGCTGGAGGCCGGCCCGGACGAGAACGAGATCTCGGACGTGCCGTCGTTGGCGGCGTACCTGCAGCTGACAAAGCTCGACTGGAAGTACAAGACCGAGCCCACGGGCAGAGCCTGCCTGGGCATGAAAGGCGGCCGGTGCAATTGGCCGCGGGGCAAAGTCTTGGGCGGCAGCAGCGTACTCAACTACATGCTGTACGTTCGCGGAAACGCGCACGACTTTAACCACTGGGAGTCGTTGGGTAATCCCGACTGGGGCTACGACGAGGTTCTCCACTACTTCAAGAAGTCGGAGGACAATCGCAACCCGTACCTGCAGAGGAGTCCTTACCATGCGACCGGCGGTTACCTGACGGTGCAAGAGTCACCGTGGAAGACACCCTTGGTCGTCGCCTTCGTTCAAGCCGGCGTAGAAATAGGATACGAGAACCGCGACATCAACGGCGAACGACAGACGGGTTTCATGATATCGCAGGGGACTATTCGCAGAGGCAACAGGTGCTCCACCGCGAAGGCGTTCTTGCGGCCGGTCCGACTGCGTAAGAATATCCATACGGCTATGAATAGCCACGTGACTAAGATCATAATCGACCCGCTGACGATGAAGGCGGTCGGTGTCGAGTTCGTTAGAGACGATCGCAGGCAGATAGTACGAGCGCGTAAAGAAGTCGTATTGTCGGCGGGAGCTATTAATAGTCCTCAGATTCTGATGCTTTCGGGCATCGGGCCGAGGGAACATTTGCGACACGTTGGTATCCCAGTCATCAAGGACCTCCGGGTCGGCGACAATCTGCAGGACCACGTGGGCATGGGCGGTCTGACGTTCCTGATTGACAAGCCAGTCGCCATAGTTCAAAGTCGTTTTCAAGTGACTCCGATGACGATGCATTACGTGGTCAACGGCAGAGGTCCTATGACGACGCTGGGTGGCGTCGAGGGTTACGCTTTCGTCAACACAAAGTACGCTAATCGGTCCATAGACTACCCGGATGTCCAGTTCCACATGGCGCCGGCCTCCATCAATTCTGACGCGGGTGTGCAAGTGCGGAAGGTCCTCGGACTGACGGACGAAGTGTACAACACCGTCTACAGGCCGATCGCCAACAAAGACGCCTGGACTATCATGCCTCTACTGCTGAGACCCAAGTCCCGAGGTACTGTACGACTACGAAGCTCAAATCCCTTTCACAGCCCCATCATCAATGCGAATTACTTCTCCGACCCGAGGGACATCGCCATCCTGATCGAGGGTGCGAAGCTCGCGATCAGAGTGAGCGAAGCGAAGGTCTTCAAGCAATTCGGCTCGAGAGTCTATCGCGTCAAACTGCCGGGATGCAAACACCTCAAGTTTGGTTCTGACGCCTACTGGGAGTGCCAAATTCGACACATCACCATGACGATCTACCACCCCGTAGGCACCGCCAAGATGGGCCCGTCGACGGACCCCACCGCCGTAGTGGACCCGAGACTGAGGGTCCATGGTATCGCGGGTCTTCGAGTCATCGACGCGTCTATCATGCCGACAATTAGCAGCGGCAACACGAACGCTCCCGTCATTATGATCGCCGAGAAAGGTGCTGATCTTATCAAGCAGGACTGGCTCTGACCGTCGCCAGGAACCGATCGTGAAAGTATGCGCGAGCCAAAGATGGACGCTGAGGGGAGAGCGATAATCCTGTTTAGAATAAAATAATTGTACGTCTTACTTCCTTCGCGCGTGAGCGAGTGCGACTGTCTGTGGAGCTAATAAGAAATTTCTTTCCCGTCTTGGGAAGAACGAACAAAAAAAAGCAAAAATGAGAGAGCTCTTCGAGATGTTTTGTTGCGGTACTTCTTGTGTATCGAATACACATGCTGTGATTAATTCAGTGTGTAATTGAATGTATTACCGTGGACACATGGTGCATGTCTGTTTGGTTGATTTAGCGTGTTCATTCTACAAGCAATTTTATGTTAACTCAGGACTCGTATATCTGCCGTATATCGCGGAGTACAGCACGTAGCCGATAGGAATACATTAAATGTATTGCGATTCACATTGATCTATTCGATATAATCATGCGATGTACTCGTGCGTAAACATTATTCACTTATCGATTTCCTGTTGTTTCAACATTATCCGTTTAAAAAAACGCAGCGCTGATTGTATTCGGCGCAATCGACGTTCATTGATTGTTTAATAAGCTCTTACAAGAGGAAAACCAAAAGTGAGGAAATGAACTTTTGGAATGCGATTGGTTAATAGTTCTTCATTCATATTAAAAATTCCAAACTTTAGCTTCAGATACCTCTTATTATTTTTCCAAATTAAAAAAAAAGAAGACATAAAAATGTTGATGTCATCGGATTGATTAACCGCTTGGCAGCGCGATAGATTTGAAGGAAAGAAGAAAAAGAGTTACATAGCAAAATATTCCAAGATCAATAGTTTTTATAAAAATCGACATTTCCACGATGCTTAAGATATATAAGTAGAGTTCCGATTATATACGTTTTCACAAAAATTTCAAGAGCACATAAGAAAGTAGGTGCAGGTAGTAATCAGATGTGCTACGGATTCAATGTTACCTAATCTCGGAACATTTGCTACTTAACTTTTTTCCGCTTTTCCTCGAGATCTATCACGCTGCCACGCGGTTGATCCAATGACATCAATATCTTGATGCTTTTCTAATTTGTAAAATAAAAAAAAAAGAAATTTCTGAAATCAATGTTTGGGATTTTTAACGTGAACATGAAGGACTATTCATTGCAACAAACCGCATTCCAAAAACGCGCTTCCACTTCTGATTCCCTCTTCCCCTCTGTTAGGTCTAATTGTTTTGTACTTTTAGAGAGTTTTAAACAGATCTAAAGATATTTATCAACAAGATCCAAGAACTTGAGCGCTCACCACTTGACGATCGATGCACTGATTAGATTCGTTAACAGTAACGCACATGTCTTCATTTCTACCTGCATTTATTTCTGCTTGTCGATAACATGATGATAACAATTTTCAATTGATCGTAACACGATGACCAATATATAACTGTCAACTAATAATATTAATAGCATAATGTGCAAAGTGCATTTTTCATGTCATGTGCTGCATCTAGCAAAACGTTAGCAAATTCATGACGAATGTGTTCTTATATTCTGCTTGACGATGGAAATTTTTCTATCGATCCGTATCATTATAATGTAGTCCTTGTGATACAAAAATGTTATAGTCATTGTGGTGATAATAATGAGAGGAAAGTTTCATTCTGAAAATCCAGTCTCATTTTATTATCTTGCACGTTAAAGATGCTTTCAATAATAAAACTTCGTAGGCCAGTTGAAGCATAAAACCGCGAGACAATATGTGGTACAAAATGTGAAATACGAAATTTTCTCAGGTATAATTTAGAGTTATTCCATTGTTTCTCGTGCCATACCATAGTTTAGAGTGTATGTTAAGAAAGTAAATGAAAAATTTCTTTCGAACGAAGATCGTTCTAAATGTATAATTTTATACAATTTACATAATTGTAAGATGATTATTACTAACCGTAATAAACATACGGGATGTTACGGCATGTTGACTTGTTATTTACGTAAAATATTAAAAATTTTTTCGCATATTAGTTAAGTGAATTTAAAAACTGTTAAAAATGTTTTTGTTGTAAAATAAATAACGTTATAATATGGAAATCTGTTTTTCTTCTTGTTATAACATTCTCTCTCTCTCTCTCTCTCTCTCTCTCTCTCTCTCTCTCTCTCTCTCTCTCTCCCTCTCTCTCTCTTTCTGATAAATGTCTTATCACTCACTAAATGGGTAGTTGCTAAAAATTTTCGATCAGTTATCCATTCATATATAATACCAAATTAAAAAAAGAGAACAAAAAAAGTGCAATAAAGATGCTAAAAGAGACAAGAGTTTAACATATAAAATTAATGTAAATATTGTGATAATTAATAATAACTATAGCAAAATTTGATAAATATTGAGAAATACTGAGTTTAATAATTCGGATATATATTGTCAAAAGCATGACTCTAACTTGTAAAAAGTTTTAGATTTCGTTTTTTGTTTATTACAAAATTATGAATAATTGAAAATAGTGACTGACTGACGCTGGTACTTCTTAAAAAATTATATTGATATTATATTGATATAAAGTATTTGTCATTGAAACTTCAAAGCATTTCTTTTCCGTTTTGCAATTATCGTCGCGAGTATGCTTGCCAAAAGCGGTTGTGCACAAAATATCTTGTAATGATATAAAGTAACGATAGTAAGAGTATATCGATGCATATTTCATTCTGTACTGTTTCTTTCCATGAGACATCCAAAATTCAATAATAATAGTTACTATTCACGTTTCAATAATAGTAGTTATTATTCTATCATGCTCTGTTAAACATGCTACACACTTTGCAGTATCTCAGCATCGTCGACGTAATTTTCCGTTGAATGTCAACGATATCAATGCCAAACGTTTGCTACAGATGTTGTAGCAAAAGAGAGAAAATTCTGGAGATACTGTATGTACCAGAGAATACTTAAAATATTGTTCTTGAAAATTGGCAAGGAATATTAAAATATAAAATATCGATCAATTAATGATGCAATATATTGCAAGTGACTGATCTCAAGAACTACGAATATTAGACGTCCACATCATGTCTAAAATTACATCAACATATAAATATACCGATCAACATGAGCGCCGAGAAACTGGTAAATAAAATTGAGAAGAGGTAAGGTACTTCAAAAAATGAGGACGCTTGCGTTACATAATCACTGGACACTATAAGTATATACAAACATTTACGTTTTCGTACCATCAATTAATATATAGTTAATAATAATTAATATATAATTAATATTAATTGATATATAATTAATATTAATTAATATAATTTCATATTAAAACTCGTAGTGATATCGATATCGATGTGACGAAGCGTAATCGCAATATTTACTAACAACAAATTAATCCGCAAATTTTTCGTAATCACTTTTTTTTTTCACAATGTATCTTCATCACGGCATATTTCTAATTTACCTATTAATATAATCAATTAGTAAAATAAATAAATTTCTAATTTATTAGTAAATGATATAGTACTATTATCAATTAGATGATGAGCTTTGATTGTCTCGAAATTGCAAAAAATATAGAAAGTTTGTGAAGAAAATTGCGAGCGTATATTCTTTGCTATGGAAACGTAATGATAAATGATGATAAATGTAATAATACTTTTTTAATATGTGTGTGGGTTTGTGTATGATAATACTATATCTCTATTAAATAATAAGGGAATTGAATAAAAATGTATTAAACTATTAAGTATAATTTTTAAGTCTGCTTTCCATGTATATATGTAGCAATCTTCGTCCTATAACGTGATACTGAACCAACGTGAAACCAATAATACTAACTGATATTTGCATATTGCCTCATGGATATTAAGACATGATATAGATATTGCCTCATCAGCAGATATGCTATTTACCAATATATTCTATGCTTTCTAAAGCTACTTAAACTTTTAATTTAAACTGCTTTAAACAAAAAATTATTATGTTACAAAGTTACTCTGCCAATTAACGTGACTCACACTTTATTGTTATATTCAACATTTAGTCTTAGCATAGTTCAGATCTTTCTCGACGTAATATTCAACGTAATTAACATCCGACAGAAGAACTTGAATATAATAATTTCAAGGAATTAATTACAAAAACGAGTTCTCCTACTCTTAAATTCATATCTTTCAACCACTACAATCGCTCTTTTTTTTTAAATATCGTGTGCATTGATGTAGTAATATAAATTAATAATGTTAATTTCACGGAATCCATTCATTCACAAAAGACATTCTGATAAAAATGCTTATTTTTATAAGAAAGCTCTTAATGTTTTTAATATTACAAAAAATTCACCGTGATAAAATAAAATATAACAGAGTTAAAATTATAAGAAATTAAGATAATATCTTTCACACTATACTGTCCTCTTTTACAATCTTTATATTATATAATTGTTTAATCAGAAGTTCATGATTCGTGTCTGTGCATACTTGTTATTCAGCATGCGTACACGCAACAAGTACATGTATCTTCCTCTCTTCTCACATAATAGAAATTCATAAGTTTTCTTTATAGATAAGCATGCAAAAAATAGTTCGACGAGTGACATGTTGTGCAGTTTATACACAAACGTATTGTAATTTCAGTTTATGTTCTATATTAATATTAGTTCAGTTTTATTAACATTAAAAATTGCTCAATTAAAAAAAAAACAGTATATCCTTTATTTAAAAATTTAAAACAAAATTTACAATACAAGCTAAAGAACACAAACACAAGTAAAAAAGCAAACTGAAAAACATTTTAGCTTATGCTTGAAACTGTTTTCAAATATAAGCTAAGAAGAAAGAGAATGTCAAAGAGTATGAATATTCCACACACACACACACACACACACATATATATATATATATATATATAAAACTTTTTTGATATATTTCGAATTTATGATGTCCCAGTTCTAAGACAAATGTACAAATTCTGAGACAAGAGAGAATTTAATAAAAAAATTTAATAAAAAATAACATATACTTTAAAGGAGAATGAGAGAGGATACGAAAGCACGTTTCTATGTAGTGGGAGGTTCTCGGAGGAATCAAGATCCACACACCGCACATCGATACGATTAGATACGACCTGTTTTACGAGATTTATTAGTCACTTCTTATTAAAAGTGTTTACCTGCTAGCAGTGACACCTGTGCGGCCGATGGATCTTAATACAGGTATATATGCAGGCACACATCGATCCAGATGCAGTTCCCTATCGTTCTTCCCCACTTGAGACACACAAAGAACAACTTCCACTCCAACATGTTCCGCAGATCGCGCAGCCTCCTACATTTTACCAGTATCATCTGTGTGATTTTGCCGTTCCAATTGGGCGGGCAGACACAGTCGACCGACTACCAAAATCCATACAACATTTTTGGTATTCCCGCTGCTAATCTTTTCAGACTAAGTCTAGGAGTCATGAACTTCCTAAATGAAGGTCAACATTATTTAGAGGAGCAAATACCAGAGGTAACCCCGGAACACGAAGCCGTGTATGACTTCGTAGTGGTTGGTGCCGGTACCGCGGGTGCTACATTAGCCACGAGGCTCAGTGAGATCCCTCATGTTAAAGTATTACTGATAGAAGCCGGAGTTAACGAGAATCTTCTCATGGACGTACCGCTGCTAGTCCATATATTGCAGTTAAGTGATGTGATCAATTGGAAGTACCAAACTAAACCATCGGACAAGTACTGTCTCGGCATGAACAAGAACAGCTGCAGTTGGCCAAGGGGGAAAGTAATGGGTGGCAGTAGTGTGCTCAATTATATGATCGCCTCCCGAGGCGCCGCCAAAGATTACGATCGTTGGGCAAAGATGGGCAACGACGGCTGGGCCTACAAAGACGTCCTCAAGTATTTTAAAAAGCTGGAAACGATGGACATTCCAGAGCTAAGATCGGATACCAAATATCACGGGACTAACGGACCAGTGCACATCACGTATCCACAAACTCACACACTGTTAGCGGAAGCTTTTTTACGAGCTGGCAAAGAACTGGGGTATCCCTTGATGGTGGACTACAACAGTAAAAGCACGATAGGATTCTCATATCTACAGACTACGATTAAAAACGGCACTCGACTAAGTAGCAACAGGGCGTATTTAAGTCTGGCGCGCTTTCGGAAAAATCTTCACGTGACACGTGAGAGCACAGTGAAAAAAGTACTCATTGACCGTCGCGAAAATAAAGCGGTTGGAGTGAAGTTCACCAAGGGTGGTAAAACTATCCGCGTATTTGCGAAAAACGAGGTGATCTTGTGCGCGGGTGCCATCGGATCACCTCAGTTGCTGATGTTATCGGGAATTGGGCCGGCGGAACATCTCGCTGAGCTCGGCATAGACATCGTTAAAGACGCCCCGGTCGGCGAGAATCTGATGGATCACATAGGTTTCGGAGGATTAGTATTTACGGTAAATTCTACGACAGGTATACAGATAGCGGACATAATTAATCCTATGTACTCATTTATAACGGACTTTTTAATGAGACGATCGGGGCCAGTGACGATACCGGGTGGGTGCGAAGCCCTCGCTTTCCTCGATACCAAACATCCAAAAAAATTGGATGGTTCGTCAGATATAGAGTTAATCTTTATCGGTGGTTCATATAAAGGAGATCCTTTTCTCCCAATAACAACGAATCTAGATGCAGAGATGAGTCAAATCTGGAACAAATATAACAGATATTATGGCTGGACCATATTTCCGATACTGTTAAAACCGAAAAGTCGCGGTTGGATAAAGTTGCTGGCTAACGATATCAATGTTAAACCTGAAATCGTGCCGAATTACTTCGATAATCCTGAAGATGTGAAAACATTGATCGCCGGTATAAGATCTGCGATAGAATTGAGTCGTACACAGGCAATGCAAGAGTTTGGTTCCCAATTGACAAACGATACGCTTCCTGGGTGCGAAAAGTATGAGTACGATTCTGATGATTATTGGGAATGTGCGATAAGAACAGTTCCTTACACCATCTATCATTTCTCTGGCACGTGCAAAATGGGACCGAAAGGAGATCCGACCGCTGTTGTCGATCCCAGATTAAAGGTGCGTACTACAAAAAGATGTAATGTTTCCATGAATACATCTTTTTTTATTTGATTTATTTTTCTTAGGTCAATGGCGTTCAAGGACTTCGAGTAGCTGATGCGTCTATTATACCAGAAATTGTAGCGGGCCATACAAATCTACCTGTCTATATGATTGCAGAAAAATTGGCAGATATGATTAAGGAAGAATGGGGATACGTCTAGATATAACGATTATATAACGTCTCATAAATTTCCTGAATACTCCTGTATGTGCATCGTGAAAGATACCTGAAGGATACAAAACGTGATATTATGTGATAATACACAATACATACATACGTGATATTATATGATAATACACAATACATACATGGATATATGGAAAATGACGTTTAAATTATTTTTAAGTTATATATTTTCCATCTTTGGTAGATATTATTAAGATGACGATTATCTAAGATTTATTTTATGTCTAACACTATTCCTTTCATAGCCATATCAATTTAAAAAAACTGATCATATTTTATGTATACATTGGCGTATCTGTATGTTTGTGGGTTTCTTTTCGTATCTGTATGTTTGCGTAGATCTTTTCAAAATAAAGATTTGATTTATAAAAATAATTGTTGCATCTCTCAAATCTTTCGTCAGATCAATTCATCTTTCAAAATAATGTAACAATTTCATATTCAGAATCTTTTTAATAGAATATATGAGAATCGACTGATATAAAGAGACGCATTCCTGTATATATATATATATATATATTAAAAAATATATATATATATATTAAAAAAAAGAAAAAAAAGAGAGAGAGAGAGAGAGAGAGAGAGAGAGAGAGGGAGGGAGGAAGAGAGAAATATTGTTGCATCTTGCGGACGTAGTTACGCATTTGTGTAAAAATGAAGCAAGCAATTTTTGATATTTGTGATAATATTTGATTGTGTTAAATTGTGATATATAATAAAGTTAAAATAACATAATAAAGTATCATTGTTTAAATTTGTATTTTCTACGAAAGATATATATATCACAAAGTTAGGACAAATATCAATAACTGTTTCAAAAGTACCAATATTAAAATATGTACCAATTAAAAATACTGACGTAAGAATATTGACGTAAGAATATAAAAATGCTGACGTAAGAAACTGACGTATAAATACTGACATATTAAAAACAATGTTTTATACTGAAACATAAAAAATGTAGTAAAAATATTGATAGACGTATAAATATTTGCAAAGACATACCGATCATGTTAATTTCCTTTGAAAAACAAACTTATATTTTCTGTTAATAACTATTGTTAACTACAATATATATTTTTATGTTATACGTATATAAATATATAAGGAGTTCATGCTCATTTATCGATTATGAACACGCACTTGCTGATTTTTTATTATAGTTACTCTACAATTTCTCATATATACGTAGCTCAAGATATTTAAAAAATGGTTTAAAATGTTTGATCTTACTTTAAAATTAATACCGTGTTTTTATGGATTTGTTTGCAACATTCCGCGAATATTTGAGTTCACTTCTTCGCGGAAAGAAACAACCTGAAACTGTTTCGGATCTATGAACACTCCTATCCAGAAAGTTAGATCAAGCAAGATAGCATACCACGAGAGCTGGAAAAACATCATGTTCTTTTAAGACGATGAAGTAAAAGACAGAATTAAAACATTTGCTTTTAAATCCAATTTAGACTATGTACAGCTTATTTTCATGAAAATAATTTTCACGAATCACACATCTTCATAAAATATACATTCTAATAAAATCTATATAACTGATCGCTTTTTGATGATTTCTATATTACCTAACTCTATAATTCTGCATATCGTTCAAAGATTAAACAAAAGATTCCATAAATTATATAACTTTATAAATTATAAATCCTAATAAATAAAAGTATATAAATATAAGCTAATCAACTTTTGACAATTTTATATTACCTAATTCTGACTCGCTCATGACTGTTCAAGATGCTCAAGACGTTTAAAAGCAAACTAGATTTTCGACATATTAGAAAAATTTTTGTTTCCTACATCTTCTCAGCATCGTCAGCACAATTTCGGATAAATAAACGAGACGTCTACTTCACGCCAAGACATGGCCGATGCAAACTTGTTTATGATATATAACTCACTAATAAAATTCATGAAACAAAAGCAACATTACACAAAAGAAGAAGTGCTAGACACTATTCCAAAGTCGTCGGACGTCGTACGACTTTGACGTGATAATTGGTACTGGCAATGCCGGCGTGGTAGGACTATCTGCGAAAATCTAACGGATCATACATCCATGGAGTTCTTAACAAGTGTCTCAGTGGAGTTATGGTTTGTTGACGTATTAAACTTCAGAATCGTACATCATTCAGAACTCATCACATATTATTGTTCTTCGGCAGAATGTTCAAAAACATTTTAATTCCGGTGCTTGCAAATATAAATCCTCAAATATATCGCGAAAAGTCGCGGTTGAATAAAGTTGCTGGCTAACGATATCAACTAACGTTAACCCTGAAATCGTACTGAATTGCTCTAGTGATCTTGAAGACGCGAGAATAGTAATTGCCGGTATGAAAGACTCGATGGCTTTACACAGGCAAAGCAAAAGTTCGATTCGCGGTTTATAAAAGATACGCTTCCCGGATGCGAAAAGCATGAACACGATTCCGATGATTATTGGGAATGTGTGATGAGAAGAATTCCTTACACGATTTATTATTCCTCCGGCACGTGCAAAATATAAGCAACGAGAGATTCGAGATTATTTAATTTATAAAAACAACTGTTGTATCGATTTTTCACAAGAGACATGTAACACACTACGCACATCATTGAATAAATCTCTAAGCTTTTCTCTACGTCGTCTGAAAACTGATTATATAATTAATTATCATATCTAGTAGATAGCTCTTATAAAAGAGACACGTAAGATATTAAGAATATTCTCGATGGAATCATTACGTTAGCAGATATAGAAAAGTCGATCGTGCATAGACTGTAAACATTGAATAAAGATTTGTCAAATCATATTTACATTCCTCACTGCAATCGGTGTTATGTTTTAACGATGAAACATTATGTCACTTATAACGTTAATACGTTCTCGCGTCATGTGCGAAATAATGAAAGGTCGCAAGTCCAAGTACGTGACGCTTTTTCGACGTACATTCCGGCGGAACATTGTGAAAGATTGCAGAAACCTATATTGCCAGTTATCGTAAACTACGCTCAAAAGCGGGTCAGAGAAATCTGTATAAATATGAAGAAAATATTTCTAGCCTCCTGCCAATTTCCTCGTTAGCGACACAGAATAATACATTTTTAATAGAAAGATTTTTTAGGACATTTTTAAAACAAATTTTTTTTTTTATAAAAAAGATATTGTTTTATTACGATGCTGCGTAAGACGTTGTGTACGTATGAAGGATTTCTCACAAAGATTAATTCTAAAAAAAACGCGCATAATGTATTCCCCCCCGATATATACAGTACAATAGACTGACCGTTACGTGCTATATATTCTTCCATTACCAATAGGATAACGGGTATTATTTCGATCTATGAAGAAGACACGCAGGTAATGCGTGACAGAAGCAAAGAGAAGATTACATAGGGCTCCGGTAGGTATAAAACAGTAGCTTAAGGAGAGGTTCTCGATCCGAATACAAACTGGACATTACTCAAGGCGGGTAAGTATTACGTGAACGAGAAAGTGTATTTCTCCGGTAGGTCTTCAGGTAGAGAGTGGCTGGTGGCTTACGGCCGAGGAGCGGCGGAGAAGTCGTTATACCGCGTTGAAGGCAACATCCTCACGGCCACCTAGACGCACGAAGGACGACCGCGGGTCGGTCAAACGTGAAAAACAACATTTCGGTGGCCCCTTAAGATCGTGGACGGTATGTATTGCGACATTACAAAAGGATTACACAATCTCGCGATCGAATTGGACCAAGAACATCCAGCCGATGGGATATATAAACACGTGAGAAAGTAATTGCGACACCTATGTTATGTCTGTCCTGCACGGACGCAGAAACGCGCACGGGACCGTGGCGCGTAAGATACGGAGATAAATTTCATAATACTAGTTTCATTCATTTCTCATAAAATAGGTATCTTTCGTGTTTGACAGAAATTCGACCAAATTTTCGTTAAAACAGCTGTAAGAGACGTCGCCAGCATATTTATACCCGTGGCTACGCAAGTTTTGAAATGATTCGTTCATTCGCAGGCCTTGATATTTTACACATGCCTGTAATTACTAATGCTTAAAATTAATATATATCTTTGGTAGTTTACCGCCGCGTCGTAAACTTTGACATTAGATTATTTAGGTTGTTGAACTGTGTACGTATACGCAATGTGTTGTATGTATTGTGAGAACGTTATATAGGTATATATAGCATAAGAATATTATACAATCCAAATATATGCGTGTGACGTGTGCGGAATATCGTTCAATGAGCAATCGTCTTAAAAACGGTACACAGCTGCTTTGTCCTGTAGATGCCTTCGATATTCAGGAGAAACAGCACCCGTAACAGTTAAACAAACAAGCTTCAAACTCTCATTTTTGGTTTAAAAAAGTCTGCGTGAAAAGTTAAGTGAGTGTGTGGAGAAAAGAACGAACGAGTCAAGAGCTGTAAATGTCATAACGAACAAATTGTTATTGTGAATTATCTATTCATTAAAAAACATTCTTTCTGAAGTGTGTACGAGTGGAAAACCTCATGTTACGGTGTATTATACATGCGTCTCATATATGTACGAGATTTTCTCATGTAGAGAATATAAATTATATTATAAAATATTATAAATTATATTAAATATACAAAAAAAGAGAGTAAGTTACGGAACAGTGTCATTATACTTTTTCTCATAAGGAGAGGGCCAGAACTTGCCCTCTCCTGAGGACATGTTGAGCTTGATATGTGCTGTAGTATTATCTCCCTGTATATGTATATTCATGTAAATGCACATGTACACTCATATATATGTACATTCATGGAAATGGGAAAAAAGTTGAAAAAAAGGCGATACTCGAATTCACGATATGCAGCACTGCAACGTGCCAGTCTCCGTGAAGAGCCTTACGGCCTCGCATACGGGGTATTCGCTGGCAACTTGTCTTCACTACGCGGTAAAGAACTCTATAAGGGACATTAAAAACTTTAAACTTATTTTTCTCGCGAATGCTTGAGGGTTGCATCGAGTGACTTTACCCTTCATTTATGGAGAACGTAGTGCTACAATATATATCAAGCTCATCAAAATCGGCGACAAGTTTTAGTCCTCCCTTTGTGAATATTAATTGTAAAAATGTAACATTCAAAAAAGAGGTGAAATGTATGAATTTTATTTAACAGATTAGTGTATATAATATTAAGAATATAAAATTTGAAAAAAAAAAAAAATTATGTCAAACTCCAAAACTTGTTCCGAGAAAATCTACACCCGGATTTCTTAATTATAATGTTCCCTAATTATATAACAGATACGTTCTCCTCCGTACATGTCAAATATCTTTCTCTTTAACCCCTTCCGTGGCACGGACGCACCGGTGCGTCCAGATCATTTTCGTGTGGTATTGAATTTTAAGTGTAATAACTATTGTAGAATTTTTATCAAGTATTTTTTGGGTCGTTGATTACGAATTTCAACTTAGTTTTGTATAATTTGTTAATAGAAAAAAACTATAATAAAATTAAAATGTCGGAAAATTGTAAATTTTTTTTTCACACACGGGATATGTGAGAGTGAGAAAGGGTGACAGGAAGAAACTGAGGAGAGACCGATGGAGAGATCGGCGTCGTTTGACCGCAGCGCCCAAAGGAATGCAAATACTCGATAAAACCAAAAAGCTGAGGATGTACGACAAAGAGCGAGCAGCGAACGAATCAGTTCGCAACGAACAGCAAGAGCGTTAAGAGCAAGAGCGATTTTATATAAAAATCGTTAATTTAGTGACTTGAGAAATGACCAATTACTTTTATTTATAATATTAAGCATTTCTAAACATTTTAGTCATCATATTCGATCCGCCATTTTGAATTTCTATATTTTGACCTCAAATTCAGCTCCAGTGACCAAAAAAACTGAAGTATACAAATTATTGAAAAAATGCGCCCCGTCAGTTTTTTGGGGCGGTTTCAGTGCATTTTACTGAATTTTACTCTGCCACGGAAGGGGATAATATTAAGCAGTTTACTAATATCAAGTGCTCCACTCTAAATATTTATTTTATGTCAGATTTTCTAATTTAATATCTTTCCAAAAGTTTTAGAAACTCAACGAAAAGTGAGTCTTTCCGTGCACAATCACCCACACGTACTCGTTTAATTTGAAGATACGTGATCTCAACGAATAAATATTTGTAACATAATATACCGAAGTAATATACCAAAATATGTATTATCGTTCGCGAAGTCCTATATAAGATACGTGTGAAACTTCATTGCAGAACATTGCAATACAGTATGAAGATTCTACTGGCACTCGTCGCACTGATCGCTTCGGTCTGCAGCGGTTATACATTCATGGATATGGTTAAGAAGTACATGCAGCCAGCCGGAGAAAGTCCCGAATTCTGGGGTAACGACAAATACGATTTCGTCGTCGTAGGAGCTGGTTCGGCAGGCTCCGCGATTGCCAATCGCCTGTCGGAGAACAAGAGATGGAGAGTCCTGCTGTTAGAAGCGGGGTACCCGCAAAACATACTCAACAAGATTCCCCTCTTGGTCGGCTATTACCAATTGACCGATTTTAACTGGGGCTACAAGATAGAGCCGCAGAAGAACGCCTGTTTAGGGATGATCGATCATCAGTGCTCCTGGCCACGTGGCAAAGCTCTGGGCGGAACGAGCACCTTGAACTATATGATCCACACGCGCGGCAACAAGCAAGATTATGACAAATGGGCCAGTCTAGGCAACGCGGGTTGGTCCTATGAGGACGTTCTTCCATATTTCAAGAAAAGCGAGAGGTTCAATATACCAAGTATGTCAGTTTGGTCTCTCTCTCTCTCTCTCTCTCTCTCTCTCTCTCTCTCTCTCTCTCTCTCTCTCTCTCTCTCTCTCTATCGAGGCCTACCGTGCGACACGACACCTCGCTTCCCTTAGATTTTCGTCTTCCTAGATTGAACGGAAATACCACGCGTGCGCAACTGAGACTCATAACACGCGACGATGTATGTGACTCGAGTTATTGTCTATTCAGGTATCAAAAATTCCTCGTATCACGGCAAAGACGGCAATCTGTGCGTGGAGTTCACACCCTATCACACGGAGCTGGCGAGCGTATACCTGAAAGCTGGCCAAGAACTCGGCTACGACGTCGTGGATTACAACGGCGAGAATCAAATAGGTTTCTCGTACATTCAAGTGAACATGGACCGAGGAGTGCGTTGCAGCGCGGCCAGAGCTTACCTCGACTCGATCAATCGCGAGAACTTGAACATCGTCACCGGCGCTAGGGTGACGAAAGTGCTGATCGACGGCAACAAACGTGCCTACGGCGTCGAGTATATTCAGGACGCCACTTTGAAGCGAGTGTTCTGCAAGAAGGAGGTCGTTCTCTCAGCCGGTACGATCGACTCGGCTAAATTGCTGATGCTTTCGGGAATCGGGCCCAAGGACCACTTGGAGGACCTGGGTATTCCGGTGATACAGGACTCCAAGGTCGGCTACAATATGTACGAGCACATCGGTTTTTTGGGCTTGACCTTCCTGGTGAACCAGACTGTGTCTCTGCTGCAGAGCAAGATCACTCCCAGCGCAGTGCTGGAATATTTGCTATTCAGAAACGGTTTAATGACAATACCGGGTGGCGCCGAGGCGATAGCATTTATTAAGACCAAATATGCTGTCGACGAGAAACCAGACGTCGAACTTTTGTTCGTATCCGGTTCCATACATTCGGACGACGGCCTGGTCCTGAAGGAGGCTTTGAGAATCACGGACGACGTGTACAACGCAATTTTTAAACCCATCCAAGGTCGAGAAGCCTGGTCGGTCTGGCCTATCGTCCAATCCCCCAGAAGCGTCGGCCGTTTAACGTTACAATCGAAAAATCCACTCGAACCGCCCAAGATGGAACCGAATTTTTTCAATCATCCGGCTGACCTCGAGATTATCTTGGAGGGAGTGAAACACGCCATCAATATATCCAAGACCGAGGCCTTTCGTGCTTACGACAGCCGACTGAACGATCTTACGATACCGACCTGCCGACAGTTCGAGTTCGCTACCGACGACTATTGGAGATGCGCCATCAAGCATCTGCCGTCTATGATGAATCACGAAGTGGGAACAGTGAAAATGGGGCCATCGACGGACGCTTATGCCGTTGTGGACCCGCAGCTGAGGGTCTACGGCATTCAAAATCTGCGAGTGGCAGACGCCTCGGTCATGCCCACGATGCCCGTCGGTCACGTAAACGCAGGTATTTACATGATCGGAGAAAAAGCTTCGGATTTGATCAAAACGGCTTGGGAGAGCGCGAAATAAGACTGCGCGCCGATAACGCAAAGAAGCAGGGAGAACCTGATAAAGTAAAGTAAGAAACGCTGTTTACTAAATAATTATCAGCTAAAAACAAGTCGTTCCATTGTGAAAGGACTTTCGGAATTCCAACGATCATGACGAAGAACTTGACGCCGTCCTCTTGGTGCGTGAAACACGCAATGATATGTTGTAATAGCTAACGGTTATGTCATTAATTTCTTTTTTTGTGGGATCGTCGAAGTAGAAAAGAGGCGCGCCTAGGTGTGACATACGTACGTTCGGTCGTGCAGATCCCCACCCGATGTATATATAAGCATCGACGAATAAGTGGATAGCGCGAAACCTTGAATTTTTAATGTGAAGGTTCAAAGCATGTTATCGAAAGTCAAACGATGAACCTGTATTGGGACAACCGTATGAATATATAATGACATAGTGATCTTGACATTTTCTGTAAATATTAGGGCTTTCCTTAAATGTCAAAGCAATATATTTGTCATAGAAGTAGCCTCGTCTTTTTAATATTTAGAAAGAAATTCGCGTGATCGGAAAATATTCAACCTTGTATTGAATATGAGGCTATCATGCCGGTCTGCATGTGTTTACGAATCTAGAATTATTCTTGTGCAATTTGTGCTCTCGATGTCAACAAGACAATCATTTCTCAATGTCAGGCTGCAAAAAGACTATTCAAGAAAACCCAATATCTGAAACTTGCAATTGTAAGCAAATGATATTTCTTTCCTTTTTCTGTCTCTATTTTGCTCTGTTCTTCTCTTTTTTGCAAAAAATTTGTATAGTAGATTCCTTAAAACATATAATTAGCATCAAAGTAGCATTAAGTTATTGCTCACGTGCTGATATACCTAATATGAATAATATGAATAATGAATAATACGAATAATGAATAATAAGATATCATGAACATGGTACAATAATTGCTATCCAAGGATATTTATTCCACACGACCGACTGTATCGATTGTCCCGACGTCATTGATACATTTTTCTAATCGCAAATTGTACGTGTTTTTATACTTATATATATTATTTGTTACATACGACGCATTATCAGACGATAATAGACTGATGGGAGAAATGATGGGAGAAGCGATTAAGAGTAAGCAGAATACTACGAATGCATCGTTCAATAATGGATCATGTTGCCTGCCAACGATACGTTAAGTTGTGACGTAAATGGGGGATATGAGTCATAGCGTATTTTTCCAGCGAAACTAACGTAAGGCCAATAACGAACTAGAAATTCTATGGGAGATTTTTTGCTACAGTTTTTTAAGGAAGCTAAAAATCGAATCTTGCAAAAATCTCACGTCGTCTTCAACGCATATCGCGTATATAATAAAATGAAACATGTTCCTTTTAAAGATTAATTATTGTTTAAAAAAACTATCTAAAATGTATAATTGTAAAATACACACTAGATTTTACATGTTACACTCCATTATAAAATTCCATTATAAAAAGATCAATCAAAATTGTTAGTGGAGAGAAATAATGTGAGTTCTAATGCTGCATTATTTTATGGTAATTTCAAACATCTTGAACAAATGTAATTTATGATTTCAGTGATAATCATTGACTTGAACTAATTTCTTGTATACATAGTAACTCAGTAATACTAGATTGACACCGGTGTAAACAATGTTACATATTCATTATTTCTCAGATATACAGTGTTTCGTAACTGGTAGTACAAACAGGAAAAGGCTAGTTCTGCATGACAAAATAAATTGAGAATGCAGAATGAAGTATTTTTGTTTTTTATTTTTGAGAAAATTAACATTTAAAATTCACTGGGTACACGTAGTTCTGAATCACCACCAGTTATAGCACATCTTGTATATTTTTGGCTGAATTTTAGTCATATAATATTATTTTAGTCAATAATTAATATTATAAAAATTATTATAAATATTTTTATACTATTAGTATATTAGTATATTTTTATAGTGTATTAAGAAATCTATATTGCAAATTTGTGATACAATATGCTCAATTCTAAGAATAATAAGATGAGAATAGTTGCAATCAAATATGGATGCAATCATATGTTGGAAAAAGATGGAAGAACATAAAAATCTGTCTAGTGCGTTATCTGAGAATGATGTCATAATTTAACAAACTGTTGTTGTTAAACTGTGTGTTAGATGTTAGATCATTAGTTTGATAAGCTGCTGCAATTAGAAACCTTCTTTCGCAAGACATTTGAAAGCTTTGAAGGATGATAAATAGAATCGTTACAATTTGATAGAAAGTATTTGACATTCATGTGTACAGTAGATATACAACTTGGAGATAATGAAGGTCAATAAGCAAACATACGAACCCGCTCATCTTTTATTGCTTCTTTGAAGTTCTTATCACTTTCTGGAATTACTGAATTTTGATAACCAGTTTAATGCGCAATAGATATTCAGAATATTTCAGACATTCAGATTACCCGTCTCTAAATCAGAAAGCGGCAAGACATGAGGCATATCTCCACCTCCTTCTTTTTCACTGAATATCCAATGGTATGTGGCAACTTCCAATAGCACACAATAAATCTATTCTTTTCGAAGAACTTTTGAACTAGTACATGCTAGCTCCACAAGTTAAAATGAGAGAAAATATATCTGCTTCGTTCCAACTTACTGCACTAATTCAGAAGTCGTTCGAAAAAGAACAGATTTAATATCACTTTTCCCCCTAAACAAAGCTTTCAAATGTCTCACGTTGCGAGCTGCCTTCGTCCGAGCGCCTAAATTATTTATTAGGTGTAATAACCTGTCAATCAATCGATCATCACTGGACAACGAGACGATGACAACCTAACCGATGTCCCCTCCAATGCGTCAAGCAAAGCAGCTCCGAAATCACATGTCGCATTGCTTGAGACAGCGCGCGTGTTAATCGACAACCGTCAAAAAGTTCGGAGCACATACCTGACACAACGAGAGCCTCGTTCGGGCCGCAGGTATGGACGTTTCCCATCGTTCGGAATTAATATTTCTCTTCCTAACCAAAGCGACGCACGAACGACGAGGCGGGGACAGTGACGTTAACAGGCACGACGGCGACGGTGACGGCGACGACGATAACGACGGCTACTACGGGGAACCGGTACGGCTCGAAAAAACGGCGGCACAATGCAACTATCGATAACACTGAGAGCATACACAAACGCGTCGCGACGCACGATGACGTAATAATAATATGGCAATTGTTTTAAAACGCCCGGTTAATCATTAATAACATGCAGCGAGCCGCGTTAATCGTCGGTCGCAAGGTTACGATGTCAGCAGCGGCCACTGCCCGAAATCACTCGCGGATTACTAACTGAAAAGTCCCTAGCCGGGCATTTTCGTGTATCCGTCTAGGTGCGCTTACCGCTTCGTGCGTGAAATGCTCGTGAAACGTGAAAAAGAAAAACTTGCCATTCAACAGGTACGATAATCGCGTGCAAATAACTTTAGGGCGAGCCGCTCTTCGCGTTGATGCACTCATACTCGTGAATAATGCAAAAGAACGTCATATCTCTCGTAGTCACTAGATTACCTCTGGCTTCAGCCTATCATTGTCCCGCGTTACAGAGAAACCATCGTTGATTGATACTACTTGAAAATAAAGATTTCTCTAACTTGCCGTTTAGCAGCATTATTTCAAAATGACGAGTTATTTGACCTGTGGTTGAAATGTAACATTTGAAAATGCACTTTTTGAAACGTTGGAACTACAATTTTGGATAATGGCTGGCCTGCTAGGTATGTTTAAGATACAAACTGCTAGCAAAAAGATGTTTTAGTTTAATCGAAGAGAAAACTGAAAATAGCAGACGTCATAAATGACCCGTTATGATTAGACTCGTTACTTTTTCTACTTCCAAACTTTCCGCCAGGAGCCGCCACTATTTTCGACACAAAATTGATAGTGTCGAGTGGATTTGGTTTAATGGACGTGAGGTCACCGACGAGGTGATATAAAAACTAATAACCCTGGGACTCGATTCCTGACGGCGTGCGAGTGAGATGCGTATGCGAAAATGTACAGTTTACGTTACATATAATATAGATTTTCGCATGCGCATCTCATTCGCACGCCGTCAGGAATTGAGCCCCCCCCAGTGGTGCGATTCTTTAATTCGTTATTGGAGTTAACGACAGTTTCGTTAACTCCAATAACGAGTTAAAGAATCGCGCCGCAGGTACGCTAAATTCCATAAGATGAACAGTTTTTGTAGGCTGTGTTCCAAAATTCACCGCCAATATTGAAAATATATAGTTTGTGTCACGTATATTATAGATTTTCAGTGCTGGCAGTGAATATTGGAACACAGCCATACAACACATTAAGTTTATCTTCAGATGGTCTGTAGTCAATAAAATAATCCGTATCTAAAGATGGATATAAGGAGGCCTTAAATATAAGGCCTGACTATGAATACGGAATAAAGCTAACGGAGGATTCAATTCTCCATTAGAAAGCTGTTCTCCTATTGGATGTCGGACGTCGTACGTCGGACATCGGACGCAGTGTGAATCCTCCATTAGCTTAACAGTACACGTCGGTGCTGAGGCGATAAATGACGTCAGATTCTACTCGCCAATCACAAAGCTTACCCGTTCGTGTTCGACCTAAGAACCTAGATGATTTAATTAATCCAAGTTTACTGCAATACGTTATGAAATTGTAGGGTTAGAATATCAGTTGCATCCTGAAATATATTGAAAAAATGTATTTTATGATAAATTGAGTTCTGCTGCTAAACACCGAAAGACGCCATAGACATGTTTGGACGAATAGACTGAGGTCTCTTACATTCGCGTACTTTATGCCGTAACAACTCTCATCTGATTCCTTCGTGTGAGTCGGCTCACTTTACTACACTACGAACTGCAAGGAACGTCAAGTGATACAAAAGAAAAATTGCAAAATGTCAGAGGACGAAGTGGAAAGTTTCGAGATTACTGATTATGATTTAGACAATGAATTTAATATAGCTCGTCCCCGACGCAAACTCACGAAAAAACAACAAATGCTAGGTATAGTAGATGTATCATAATGCAAAGGAAAGAGGTTATGTTTGGAAAATATATAATATGAATATGTATACTGCAGAAGTAGATGTAAAAACAATCTTTCTACGATTATACTATTATAATCCTTTTTTTAAATTATATATAGCATAATATTTCCTTTCTCAAGATGCTTTGTCTTTCGAAATACAGGGATATGGGCTGATGACAGTGATGAAGATGAATTATCTGCTAGGCCATCTTTTAAAACTTTTAATAAAGGACCAAAAAACTATAGAGCACCTGTTAGTTTTGTTGCTGGTGGTATTCAACAAGCAGGGAAATCAAAGGATGAAAAAGAAGATAATGATGAGGAGGAAGATGAAGAAGAGACACAAGATTCAAAACATCAGGATGATTCAAGGTAAAACTTAACACGTATAAATTTTTCGTTGTTTCTCTTAGGTAGGCTTGGTAATACATATTTATATTTAATGTTTCATTTAGCTCAGAAGATGAGAGGTCAAGTAACTCAAAATCACAACCGTCTTTCTCTTTGAATTTGGAGGGCGACATTGCAGGTTTACGTAAAAAGCGGAATCAAATAAATCCATTATTGATAAAAAGTGGAGTGGGCAGTTGGGAAGTACATACAAAAGGTATTGGCGCTAAATTGTTACTGCAGGTATGTCATAAGAAATGACAGTTTAGTCTGTTAGTTATTGTTAACAAACTATTGAAACAATATGGTAATAAAAGAAAACATTCTTTGCTTAGATGGGATTTGAGCCTGGGAAAGGTTTAGGCAAACAGTTGCAAGGAATTAGCGCACCAGTGGAAGCGCACCTCAGAAAGGGAAGAGGTGCAATTGGTGCTTATGGTCCTGAAAAGGTGCCCAAAGTACCAGATGTAAAAAAAGATGAGGATGGAGAGGAAGCAAAAGAACTCAAATCCAAAGTGTCTCAATGGCGAAAAGGTGATAGTAACAAGAAGAAAACAAAATATCATTACAGAAGTGTGGATCAAGTTTTAGAAGATGGGAAATTGAAGCCAAATAGAAAACTTCCAGTGTCTAATGAAATGAGTAGGGTCAAGGTGATAGATATGACAGGGCCAGAGCAAAGAATTCTCAGTGGATATCATGCGATCGCAGGTGGGCAGCAGTGTCCCGACGAGATTGTAATCACGCCCGATAAAAGGGCCAAAGTAAATTTTGCCCTACCTGAGTTACAACATAACTTAAATTTACTCGTGAATATGTGTGAGCAAGATATTATTCAAAATGATCGGCGGATGAGATATTTAAACGACAGAGTGGTTGCTCTAGAGGCAGAAAAAAAGAACTTGTCGAAAGTCGTCGATCAAAATAGCCAACTGATTGATACTTTGGAGAATGTGCTCGTGATTGTGGACAGGTTAATGAACGAAACGAATGAATTGACTTTGCAAGAAACTGCTGAAGCTTTTAAAAATTTAGAAGATAATTATTACGAAGAGTATAAAATGTACGAGCTTGGTGAATTAGCCAGCAGTTTCGTGGCTCCGAAGATAAAAGATTGTTTGTTAAGCTGGAATCCACTGATGGAACCAAAGAAACCAATTAAATTGTTTGAAGAGTGGAAGGATATTTTGGAAAATGGAACTAGCACTACGCTTCAAACACGAGCCATGCATCCATATGATCAACTAGTATGGAACGCATGGATGCCATCGATCAGAGGAGCCATACAGTAATATACACATACTATATACTAGTTTTGTGGAACTTTTAAAAAAATTAAATTTAATTAAAATACGAACAAGTAATTTCACATTTTTTAATATTTTTTGTAAACGTATAGGCAATGGACATGTAGGCAACCCGAACCTCTAATCGAACTGATAGAGCATTGGATGCCATTATTGCCCAACTGGATCTTGGAAAATATACTAGATTTGTTAATATTACCGAAATTAACATTGGAGGTGGAAGAATGGAATCCTCTTACTGATACTGTACCTATCCATACATGGATTCATCCATGGTTACCATTATTGCGTGAGTATATATTGCGCGCGTATGCAATATGTATTGATTAAACTACACAAATAGGCTAATATAAATAATCTCATATTATCTCCTTCAGGGAATCGCTTGGATACTCTAATTTATCCTATAATACGTAGAAAACTTGGATCTGCTTTGGGAGGTTGGCACCCATCGGATAGATCCGCCAGATTAATGCTGCAACCTTGGGCACAAGTATTCGCCAAGGGCGACATGGAAGCATTCCTGGTGAAGAATATAATTCCAAAGTTGCAGGTAGCTCTGTCCGAATTTGTTATAAATCCGCATCAACAGCATTTGGATCAGTGGAATTGGGTGTACGAATGGAAGGATTTAATCCCGTCTCATGTAATGGCGGGATTGCTCGACAAGTTCTTCTTTACAAAATGGCTGCAAGTCTTGGCTCTTTGGCTCAATCATTCTCCCAATTACGATGAAGTTACAACTTGGTACATGGGTTGGAAGGGGATGTTGAGTGACAAGTTACTAGCGGAACCAGCGATAAAAGGTACGTTGCGATCGCCGAACGCAACGTTCGTTGTTTGTTCCTCTGTTGCCGCGCATTGAAATATATGACGGAAAGTATGATTTACAGAGCACTTCAAGAAAGCGTTAGACATGATGAATAGGGCCGTCACCGGATCACAGAGTCATCAACCCGGTGCAGTGGAACAGGTTTCGTACCTAACGAGCTTAGAGAGGACTCAACCGACGATGTCGCAAATAGCACCAATTGCGCAACCGCGGATAGAGGTATAATATTATGCGTTATATGTTACGCACGAGCAAAGGAACATGCGGATATTATAACAGACTCAATATTGAATACATCGTTGTTTACAGAGACTCGCGGAGGCAGTGCGAACCGCCTTGCAGATCCCGCAAGGTTTCAAGGAACTCGTGCAGAAGAAGTGCGAAGAACGTGGCATATTGTTTATGCCGATCCCGAACAGATACAAGGAAGCCAAGCAGGTGTACAAAGTGGGCAACGTCCAAGCGTATATCGATGGCAATGTGTTGTTTGTATGTCACAATGGTACAAACTGGATGCCGACGCATTTAAATGCCTTATTGGATATGTCTGAACTTTAGGGAACGATGTGAAATTAGAGCCGCACAATTGTTCCGATTGTATGATAGCGATTGTTGTATTCATACTGTAAATATGTTGTAAAATATTTCCTCTGAAGACTATTGAAAAAGATTGGTCGGATATATTATTGTGTATCTGCAGGTTGTATCCACCCATATTCACTCTAAGTACGTACGTATTTAACTTTAAATACGCTGAAAACCGTTTTTGCACTGCTAAAGCTGTACAATGAAACGATATCATATTTTGCTACGTGCGCATCTTTCACAATTTTATATAAGCGTGCTTTTTTGAGTAGTCAATAAACGGACATTTACACGCTTTTAGCGAAATCTACATTGAAAGACAAGATGTTCTCTGGGGGGGGCGTAAAAATATACTCACAACTCGAAGATTGCGTATTATTAAGGAGATTCTTTCTCCGGAAAATTTTCTCGAGAAACATGCTTAAAAAAAATTATAAGATTATGACGCCAAAATTATCGGAATCTCTCCTATTTTGGAAACGGGAACGAGTGAAGTGGACGAAACGGCAGAACAAAATGCCATATCGCGTACGCCTCTTCCGATATCAAACTTCGCCGAGTAAATCTCTTTCACGTATACATTATCGACTTCTGTTCAAAGAGTCGCACGCGTGTGTAGGCGTTCCTGCTTATCCCACTACCGAAGCGTAGCTTTAAAACTTCTCGATATGGAAAGTTGCGAGCGGCTCCCGCGGAGTCGCGCGTATACAGGGTGGGCCGAAAAGGAGGACGAGTCGTACGCGTTTGATTAAATGTAGGCACGCGGGGCAAAATCCACGCGGACGTGTAGAGAAAAATTCCAGGCGATACCGAGTTGCCGATGAAGTGATCAACTTCCAAGATCAACATCTCTCGTTCTATTTCAAGTACCACACAATGTCATGACTAAAAAAGTGCTACTCCAAAATCAGGGATTTAAGGTTTCGGAATGATTTATGATCCTAGAAAATGAGTCGCTAACGCGAGTCGATGACGCGACGCGACATCACATCCATCTTTCATCGTCCATTTCTATGGACGGACGTTTGAAACGACTGCGAGCGACTGCGAGAGCTCGCTCGCGACGCCAATGGCGAGAGGACATCGACGCGACTCTTAGGAGCTCCCCAGAGTGGTCCTGCGAGAAAGGATGGACGTCTCTCGCCTACACGTCTAGCAGATCCCGTCGGGTGTCGAGAGCGCATTTGCATCGGATCGGAGTGTCCCTGCCTAGTAACCGCGCGGCGCTGCGACCGCATCGCGTCCTGACGGTCCTTGCACTCTCGCGACTCGCGCGACAGCGCGCCGTTGCGCGAGAAGGCGTCGCGCGCGCGCGTCCGTCGGGACGCCGCGCGGCCGGTGCGAGTGCGAGCGCGAGCGCGTCCAGAAAAATCCAGATATTATCTGCAGAAATGCAGACGCAGTCTAATGCTCCAAGGCGCGCAAAATGCGAGACGCACCGAAGCCGAAACGGCGGTACTTCCTCCCGTTGCGAATTCTAAATCTCGAGTGTGCGATCGATCTTTCTGCTCGACAAAAAGCTGCGGCGGGGGGCCTGCAGCCCGTTTTGCTCAACGATTCACACGTCGCTCGTTCGTCACTCTTGAGAAAATGCTCGGTGCTCGGGCTGGAATTTGTAACTTCGGAAACTCGGCTGTGCGAAATACGCGCACGTACATTGTTGGCCGCGCAGTCCGTGCGTGCGTGCGTGGCTCGGAGTCTATGCGGGGAATTCGCGCGCGACAAAGTAGAACGCTCGACGTGCACGACGCACTTATGCGGCGCAACACAGCGCGGTCATAATTTCTTTAAATAGATCGTGGTTGCACCGGTTTATCCTTCGCGTTAATGGCGCTCGACAACTTGTTTGCGATTTTTAGCGAGTTCCATCGGCAACGAGACAGTTCGCTTAATTATCACGCGAGATAATCGGCCCGCTCTGCACAGTCGCAGCGCGCGGAGAGCTGCTCGCGCCGAATAGACGACGCGACGCGGCTCGCATTTCGAGCTGCATTTCGACGGCTGCAAATTAAGTCGCGGGACGTGCGCGCGCGCGCCCCGACCGATTTTTATTCCTTTCTCGCAGAGCCGATTTTTAGTCGCTAATCGCGGTGCTAGCGAGACAATCCATGGCGGCTCTAAGTAAGTGTACGTCGTGCTGATTCGCGTAAATTATTTTTAGAGAATCGATGACGCGCCGAGGTACCACATAGCGCGCACGTATAAAACGCGATCGGGCCCCGCGTACATTCCAATCCCACGCAAATCTCGCCGTTTCTAAGTCCGCGCGTAAAAGCGCCAAGCGCTCGCGCTCTTAACGCCCCGCTTAACGGTCGCCGGCGACCGCGGGGCGATTCGGGGTTTTGCCTTTTGCGACGCTCTGCCGAAATTGCCGCGGCATCTGAGCGTGTTTTATCTTATCGAAAAATCCGCGAACTTTTGTTGATTCTCTTTCGACACCAACGTTGAATCAGCCGCGGCGCTGAACGATCGCAACGATTTTGACGTTAAGCATCGCAACGTTTCGACGTCGGACGAGACTCCGAGACGGAGAATCGAGTCGCACGCTTCGCCGCGGCGCTCGGCGGAACTTGCGCGCTCGCTGACGAGCGTCGGTTCAATTTTGCGGCACTTACGCAATTTACAACTTCCATATTCCTCGGGCAAAATGACCGATTAGGCTTGCGCAAGACTCTGGATAAATTCGACGTGTGATTTACAGGATTAGGTATTTCAAGGAACACACACACAGAGGCGTTCCTATGACTTAACCCATTGCCGGCGCGCACGTGGGCGTCGAATGGAAATTCGAGGCGCGAGACATTTACATTTGCGCCGGTGTTGTGGGGAGACATAAAAGAATCTTAATGCCGCTGTAGTACCGCTACGTGTCGGTTTAAACAAACGATCGGTCGCGCGATACGTCGGACTTTTTACAAACTCGCGCGACTTACGTTCGCTCTTGCCGCGAAACGATTTTTCGAGCGGCCCCTCTCGCGAAAGGAACTTCGCAGCGTCCGCTGCGATCGAAGAGATAGATCAAGAGAAAGAGAGAGAGAGAAAGGGGGGAGGCAAAAGGGTGTCCGCGCTCTCTCACACTGATAGAAAGATATAATTGAATTGACTATAATCTCACTATATTTTATCGTTCATTTTGGCGTCAACTATATTTTTATAGTTGATGGAACCTGCAAAATATAGTGGAACAAACACATATATAATAGTCAATGATTGTCTTAAATGATTGTTTAGTTACTTTTACCACATATATGATAATTTCTCATTCACGAATATAGTGAGATTTAATATTCATATAGTTACATCTGTCATCACTTAGCAAATATTCCGGTAATATTGACTATAAAAAAGACTCACTTTACCTACCATTTTATATTCGTATCCGTACAATAATTTTAGTTTAACTTACTATAATTCTTAGTAAAAATATTATATGCTTGGTTATATTATGCCTAGATCGTAAGTATTACCGATATTATCGTAACACTTACTATAAATATGATATTTCGGATTATAATTTAGTTGCTATATCATTATACTCGTAATTCCAAATATCATATACTTTTCTCTCAGTGCAGCCGCGTTCCAGCGAGAAAGCCAACGTAGCTCCGTGGCTGAGACGCAAAGCACCCGTGGCGCGCGATACTGCGCCACCAGGTCGCTCTTCCACCGCCACGGCGATCGGTATTACACCCCGCTTCTCTTCTCGCGTATTATCCGCGGGGCCTCCCAGATCGCAAGCGCGGCCGTAACACGTGAAACCATATCGCGCTGCGCTGCATAAGCGCGCGCGCGCGCGCGCCCAGAATGGCTCGTCATTTGTATCCACGGCAAGGATACAGAAACGTAAGTGTCTCGTGTCACGCGAGCGAGAGCGTCGAAAATAGATTACGATATTCGCCTTCTCCCAGCCGCCTTCGCGAGTAACGACATTCAGCTGCCGCGAATTTGCACGCAGAGTCGCCCGGGTCTCGACTGTTCCTCTCTCCGAGGAGAAAACTCAGAAGAAGAGAGACGGGCCGGACGTTCGTTCGAGGACTCTCCCGAACCTCGGTACCTCGGGAAATCGCCCGGTGAGCGCAGAGTCTCGAGGAAAGTGTCGCCGCCTCTACCGAGATTCACCCTCGCGTTTCCCGTCGCTGCGAGCGTCCGCGGCTCCTCTCAAGCGCCGTCAAATCGGACTCGAACGACCGGCTGGAGCGAGGCTCCTCGCCCACGCCTCGCATTCTAAACCGACACGCGGCGCCCGTTCCGTTCGCGCGATCGCGACATAACCCTCTCTCTCTCTCTCTCTCTGTCTGTCCGCGATGCGAATGCAACGAGAGCAGCCCTCTCGTCGCGGACGCGGGATCTCGCGCGAATCTCGCGTCCGCGGTGCTGCGGTTTTCTTGCCGCGGAGACGCGTGACTCGCGTGAGAGGGGAAAAAGTGGCCGAGAGGAGCCGGCCAAGCCGGCCGAACGCGCAGCCGGTGTGTGTATCGGAGCGCGCAACAGGTGTGACTCGTGTACCTGCGGTACTTATTCGAATATAATCTGGCCCGCTCTCCCGCTGGTCGACCGGCCGCCGCCGCCGGCCGGCCAGCAGGTGCGTGTGCGTGCGCGTGTGCGTGGACGTGCGTCGGAGCGCGTTATTGCCGCTCGCAGCGTTATTATTTCGTTACGCGCAGCCGATCACGCGCGGCCTCTGCATAAGCCGCGTGTGAACTTTCGTAGATTTCACCCGGAGATAGCGCGGCGCGAGTTTACGCGCGCGAACCAGGCTCGAGTAGCGGAACGCGCTACGCTCGATACGGAATCGATGCGCGCAGATCAGAATTGGACCGTCGCGCTCTCCCGTGCGCTGTGCCGTGCGAAGTCAGGATCGACTCGATATTGCTTCTTCAGCTCGCCTCGCGACTCTTCACGATACTCTTCGCGTCTGCGCGACTTCGCCTCGCGGCCGGCTACTTTCGCCCACTCGCCGCGCCGGTGCTCGGTGTAACTTCCTGCCGAAATAGTGCTCGCGATGCCGACGGTACGCTAGCGCATTTGAAATCGTTTAATCTGCAGAGACGCGGTGAGAAGTCACGGTTTCTTACGTCGCGGACTCGAGCCGGACTCGCCGGAGTCTCACGTCGTTGCTTATCTATCGCGCTTCGGCTCCAGACGCTCTCGGACCTTTCTAAGCAAGAATTCACTTTCGACCGTGGACATTCCGCCATTTCCATAATTTTCTCCCAAAGTATCCCGAGAGAGGGGGGAGGAAGAGAGAGAGAGAGAGAGGAAATCTGTTACCAACTCCACCGACAAAAGTTACAT